TGGTCGGCCCTCACGGCTCTTCACTTCATCAACTCTACAAACTACAAGAAAGAAGATTCCACCTAAACATTAGGAAGAACTTCCTGACAGTAAGAGCTGTTCGACAGTGGAATTTGCTGCCAAGGAGTGTGGTGGAGTCTCCTTCTTTGGAGGTCTTTAAGCAGAGGCTTGACAACCATATGTCAGGAGTGCTCTGATGGTGTTTCCTGCTTGGCAGGGGGTTGGACTCGATGGCCCTTGTGGTCTCTTCCAACTCTATGATTCTATGATTCTATGAACTCTGGCCCTCTTTGAAAAAAGTTTGAACACCACTGTTGTAAGGTAAGGGAGAGAAGAGGCTAGGCTTGGCTCCAAGTGTAACTCCCCTTTTATACCGGGACAGAAAAAATTGTTGTGGCAGAAATGGCCCCTCAATATTCCACAGCCCACATGGTGGGAAGAGGCCAATGGGGTCTATTACGCCCTCCAAAAAGCTCCACACGCAAACACCGGGCACCGACAATGTGGGGTGCCCCCTCAGTGTTCCTGCACCCCTCACTTTTAATAATAATATAGTCTGTATAGCCCACTCTTCACTGAATATTTCAGAGTGGAGAATATAGCAATGTCCAATGTGCAAAAAATTGCAGAATCAAAAAATAATAATTCAAAATTAAGTAAGGTAAAGGTACCCCTGACCATTAGGTCCAGTTGTGGCTGACTGGGGTTGCTGCGCTCATCTCGCTTTATTGGCCAAGGGAGACGACGTACAGCTTCTGGTAAGCCACTTCTGGCGAACCAGAGCAGCGCACAGAAATACCATTTACCTTCCTGCCGGAGCGGTACCTATTTATCTACTTGCACTTTGACGTGCTTTCGAACTGCTAGGTTGGCAGGAGCAGGGACCGAGAAACGGGAGCCCACCCCGTCGCAGGGATTCGAACCGCCGACCTTCTGATCGGCAAGTCCTAGGCTCTGTGGTTTAACCCACAGCGCCACCCGTGTCCCTTAAAATTAAGTACTCCAGCATAAATCAGATGAAAAAAAATTAAACAGCTCTGAGAACTACCATTAGAATGTCCCTATAACCCAAAGGTCTGAGTAAGGAAAAGAGGGACACCCAACCAACTAAAACAACAAAATGGCCTTATGAAAATGTCCAGTCCATCGTAAGATCCCAGGATAGGTTGCAATTTGTGAAACAACAGTAGAATTAAAACCAATTCAATGCGAGTGTCGGTGAATCACCACTTACAGACAGCAGGGGGAGTGCTACGCTCATTCCATTACTCTCTGAATTTTTCTCCTGCTGCTGCGCTGCCTTTCTTCGATTCCTCTATAATAAGAGTGCAACTTGCCCAGAAAGAACTATGACAGCAACAAACAGCCCTCACTGCTTGATTTTGAGGCCACAAAGTTTCCAGACAGGCTGTTCCTCTTTCCATTTCTCTTTTCCAACCGATACCCGACATTCCTGAGCTACTGGGCACGCTCAGTCCCCATCATTGGGCCATGGGGGGGGTAGATTTTTAGTTTGCTTTGTACTTTGCAAGGCTTAGGATGCCTGCCACCTGCTTCATGCCAATACCTCCCTCCTGTTTTTTGGTGGGCTTCTTTGGTGCCATTCCTGTGGGCACTCGCCCCCTGAATTTGCTATCAGGAGGAGAAATTATTGGCTGCTTCCATCAAGCAGTGACAACATTTTAGATTTGCCTTCTTTTTTTTCTATTGGGTTTAAGAAAGAAGAAGTAAAATACACCCAGCTTTTGCTATCTTTATCGACTGGGTGGGGTGGGAAGCCATAGCTTTGTAGTCTGCTTTGCATATAAATACCAGATTCAATCTCCTAAGCAATGTTTTGTTGACGAAAGGAACAACCACGGGGTGCTAGCATCAGCCACAGTGGGGCCTGTGGGCCCTGGCATTTGCACAACTTTGCTTCGTACTGATGCCCGGCCTGCCATGCAAGCCCTCCCACCTTTGGAGGTACAGTGGTTGGCAATCAAAGACGGGGCCTTTTCGGTGGTGGCACCCTTGAGTTGTGCCCTATTTGTTCCAAGGACATTTGGCTTGTTTTCCTTTTGGCATCAGGTAAAGACTCCTCCTCCCCCTCTCCTGGGCCTTTAAAGGTTCGTTTCAATTTTGCCTTTTCTGGTTTCAAACTTTATTGCTGCTTTTTAAATTTACGGGTTTGCTTTGGCTACTGGTTTTTTTGTGGCTGAAAAGCTTGCTTTTTAATGTGAATTGTGTTGTGAAGCTTCCCCTCACCCTTCTGTATAGCCCAGAGAGATGCCTTGAAAGTTTCAGACGAAAGGCAGTTAGGAACCTTTTAAATACAGTGATACCTCAAGTTACAGATGCTTCAGGTTACAGACGCTTCGGGTTACAGACTCCACTAACCCAGAAATAGTACCTCAGGTTAAGAACTTTGCTTCAGGATGAGAACAGAAATCGCGTGGCGGAGGCGTAAGCCCCCATTAGCTAAAGTGGTACCTCAGGTTAAGAACAGTTTCAGGTTAAGACCAGACCTCCAGATTTGATGTATTTTATGTTTCATATTCTTTATTCTTCTTTTTTTCTTTTCGTTTTATTTTTTTCTTTTATTATTGTTTACTCTGTCTTTTGTTATGTTTTTGTATGAAAAATAATAAATATTATTGTGAAGAAGAAAAGAAAAGACCAGACTTCCAGAACGAATTAAGTTCTTAACCCGAGGTACCACTGTATATACATGCATACATAACTGGAAAACGATAGAAAAGAAAGTGGTATTCTATCAAAGGGAGGAATGCATTCGAATCAGAAAACTTGTGTGATCTCAACAGAAATGTTCACAGCCTACAGCTGCAATCCTACCTGTGAGTGATTCTCCTGAGTAGACATGCACAAGACTGTCATGTTCATATATCAAATTCTAGATATCAGTTTGCCCAGAAGTTCAGTTCTGTTGAAAAAGCCACAAACTATCCTAGTCTTGTGTGTTGCACAGAATTGAACTGGATGACCCCTTGGTGTTCCTTCCATTTGTACAATCCTATGATTCTACCCACCCACTCCCCAAATTTGATGATAGCGTCCTGGCAAATTGCACTGAATGCTTTTTTTTATAATAACTTTTTAAAAAGCAAGCGAAAGAGCTCACGCTGTGCCTTGCATCTGCCTCCTAAATGAACTCTAATAAGATTTACTTAATCCACTTGAAAAGGGGGGAAATGCTGTTTTTGTCCCCCAATTTGTTGAAACATCTGAAAGTTCGTAAGGTTGCGACCCCTCTTTCGGAAAGGGGAATCCCCTGCCACCTGTAAATATCCTGGGGAAAACAGTTGGGAACAATGAAACACGTGCTGGTTAACTGTTGCCCGGGCAACGGTTACGGTTCATCCGTAGGGGGTCTCTGGCCCCACCAAGGCTTTGTCCGCAGGAGACGTGGGCCAGCTGTTGCCGAATAGCCATTGTGGAAGATCATTGTGAACTAATAGTCAGCCACACAAATAGGCCCCTGTTCATTCTCAATGGGTTTTGTCTTTTTCAAGGGGCGTGTTCCCTGCACCTCCCGCAGCAGACAACTCTCCAAGTTAGCATCGTGAAAACAGCCCTTTCCTTTAGATGCGTAAATATCCCATTTATAATACAGTGGTTCTCGAACATTTTTTTCCTCAGGCCACACTTTCAGAACAAAAAAATGGCTCTCGGATTTTTTTATTGATAAGAAATACATTGGAAAACACGAGCAGGGTTGTCCTCGGAATCATTTGCTGACATTTTGAAAATATATCTATTCGTATTCCGCAAATGAAAAAAGACAACAATTGTTTTATATTATACTATGCTACACTGAAATGTTTAAATGTTCTTTGATTGTCCTTGAGTTTTCCTGCCATGCTGGTCATTCTCTCCTGCCCCACCAGTGTGGCACACCACAGCCTTTGAGAACCACTGAATTAATAGAATGGACACCAGCTTAACATTGGTTACTTAGGGCCTTTTCATGTGTAGGTTAGATGTAGCAGAAATATCCAATAGGATGGTGCAGAATGATCCTGGGTGAAAGAGTCAGAATAGTTAGGAAATTCTGAATCCCTGAAGCAAAAAACATTCTGCCATGGATATTGCAGCTCTCTGGTCTTCCCCACCTGCGTTCTTGGGGGTTGCATCTCTGGGGATGGCCCAAACAGGCCATCTCAAGATCTCACGGGAGCCATTGAAGCAACAAGGCAGGACTCCCTGGTCCTGAGTGGGGTAACTATGCCCCTGAAGGACCAGGTGCGCAGCCAGGTGAGTCATTTTGGACTCACAGCTGTCCGTGGAGGCGCAGGTCAATTCTGTGTCCACAGCAGCTGCTTATCAGCTCCATCTGGTGTGCAGGCTGAGACCCTATCTGCCCATGGACTGTCTCACCAGAGTGGTGCATGCTCTGGTTATCTCCCGCTTGGACTACTGCAACACGCTGTACGTGGGGCTACCTTTGAAGGTGATCCAGAAACTACAACTAATCCAGAATGCAGCAGCTAGACTGGTGGCTGGGAGCGGCCACTGAGACCATATCACACCGGTCCTGAAAGACCTACATTGGCTCCCAGTCCGTTTCCGAGCACAATTGAAAGTCTTGGTGCTGACCTTTAAAGCCCTAAACAGTCTCAGCCTGGTATACCTGAAGGAGCATCTCCATCACTGTCATCGAGGCCGGACAGCTCTGAGGGCCTTCTGGCAGTTCCCTCCCTGCGAAAAATAAGGTTGCAGGGAGCCAGGCAGAGGGCCTTCTTGGTAGTGGCACCCTCCCTGTGGAACACCCTCCCATCAGATGTCAAGGAAATAAACAACGATCTGACTTTTAGAAGACATATGAAGGCAGCCCTGTTGAGGGAAGTTGTTAATGTTTGATGTTTTATTGAGTTTTTAATATTCTGTTGGGAGCCGCCCAGAGTGGCTGGAGAAACCCAGCCAGAGGGGCGGGCTATAAATAAATAGATGATGATGTATGAATAGAAGGACTGGCCTCGTGACCTCGCAAGCTTGGATCCAAGTCACAGACTGAGAAATCTCTGCAGGCAAATGTGATGGCATGACAGCGATCTCACAGCTACCTGTAGAGGTTCCGCGATCTGGAGGCCTTACAATCCCAGGGTGCACCTTGAGCATGTATTGCCAAAAGGGCTGATAAATTCACAGTTGCGCAGCAAACAATTCACTTGTGTTGCTCTATTTTTGCTCTGTTAAACTGGGTTACTCTGGAAGAGGACCCCACTATGATAGCACCCACAGCCATAAAAGGCAGCCGGTATTAAGTAATTTTGGCAAGATTTATTATACAGGAGCAAGAACCTGACTTCTGGGATGTTTGCAGGTAGGATTTCCACCTTTTGGTATGGGCTGAAACTGTGTGATCTTAGCAGGACACACCAACTCTTAAGTGATGCGTCTTCCATCATTTTGGTGGTAGAACATCTGCTTTGCATGCAAAAGGTCCTAAGTTCCATCCCCGGCATCTTCAGGTAAGGCCAGGGAGAGAACCCTATCTGAAGTCCTAGAGGATCACTGCAAGTCAATGTAGACAATACTGAGCTACATGGATCAGTGATCTGTCTCGGTTGTTGGCATCCATCTGTCTCGGGAGACAATGGAAGAGTATGCCCTCAAGAGTGAAGTCAAACTGTTGGAGAGTTGCATGGCGAGTTCCTGACCCGCCCCCAGGTGGAAATAATGACACAATTATTAAGATTAATGGGCTAAAAAAGGCCACAACTTTATCAGTTACAGGTGATGAGTGGTATTGGCTTAGGCATTGGTCCTAACCGACTATATCTGACTCCAGCCCGTCTGCTTGAAGTCCAGGAAGGGTTAATCACCAGCAGGGGGAGTCCTGCTGATGCACATCAACTAGGAACTCCCCCGGGGTCACCGATAGGGGGCGTGCCTTAGGCCCTCACCTCCCTAGGCTTCGGACAGGGCCATGCCCCCCAGAATCCATTAACGGACTACCCTTCAATATGTGGGGGAGGTGATGGCGCTACCTCCCCTCTTCCATCTACAGAACTATACCAATGCCTAACCGCCATTACCCAGAAAGTTGTGACGATTTGCTACGAGGTAGGCGAAAAACCAATTGGCCAATTAGCCGAGTGGAAAAATTCCTACCAGGCCCCTCAACGGCGACCAACCGAGATCCATAGCAAGGTCAAAGAAAGAAAACCTTATAGGGCAGGAGGGTGGGAAAACAGGAACAGCTGGCGAGCGGACACAGAGGGAGATCCCCGTCTGTGTCCTGCCTTTATAGGGCAGGCCACACCCCCGGACCAACCCGATTGGCCGGCTAGGGGGTGATGCAGCCAGGCACCCCCCAATCGCACGTGGAGGGACCGTGAAGCCTGCAACCCCACCTCCTCTGGAGGCAGAGAGGCAGAGATGAGTCCGGCTGGTGATGAAGCCAGGATGTCTCCCCCTCCTGATGCAACAAGCTCTCCTCCTCCCTGGTCTCCCAGAACCAGAAGAGGGCCGAAAAGGGCAGAGCCGCGGCAGACTGCATGCAGGCACAGTCTCTGATCGCTAGGGGGAAAGCCCTGAAGAGGAAGGGACTTTGATGGCTGCAGGGAGGCAAGGACTTTCAGTCTTGGCAACTGATTCATGGGGCCAGACCTACTCAGCCAAGTCTGTGAAGACTGTGTTTTTGCAAATAGCTTCTTGGGCTTGTTGATCAGAAGGTTGGCAGTTCGAATCCCCGCGACGGGGTGAGCTCCCGTTGCTCAGTCCCAGCTCCTGCCAACCTAGCAGTTCAAAAGCACGCCAGAGCAAGTAGATAAATAGGTACCGCTGTGGCAGGAAGGTAAACAGCGTTTCCGTGCGCTCTGGTTTCTGCCACGGTGTCCTGTTGCGCCAGAAGCGGTTTAGTCATGCTGGCCACATGACCCGGAAGGCTGTCTGCAGACAAACGCCGGCTCCCTTGGCCTGAAAGCGAGAGGAGTGCCACAACCCCATAGTCGCCTTTGACTGGACTTAACCATCCAGGGTCCTTTACCTTTACCTAGGCTGACACTCAGCCAAGTGTGTGAAGATTGTGTTTTTGCAAATAAAGAGTTAATTCCAACTTTGAAGATAGGACTTTCTGCTGGCTCACTCTTTGGCACCTAGGCTCCTTTATCTAGTGCTCTGACTAGAGTTAGGCGGCCTTCCCAAATGTGGCAGATTTTAGGGGCTACATCTTCTTGCTGTCAATCAGAATTCAGTAAGTCCAGTGGTGCCTGACAACAGAGACCTGGTCCTTCCAGAAGGGTCTTTGCTGAGGGCTTTCTCAAACATGGAGAGATGGACAAGTGATAAGAAGCGAAGGGCCTCTTCACATGGTTCTGGGATCTGACAGTGGCTTTCAAAATGCCTCCTTGAACCCTGCTGTTATTAAGCTCTGACCGCAAAGTACGTCCTCCTTGAGGGCTACAAATGTTTAGCAGAAGGAGTTTATATGCTGTACAAGAGACAGCTGTGCTCTGAAGTTGGCACGTAAGAATCTCTCCAGCTGTTAACCCTGAACTTCAACCTGGGGGGCAAAGAACATAAAAATAGGATTATTATTTTTTGTTTCCACGTCCTTCGTTTTACCACATCAACATGCCGCTTGTGGCCAAAGATCTTTTTTATGCCTTTTTAGCAACCTTGAGTAATATAAGGGAAACAGAATAGCTCAATGTCATAAGGAAGACTTGGCTTGGGAAATGTTTATCGCTTGTGGGATGTTTCTGTCTCCCGGAGCCAAAATCAGGGCATTCTTCTGCCGGATTTGCGATGCCAAACAAGGGACAGACAAATCTGTCAGTTTGTATTTCTCTCTGTTTCTCATTTGTTTTTACTATCTCAAGTTCAATTTGCCCCCTTTTCTTTATTTTTAATGGGGGGTTTTTAGAAGTCTGCATAGAAACCACACACTTTTTATGCAGCTTTTTCAATTACACACATTTTGGCAAGGATTTTCCCCTTGATATAATATATATATGTGTATTCCTGTGCACACTTCCTTTGAACACCTACCATATTTATTTGGGGTAGGCAATTTTTGGCTGGAGAAGCGCATTGCAAAATTCAGGAGTGCGATTTCTGAAGGCTAACTGGGCTTTGGTTTGCATATTGGTGCAGGGAGTGCCAATTTGACAATGTGAACTGGACAAATTTTGCAGTCCTTGTAAAAAAGAAAAGAAAGAAAGTCAGCTTTGATGAACCCTTTTACAGTCCAAACCGATGCTCCTGTTCAGCATGCGCGAGCAGCAAACCCAGAAGTAACCCGTTCCGGTACGTCTGGGTTTGCCGCGGACGTCTGCCGAAGTGGACGCTGGATGGGACGAACTTATACGGAGGTACCACTGTAAATGGACAAAAGTACAAAGATTCATAAAATGCTTAAGGGTATGCGTACCCCCAGAAAAAAGCACTGAACATTATTATTCTAATCTGAATTTCAGCTACACATTCAAAACAGGGTGTGTGTGTGTGTGTGCGTGTGTGCATGTGTGTGTGAAGCAAACTTGAAAATTCATGATCATTTTTGAAACATGTCTCCTAAAATACATTGCTATAGGTTTGTAGGTGCTAGGATTTAAATTTATTTATTTTTATTTATTAAATTTGTATACCCTTCATCCGTAGATCTCAGGGCGGTTCACAACAAAGAATTTAAAACCGTGTCCCTTGTGTGTTTGAGCTGAGCTCTAGCTGCTTCTAATCCTTTAATAAGCATGTGTGAAAGACTTATTAACTTCCTACACTGTGTACTAGACACCTCACTAATCTCTTGAAATCAGCATGTGTTAGAAAGCAATGGAGTCAACTAATTCCCCTTTAAGGTGTTAGCCTGGAGTGATGTGTCATTCACATAGCAAGACGATCAAAGGGAGAGGCACCTTTGCCTGTCTTAAAAGAGGCCAGCGCTTAGCTTAGTGAGGGGAGAGCAAACCGGGATGTGATTTGGAAAGCAAGGCAAGCCTAGTTAGAATAGCAGGACCCCCTTAAAATGCTGGTGCAGATTATCACAGCAGGCTCAGGTTGTATATATATGTAAAGAAACCAATATCATAATGACATCACGGTCTTCACTGTGCTTCATTGTACAAATGGAAACACAGACCCAGAGTAAAGCATGCCTGGAACTCCCTGAAATCTCACATTGCTGTCGAGATTGGGGCTGGTGTGTAAGGTAAAGGTAAAGGGACCCCTGACCATTAGGTCCAGTTGTGACCGACTCTGGGGTTGCGGCGCTCATCTTGCTTTATTGGCTGAGGGAGCCGGCGTACAGCTTCCGGGTCATGTGGCCAGCATGACTAAGCCGCTTCTGGCGAACCAGAGCAGCACACGGAAATGCCGTTTACCTTCCCACCGGAGCGGTACCTATTTATCTACTTGCACTTTGGTGTGCTTTCGAACTGCTAGGTTGGCAGGAGCTGGGACCGAGCAACGGGAGCTCACCCTGTCACGGGGATTCGAACCGCCAACCTTCTGATCGGCAAGTCCTAGGCTCTGTGGTTTAACCCACAGCACCACCCGCGTCCCTGGGGCTGGTGTTTAGCAATATTTTTATATGCAATTTTCTCTAACATGAAACATTTTTGCGAATGTAATTTTTTTAAATTAAATTTCCGAAATTTTTCAAGTTAAATAATTACAGAACAATTTTGTTCCGGAGATTGATTTCCCACCCTCACCTCCGCAGCGTTTTTACTCAAACCCTTTTCGACTACGTTATAGAACTAACGTAGAACAATTCTGAAGGCCTGTATGTGCCAGTGTAACACCCGTGCACCCAGTATATGCATGAGGTTATTGCCCCAAATATTTGCATTTTAATGCAAATTAAATTTTGCATTGAAATGGTGAGGGGCCCCGAAGCTCAAGCTTCATCAGTTTTATCGTAGGTCCGCCCCTGGGTGCCAGTAAAACTGCCACAGAATTAATTTATTGCTGTGAGCATGTTGCAACGGGGAGGGGATTTGGTTTTCTGCCTCAATTAGCTTCGTCTCTAGGTCATTCCCCTCCTCTGTCGTGCTCCATTTCCTCTCTGGCCCTCAAATCCAGCTTCTCGGCCCTCTGCTGCATCGCAGGGTAATAGTAATTTGGGGTCAGCGGTAATAAAACATTGCAGCAACTACAGCTGTTGTTCTTTCCCTGTTTCCCTGTTTGTGTGTAAACCTCTTCCAAGACCACCAGCTCAACATCTCCCTCACATTTCGCTGCATTCCTTATTACCCGAGATGAACTAAATAAGGCACTCAAGGGAACGAGCTCCTCTTTTCGCGGTTTTGCTGTTTCGCACGTGCCAAATACCACTGGACCAGAATGTAGCGCTGCGAAGGGAGATGCTTGACACTTGCAACACCCTCCAAACGCTTTGGCGGTTCGTTTTCCCAGCAGTATCAGGCGACTCTTAGTCAGATCAAATGCCTGTTCTTACATATCCGGTCTCGGGGACAACAACGCTTTCAAATGCAAAGTCATATCTCTTGTTACGTTTGCTTCATGGTACGTTTTTTCAGGTTGCATCCCGCGGCGACCCGGAAGTACTGGAAAAAGGGTTACTTCCGGGTTTCGCCACTCGTGCATGCGCAGACACGCAAAATGATGTCACGTGCATGTGCAGAAGCGGCAAATCGTAACCTGCGCATACACAGATGCACAGACGCGGGTTGCGCTTCAGGTTTGAACAGGGCTCCGCAGCGGATCCCGTTCGCGACCAGAGGTACCACTGTACTCCGATAAGAGATCAAGAAAACACCAAGGCAGAAATGTGTCCTACAACGAAAGAGCTCGGAACAACAACCGCCGTGTAAATAAGTTCAGACCGAGAGATCATGACTGCATTTGCACATACCTCTGAGCCATCGTTGAACGTTATAAGGAGGCACCACGACAAAGGTAAAGGACCCCTGGACGGTGAAGTCCACTCAAAAGTGACTATGGCATTGTGGCGCTCATTTCACTTTCAGGCCAAGGGAGCCGGCGTTTGTCCACAGACAGCTTTCCAGGTCTTGTGGCCAGCATGACCAAACCATTTCTGGCACAACGGGACACCATGACGGAAACCAGAGCACCTTCCTGCCGCTGTGGTACCTATTAATCTACTTGCACTGGCTTGCTTTCAAACTGCTAGGTGTGCAGGAGCTGGGACAGATCAACGGGAGCTCACCCCGTTGCGGGATTCAAACCTTCCGATCAGCAAGCCCAAGAGACTCAGTGGTTTAGACCACCACGCCACTCATGTCCCTACCGCAACAAACACCAAACTCACACAACACCCCCTCTTTCCGCCATGGCCGCAAGGAGATGTTTGCTTCCATTTTGGACTCACCACAGTTTGCTGTATTGCCTAGACCTGGGCCAGCATTTAGTCTTAGCTCTCTCTTCCCAATGATTTGCACTTCTGTGAGGGCTCTCAGCACCCGCTTGCTGTCACTGCAGGGGGTTGGACTAAATGACCGTCCAGGTCCCTTCCAACTTGACAGTTCTGTCTTGTGTGTCGTCCCCAAGCCACTCCAAAATAACTCACAATTCACATGAAATTTTTGTTTAAGGTTTTTGGCATAATTTTGGCCACAACTTTATTTAAATACATAAATGTGAGTGGTTGCTTAGGCATTGGTTACAACTATCTGTCCTTGCCCTGGGACAGAACTGACTTCCGGATTCCAGCCGAAGCCAGTAAGGGAAAACTATATTGGGGAGAAATGAAGCAGCAGCATTGGAGGAGTAGGCACTTACCCCTCCACCAACCAATTTTTTAACCAATGCCTAATTGCAACCTTGGGACGCGGGTGGCACTGTGGGTTAAACCACAGAACCTAGGACTTGTCGATCAGAAGGTGGCGATTCGAATCCCCGTGACGGGGTGAGCTCCCATTGCTCGGTCCCTGCTCCTGCCAACCTAGCAGTTCGAAAGCACATCCAAATGCAAGTAGATAAATAGGTACCGCTCTGGCGGGAAGGTAAACAGTGTTTCCGTGCGCTGCTCTGGTTCGCCAGAAGCGGCTTAGTCATGCTGGCCACATGACCCGGAAGGTGTACGCTGGCTCCCTCGGCCAACAAAGCGAGATGAGCGCCGCAACCCCAGAGTCGGCCACGACTGGACCTAATGGTCAGGGGTCCCTTTACCTTTACTATAACCGCAACCTTACATGTTGTAACTATTTGCTGCGCAGTAGGCAAAAACCCAATGGCACAAGCCAATCAGCCAGATTGACAAAATTCCTACCAGGCCCCTGCCCCAGAAGCAGGCGACCCCATGACAGGCATAGCAAGGTCAAGCGCAAATCCCCAATTCAGGGAGGGTGGGCGGGTGATCCGGTGCACGCAGCAAAAGAGGACGCTTGAAGCTGCGTGACAAGTATTTAAAAGCTTGGGCCCAGCCCACAAATTGGCAACTTCAAAATCTCCCCAGAAACTCAACTGCCCAATCACAGCCTGCGGCCATCCAAACGGATCTGCCCGGCAACAGTGGGGTATCCTGCTAGACCCCACCGCAACACGTGCTTTCTATGAAGGAGAACACACTAGCCAGAGGCTTTCTTGCTAGGGATAATAGGAGATGAATTAAGAAAAGAGGATCGTAAATCATTTATGTACGCCACGACCGCTGCTAGGATTCTAGTGGCCCAAAAATGGAAAACCCAGGAGATTCCAACTTTAATGGAGCGGCAGACGAAAATGTCCGAATATGTAGAATTGGCAAAAATGACTTATAAGTTTCGATACCAAAAGTAACAAAGTTTGAAGAGGTGTAGAGTAAATTTGTTGTGTACGTACGGAATAACTGTAGAAGGGGTTGGACTCGATGGCTCTTGTGGTCTCTTCCAACTCTATGATTCTATGATTCTAAGCTTAAAAACTGTAGCAGGGTTAACATAAATCTTGTGAGGTGGACAGAGTGTAAATAAGAATCTGTAAGAGAGGGTGTTAATTGTGAAAGCCGAAGTAGGGAAGGAAGGAAGTCCGGGCGGGACAAAGCGCAGGGTAAATAAGAAGATACAAAAATGTTGAATGTAAAAGTTTGTGTTTAATTTTGTTTTTGAAAATCAATAAAAAGCATTTTAAAAAAAAGGAGAACACGCTATGCGAGCTTCCCATAGGTATGTGGCTGGAGAAGAGGATTCCAGACGAGATGGGCCTTTGTCCTGATCCATACAGTAAAATAAAACAAATTTTACCTTGATACTCTTTTTTAATTTTATGCATCTCTTGGGGGGGGGGGACTTCGTCATGGTGCCCAACCACCTTAATCCAACTCTTCCCTAATGCCATGTTAGCCGCCAGAGCTTTCGAACCTGGAACAAGGCGTTGTCGAAGTAGTGAGCCGAGTTGTGCAAATCCACTCCCTGGCCAGATTCCACAGATGGCTGTGAGCTGGTGTAATCTCAGCTGGCAACTGTGAGCAGTTAGCGAACCCTCTCACAGTGGTATCTGGGATTATGCTAAACACGGCAATTGCGTTGCTCTGTGGCGGATCGTTCATGTGCCCGCGGAAGATCACAGAGCCGGAGAAGATCCCTTTGCACGGAAAACAGCCGCTCTCAAACGCACAAGATCGGCATTTGACTTCATTGACTTCTGCACATCATGAAGTGCCCTGTCTAAATTTGACGGCTCGTGCAGATAATAACTCAATCCACTCTAGCAGTATCTTGGAAATATATTTGTCAGCTTGGTTCGTGCATATGCAGTTGCAATTCATTTTTCCTCAACCCACAGAAAGCATGCTTCAGACTGATGCTTGGCTGTTTGTGGAAATGGATACAAAATGTATTTTATTTTATTTTATGTTTCTGAATGATAGTCCAGTCTACAAACATTTCGATAAGCCTTTGGCTTCCATTCTGTGAAGGGAGATCTCTTTGCCTCACCACACCACACCCCACAACAGCAAAATATTACTAGCAGTTCTACCACATTCTAAACAACTTTGTGCAACCATAGATATTATGGTTTTGTGTGCAGATAGCATCTCAAGATACCACAGGAGCCAGCGCTAAATCCTAAGCGGAAACAAATGCTCCCCAGATCTGAAAACCTTTCTGTCTTTCTGGCCTGTCACATTTCAAACATTCCTTGAATTGGGAAGCACCCCCTATGGACACTGTATATCATTTCCTGCCTTACGGGAAGCATCTCTTGAAATAATCTGAACATTTGCTGACTAACTTGTCCTAGTTTAGGTCTTCCACCCACAGGCACTGAACTGAACTGATTCACCCCTCCGCATAGCTTGTAGAGGCAGAAATACTGTTCCAAAGGAAAAAAATTAAGGAAGTGTTTTGAATCATAGAAGAGTTGGAGGCAGCCACAAGGATCATCTAGTCCAGGGATGTCCAACAGGTAGATCATGATCTGCCGGTAGATCACCGGACATCTGTGGTAGATAGTGAGACGCTTAGTGATTCCACCCCCATAGAAAGCTGTGCTCTTTCCGTGAGGCGAGGTCCGAGTCCAGACCGAGGTCGAGGGTGCAGTATTGAAGCCGTCCGTCAAAGCTGAAGCTGGGTCCAAGGCAGGGAGTCGGGCGAGGTCAGGAGCTCCAGCAGGACAGGGTGCAGGCAGGAACAGGCTACCAACAATGTTGCTCCTGCAACTTGGGACTGGGGCTGGCTGGCTTTTATCTGCTCCGAGGCATAGGGCAGCCTCGGTCCACAGGTGACTCACCTCTCCTGGCCTGGAGGCGAGCACACCTCCTGTGGGAATTTAGTTCCCTCCGTCTCTCTGCCCTGAGCCTCTGCAGCTCAGGAGAGGCTGGAGGGTTACCGGACCCAGAGGCAACCTCAGCTTCCCCTGACAGAGCTGGGAGAGGAGCACCTGCAGGCAATGGGTCCTTGATCACCTCCGGAGCCAGAGCGGATTCAGCTGGTGCCTGCAGCTGAGGATCCAGCACAGGTGAGGACCTTTCAGCTCTAGCCACGGCTCAGCTGGTTCTGGACTCCTGTGCAGGCTGGGATTCCTCAGGTTCAGCCTCCAAGTCCGAATCCCAGGCCATCACAAAAGCTTTGGCTTACCTGTCAATAACAATGGGCAAATCACAGCCAGTATTTTTATAATGTGGGTATATCACAGTGTCTTTGGAGTTGGACATGGCTGAATTCTAGTTCCACCCCATGCAAAGCAGGAATCTTTCACCCAACATGGGGTTCGAACCCGCAGCCCTGAGATTAAGATTCTCATGCTTTACCGACGGAGCTAGTGGGCGGTACTACCCCCTGGAAAGCAGTGGGATTACCTAGGGGGGACTAAGAGGCAAGGGGCTGCTGGACTTTGAAAAGCTGATATCACTAGATCAAGGACATCAGTTTTGAATTAATTAAACTAAATATTTTCCATTGGAATTTGAGTCAACATGCAATCGATTGTCACTGTTTCAAATTTTATCGTGCAGTTATCTTCCTTACTGGGTCATGCAAACCGCTATTCTGAATAAAGTTTTTTTTGTAGGGTGGGGTAGCGGGCACTGGGGGTGAGTTTGTGGAACCAAGGGGGGCATGGCCCAAAAATGTTTGGGACCTTCTGGTCTAATGCAATAATAATCAGTGTGTGAAGTAGGCTGAGGAAGTAAGGAGGAATCATGCATCCTTATGTTCCCCTACCCTCCAAAACAGGCTGGCTGCTGCCTGTTGGAACTGGTGGGGCGAAAAGCAGGGAGGTCAGCAGTAGGTGGCGCCAGAGCCAATGACAGGTGACACCTGCTCCGTCTAAATTCGCCCTCCACCTCGTCTCTTCTGAGTTCTACAATGGCAACACATGAGACTAAAAATTCTGCACAGTGGGAGAATTGTAGTCAACAAGGTTAATCTGAGGTGCCATTCAGCACTGGGTTTAGAGTGCCACAGGTGGTTCCCCTGCACAGGGTGCCATGCCAAAGGTGCACACAATTGAGAAGGTCCATAATTGAGAAGATCCATTTGGGGGTGCCAGGTTTTGGCCTTGTTCAGGGCACCAAAGTCCGCCCCTGCACAATAATGGCTAATTGAAAACGGACAGCACCAACCCCTGGACTGGTTCGGGACTGACTGGGGTTGGTGGGGCAGCACCCTGTTTGTCCTCATGGACCACCCTCCACTGGCTGCGAGGGTGCACACCTGAGGGATGGGTGCTTCTCCAAAGTCTGCCCACCGAAAAACTGCCACATCTTTCATCAGTTTTACCTCCCTCTGCCACCTTTAGGCAGGCGCCCTTGCTAGATTGTTTTTAGACGTCTGCCAAAGGCCTTTTTATTTCAGCAAGCCCATCCAGACATAAAATTGGACAGTTTATTTATTTGTTTGCAAATCCGTGTAGCTTTATTGGCAAGTGAACATGCTTAACAAGCAATCTCTTTCGTCAGATTCTAATCTGTGTTTCATCCTTGGTTATCTTGTGTGTGTGCATTCCTTGCTTTCTAATGGCTTTGTGGATTTGGGCTGCTTCTGTGTCAGTAATTGTACTGTGTATACCGCCTGGAGGGTTTTATGATTGAGAGGTAGATATATCTTTCTCATTATAATAAATATATTAATTAAAGTCCCCTCCCCCCCAAAAAAAGCCTTACGTGGGACATGAGAATGGGGAGGCAGTGAAGGCAGTGGTAGGAGGGCCATCACTTCCCTGCCAGAGAGAGCAAGGGAGGAAAGACTGCATCTCCCAGGATGCCTTAGTGCGAACGTGACTCTTAATTCCACCTATTCTCCCCAAGGGCATGATGGGACATGTAGTCACCATTCATTCCCCAACTCTGCCAAATGAACTGGAACCCTCTGTGTTGCCTTCATCAACTCTGCAAGGAAAAGGTGAGACGTGATGGGACAGGTGACCAGGATGATGTTGAGGATGTTGAGCATACCATCCAACTTTTCGAGGACACATTCCCATGTGAGTCATGTGACCCGCTCCACACTCTCAACTCAGAAAACGTGATTTGGGGGGGGAATCTTGTGAGGCACCCCAAAAATGCTTTTCTCAGGGTGTAAGAGCACGCAAGATCTCGGCACCCAACATGGTTGCCACAATCTCACACAGAAAAATGGGCTGTCCTTTTCCCCCAGGGCACTTGGGAGGTATGTATAAAGGACCCCTGACCGTTAGGTCCAGTCGCGGACAACTCTGGGGTTGTGGCGCTCATCTCGCTTTACTAGCCGAGGGAGCCGGCGTTTGTCCGCAGTTTTTCTGGGTCATGTGGCCAGCATGACTAAGCCGCTTCTGGCGAACCAGAGCAGCGCACGGAAACACTGTTTACCTTCCCGCTGGAGCAGTACCTATTTATCTACTTGCACTTTGACGTGCTTTCGAACTGCTAGGTTGGCAGGAGCAGGGACCGAGCAACGGGAGCTCACCCCGTTGCAGGGATTCGAACCGCCAACCTTCTGATCGGCAAACCCTAGGCTCTGTGGTCTAACCCACAGCGCCACCCGCGTCCCATATGTATAAAGGAAAAAGGACCCCTGACTTTTAGGTCCAATCACGGACGACTCTGGGGTTGCGGCGCTCATCTCGCTTTACTGGCCGAGGGAGCCGGCGTACAGCTTCCGGGTCATGTGGCCAGCAGTCTCATGCAGAAAAATGGGATGTCCTTTTCCCCCAGGGCACTTGGGAGGTATGTATATGTCAGGCATAAAATGGCCAGTCGAAGGAACATTGCACAGGATAGAACGGGGGGAAGTTGGAAATCACAATGCTTCTGAATACCAGTTGCTGGAATCCACAGGAGGCGAGAGCGGTCTTGTGTTCAAATCCTGCCAGAAAGTTTCCCACGGGCATCTGGTCGGTCCCTGTGAGAACGGGATGCTGGACTAGACTGGTCATTGGCTTGATCCAGCAGACCCTTCTTACTTTCTGGAGTTAAAGGGCTTATTGCCTCCATACATTTTTATCAATCAGAAACAACAGTGAGTGCAAAACAGCCCACCTCCATCCTCTTTAATGTAGTCGATAGTATTTCCAAAAGGGAAGCAGTCCTCCCAGCCTGGTGGTCGAACAAGTGCCTTAACAACACACCCAACCAAATGGTAGATTGTGCGCTGTGGCAGTTTAAAACAAGTGGGAGCTGCAGCAAAATGTTGCTGCGTGGAATTCAGGGGTTTCAGCCACTCCATTCCGTTCCCCCTCCTTTTTCCTGGTTTTTTGTTAGCATTCCATGGCTATTGAACATACTCCCTGAGCTCCATGTCTCTTTGTGCTCCCCCCGCCCCAAAAAACTTATTGCCCTTTCCGCAAACATTGAGGTTCCCCTGAGTCTGTACGTGGTTGGTGGTGCTGTTATGGCAATGTAAGGAACGGCACTCACTGCCTGAACATTGGAAATAGAAGCGATCTTTCTTTCTTTCTTTCTTTCTTTCTTTCTCTCTCTCTCTCTCTCTCTCTCACACACACACACACACACACACACAAAGGTGTAGCCTGCAGAGCTTTTGATGTCGCAGATACTGCATCAGGAACTGATTGGATAATAATCAGGCACCATCAGTTCCTAATGCATTGCCTTCAGCATCTAAACGAGCATCAGCAAAATTCTCAAATTAACCCGTCCAGCTATAGTACAGATGCCCCCACTTGGTGGTTTATTTTATTTTTTGTAAGCCAGTTCCAGAAAAAGGTCTGAAACCCCACCAGTATTTTGCTCAATGCAGAATGCCAAGCAAGTAACATACCTGTTTTCTGCAGCTTTCCCGGGCATTGGGTCCTTGGTGACGCATATTGTTTGCTGTTCAGAAATGATTGTTCAGGATCGTGGTGGCGGTAGGATCCCAGTACACAATCCCATTGTTAATACTGTTTGTGCTTTCCAATCTTCCAGGGCGGCCATATTGCTTCGTTTCCAACCACTGCACCTCCCATCACTTCCAGCCGACATCCTGTCACTTTTTATAAGACCGTCTTTCTCCATATGAACCTCCCTGGACTCTGAGATCAACCTCTGAGGCCCTTCTTTGTGTGCCTCCTCCATGAGAGGTCCAGAGGGTGGCAACACAAGAATGGGGCCTTCTCTGCAGTGGCTCCCCATTTGAGAATGCTCTCCCCAGGGAGGCTCACCTAGCCTCTTCATTATACACCTTTAGGTGCCAGGCAAAAACCAGGCTTTGGGTTGATTGACATCTGATGCCCTTTCATATGTGTTGTGGGAGGGGGAATTATTGCTTTGTTGTTGTTCGTATTTTTATATTGTAATTTTATTTTGCGGACCACCCTGAGCTCTACAGAGGAGGTGCTTTATGCAAATATTAGTATTATACCATAAATTAGGGCTGCTTAATCTGGGTTTTCCCAGGGAATTGCTCAGCAAAATGGCATTTGGGCAGATTTTTGCTGAATCCGCAAAATGTCTGGGAAAATCTGGACAACCACTTTGTCCAGATTTTCACTTTGGGGGATATGGCAACCCTGCCACAAATGCTCCAGTTTATTTCTTTGTCACACTTTTGATGTGCTAAAGTGCAAGAGTGCCTCTCCAGACAGCAATAATGCAGTAACATTGGGGAAGGATCGCAGAAGGACTAATAAGGCAGAATGATATGGCGATGGTCCAGTATAAGTCCAGCACGAATACACTATTATTGCATCAAAGAAATACTGCAGAATGTACCAGTCTGGAGGGGTGCTTTAAATATATGGCGTCTTACTTCTCATGAAAGGTCCCTTACCTTTCCCGCCCCGACCTAGCCACAGTGATCCATGCAACGGTCACCTCCAGGCTTGACTACTGTAATTCGCTCTACGCGGGGCTGCCCTTGAAGCTGTCCCAGAAACTCCAGCGGGTGCAGAATGCAGCAGCGAGGCTCCTCACGGGGTCTCTGCCGCAGGAGCATATTCACCCAGTGCTTTTCCAGCTGCACTGGCTCCCGGTGGAGTACAGGGTCAGATTTAAGGTACTGGTTTTGACCTTCAAAGCCCTTTACGGCCTAGGACGCTCGTACCTACGGGACCGCCTCTCCCGGTATGCCCTATGGAGGACCTTAAGGTCCATAAATAGCAACACTCTAGAGGTCCCGGGCCCTAAGGGAGTTAGATTAGCCTCAACCAGAGCCAGGGCCTTTTCAACACTGGCTCCGGCCTGGTGGAACGCTCTGCCTCATGAGACCAGGGCCCTGCAGGATCTGATTTCTTTCTGCAGGGCCTGTAAGACAGAGTTGTTCCGCCTGGCCTTTGGCTTGGAGCCAATTTGATTCCCTCCCCTCTTCTTTTTCCTTTTTCCTTTCTCCTCCTGTGATGAGGCTGCATTCTAATATTTTAATGTTTCAATATTTTAATGTTGTATTTTAATCTTGTTTTTAAGTTGTATTCATTCAACTTGTTTTTATTATTGCTTGTTAGCCGCCCTGAGCCCGGCCTTGGCTGGGGAGGGCGGGGTATAAATAAAAATGATGATGATGATGATGATGATAATGACAATTGTGGTATCATGTTGGAGCCTCCTTGATGTAGCCCTTCCACGTTCTGGGCTTCCAGAAGTCTTTTTTCAGATGTGCAATAAAAGAAGGCTGAATAAATGACAAAAAGCTCATTTGTTAACACTTTTGTTTTCCCGTCTTAAAGGGCCATCAGACAGAAATGCCTTTTTGAGCTTTATAAGGCGCCGACTGAAGACCGAGCTGGAGGCCACACGACATCGCCTCTCTCCACTGACTGCCCATCGGATGTTATTTGCATGCTAGCATCATATTCCAGTAAGGGTATGAAATAAGTTACACCCAAGAAGTTTGCTCTTGGGACGCCCCATCGGAGATGCTTGCTCATGAGTAACTGGCCTTTTAAGGCCGGAGACCTCCCCTGTTGTGTTGAAGCTCTGTCCCATTTGGCCTTGGGTTTGAGCAGATCCGCAGCCCTGTCTTTAAACCCCTCTAATCCAATCCTTCCGGGAGCTGCAACTTATTGCCTAAACCAGAGTTGACCTACTCAGAAACGCATAGCTCAGGGCTGACTCACACAGGCCGCTCCGAGGGAGCTGTCACTCAAGGGCCTTTGCACCGCGTAATGCTTCTCATATGGCTGGAGACAAAAAAATCCCTGGTCCTCAGCCTGAGATTGCCTTCAGATCAATAGTCCTGAGCTCCGCAGGCTGCATTCCTTCCTGGGAAAGCATCCAGGATCCTCATGCTCGCAATGGAAGGGGTCTGGGGCAAAACAGTGAAAGGTCATGTTACCTTTGAACAAATGGGCGGGTTTCTACACTCATACACGAACCCTCTCTGTCCTTTGGCCAAGCGAGCAACAGGTACTATCACAGTTCAGAGACTGGTGTGATATTCAGAGCAGTGCTCCTCAAACTTGGGTCCCCGGCTGCTGTTGGACTACAACTCCCATCATCCCCTGGCCACTGGTCCTGCTAGCTAGGGATGATGGGAGTTGTAGTCCAACCATAAGTGGAGAACCAAGTTTGAAGAACACTCCTCAAACTTGGGTCCCCAGCTGCTGTTGGACTACAACTCCCATCATCTCCTGGCCACTGGTCCTGCTAGCTAGGGATGATGGGAGTTGTAGTCCAACCATAGCTGGAGACCCAAGTTTGAAGAACACTCCTCAAACTTGGGTCCCCGGCTGCTGTTGGACTACAACTCCCATCATCCCCTGGCCACTGGTCCTGCTAGCTAGGGATGATGGGAGTTGTAGTCCAACCATAGCTGGAGACCCAAGTTTGAAGAACACTCCTCAGACCTGGGTCCCCGGCTGCTGTTGGACTACAACTCCCATTATCCCTTGGCCACTGGTCCTGCTAGCTAAGGATGATGGGAGTTGTAGTCCAACAGCAGCTGGAGACCCAAGTTTGAAAAACACTGGTTGAGAGTGTCAGACTAGGACCTGGGAGATCAGGATTCAAATCCCCACTTAGCCATGAGACTCACCTTGGCCCCAGTCAATGCCTCTCAGCCTTACAGGGTTGCTGTTTGGATTAAATGAGGAGAGGGAAAATCCTTTAACCCCACCTTGAACTCCTCGGAGGAATAGGTGGAGTATAGATGTGAGAAATAAATAAATACACTTCCAAAAAATCAACCAACCAGAAGGAGGGTGTGACACAAGGCTGGTAAGAGGCGTGGCATGGGGAAAGGGCATGTGACTCGGGAGTGGGTGTGGTCTGGGGAGGTGTCACCACAGGAAAAAAGCTGCCCCTTTTTACACGGGGCTTGGAGCAAGGGGCTTGCAGAAGAAAAGGGGAGAGGTCGGAACACCATGTGATGATGGCTAGAGCAGGCATAGGCAAACTCGGCCCTCCAAATGTTTTGGGGACTACAACTCCCATCATCCCTAGCTAACAGGACCAGTGGTCAGGCATGATGGGAATTGTAGTCTCAAAACATCTGGAGGATCGAATTTGCCTGTGCCTGGGCTAGAGGAACCTGCATGCAAAGACCAGGAAGAATGGCTGGACCCAAGCTTGCTGAAGTTATGAGGAGAGCAACAAGAGGGACCCTTGGAGCGTGATGCTCCATCAAGGCTAAGTTGTATATATGTATAAATAAAACCATATATCATAAAGACACTACAGTCTCTGTCATGCCTCACTCTAAAGGGAGACAAGCCCTGGTTAAGTGCCAAGACCCCTGGAACCTTGCTACCACTTGGCAGAGATTGGAGTGGCCTGTAACACAGTGGAAAGGTGGGGGGTGTTATTAAACTTGTAGGGGGGTGTTAAGGATGGCAGGGAGTTTGGGAGAAGGAGGCGGTGCAAGCAATACTCTGCCTACATTGGCTCTTCCTCTCCCCAACTTTGATGCACAACTTTAGGGTTGTGCAAGGCCCTCAATCCTCTTTGGGGCATTGAGCGATCCAGCTCAGGCCCCAGACCAGATCAATAGTGCCTTGGCCCCTCTTATTGTTTATCCATAGGATTCTGCAGTAAGTCCTGTATTTAGGGGGGACTACACTATGTTCCCCTTCATGGATCACTGCCTTGCCAATCATGGACACTGGTCCCATCACCTCCTGGCAAATAGAAGGGGAAGAAATGGAGGCAGTGAGAGATTTTACTTTCTTGGGCTCCATGATCACTGCAGATGGTGACAGCAGCCACAAAATTAAAAGATGCCTGCTTCTTGGGAGAAAGGCGATGGCAAACCTAGACAGCATCTTAAAAAGCAGAGACATCACATTGCCAACAAAGGTCCATATAGTTAAAGCCATGGTTTTCCCAGTAGTGATGTATGGAAGTGAGAGCTGGACCATAAAGAAGGCTGATCACCAAAGAATTGATGCTTTTGAATTATGGTGCTGGAGGAGAATCTTGAGAGTCCCATGGACTGCAAGAAGATCAAACCTATCCATTCTGAAGGAAACCAGCCCTGAGTGCTCACTGGAAGGACAGATCCTGAAGCTGAGTCTCCAATACTTTGGCCACCTCATGAGAAGAGAAGACTCTCTGGGAAAGACCCTGATGCTGGGAAAAATGGAGGGCACAAGGAGAAGGGGACGACAGAGGACGAGATGGTTGGACAGTGTTCTCCAAGCTAACAGCATGAGTTTGACCAAACTGGGGGAGGCCGTGGAAGACAGGAGTGCCTGGCGTGCTCTGGTCCATGGGGTCACAAAGAGTCGGACATGACTAAATGACTAAACAACAACACTATGTTAGAACCTGGTCCTGTTAACATGGAGGAAGGGGGAAGTTCCCATCAGTAAATCAACTTAAGCTTGGTTGATTAATCTATAGCTAAAACATATGGCCCTAATTCCCAAGTTTATCTCCCCATCCCCAACCATAAAAATACAGGACAAACAAATCGGACTTAACTTTCCATTATTTCTTTTCCTTTTTCTTGAAGTGAAAACATAAGGAAAATCTTATTCATCATTAATGATGACAAAATTAACTTTTAGCGTCATTCACATCAGTTCCAGATTTCAAACCACAAGAGACCATCATCCTCACTCCTTCCAGCAAATTCCACCCAGTCACTAATTACGAAAGAGAGATAAAGTTTGCCAACAAAGAAATTAATGAAGAAGATTCATCGCTGCCAATTGACTTTACTACTAAGTTAATGGGGAAAATATGTTGCAAGGAGAGCCACCCAAAAGCAAAGAGAGATTGCCCATTTGCTCAGAGGCGTTTTATTCTAGAAGAAACATTTATGACATTGGCCAGCTTAATCTAATTTGAAAGAGAGAGAAAGAGAGATGAATGATATGAATCAAACTCAAGCCTTGCAAGACTGGCCCAAGCCATTTTGTTCCCTGAAACAAAATGCAAGATAGTATCCTTCATTGAAAGCTGACTAGACCAGCAACTGAGTCCCATTTTTAAAACTGGGATTTTTCAGTCCTCAGGTGTGACACCCAGCCTTAGGTACAAGTTGCCACTTATTGTTAGAAAACCAGCAATTTCACATTTGCATTCTTTAAAGAACGATTAGTTAGGTGACCTCTAGACCCAACAATGTGTTTGTTTTAAATACAGTGGTACCTCATGTTACAGACTCTTCAGGTTACAGACACTTCAGGTTACAGACACTTCAGGTTACAGACTCCGCTAACCCAGAAATAGTACCTCGGGTTAAGAACTTTACTTCAGGATGAGAACAGAAATCGTGTGTCGGCAGCAGGAGGCCCCATTAGCTAAAGTGGTGCCTCAGGTTAAGAACAGTTTCAGGCTAAGAACAGACCTCCAAAACGAATTAAGTTCTTAACCCAAGGTACCACTGTCAATAAGCCATAGAACTTGATCTCTTGTCTTCAAGACTACTTGCCTCCATTCCTCAAACACCCTGCCTGAGAAGGTTAGTTCAGACACAGAGATCTGTGGTACAGTGGTACCTCGAGTTAAGAACTAAATTCGTTCCAGAGGTCTGTTCTTAACCTGAAACTGTTCTTAACCTGAAGCACCACTTTAGCTAATGGGGCCTCCCACTGCTGCCATGCCGCCAGAGCACGATTTCTGTTCTCATCCTGAAGCAAAGTTCTTATCCCGAGGTACTATTTCTGGGTTAGCGGAGTCTGTAACCTGAAGCATCTGTAACCCGAGGTACTACTGTATATATCTTCCACTATGTAGACAAAAAACAACAGCAACCATTCAGCTCCTTTCCTTCTTCAAAATATCTTTGACTCCCTTCTCACCCCAACATCCAACCTCCTTTCTAGCCTGGCTCCTGCTTCTAATGCAATTAAATAATCTTTTAACGCAGGTCTGAAATGTTTTTAGTGACATTCTCCTTGAAGAGGGAAGGAGGATTACAATACATTGTGTGAGATGCTCTTTCACACGTGCAGAAAGGCTCAGTTCTTATATGAAGGCTAAAGTCCTTCTACGCATTTAACTGGGAGTATCACCTTGCCGACAAAGGTCTGTATAGTTAAAGCTATGGTTTTCCCAGTAGTGATTTATGGAAGTGAGAGCTGGACCATAAAGAAGCCTGATCGCCAAAGAATTGATGCTTTTGAATTATGGTGCTGGAGGAGACTCTTGAGAGTCCCATGGACTGCAAGAAGATCAAACCTGTCCATTCTTAAGGAAATCAGCCCTGAGTGCTCACTGGAAGGACAGATCCTGAAGCTGAGTCTCCAATACTTTGGCCACCTCATGAGAAGAGAAGACACCCTGGAAAAGACCCTGATGTTGGGAAAGATGGAGGGCACAAGGAGAAGGGGACGACAGAGGACGGTATGGTTGGACAGTGTTCTCGAAGCTACGAACATGAGTTTGACCAAACTGGGGGAGGCAGTGGAAGACAGGAGTGCCTGGCGTGCTCTGGTTCATGGGGTCACGAAGCGTCGGGCACGACTAGACGACTAAACAACAACAACAACAACAACAAGTCTTTAGCTGAGATTTCTGCATTTTAGGGGGTTGAACCAGATCACCCTTGTGGTCCCTTCCAACTATACACTTCTATGATTATAAGTCCTACTGAACTTAGGCTGTGTGTACACTGTACATTTGAAGCACATTTACGGCACATCACTTTTCCCAAAGAATCCTGGGAACTGGTTTGTTAAGTTTGCTGGGAAATGTAGCTCTGTCAGGGGATAAACTACAGCTCTCTGGATTATTCAGGGGAAGAAATGTGCTTTAAATGTGTTTTGAATGTATGGCACGTACGCAGCCTCAGTGGGAATTACTTCTGAGTAGGCAAGCACAGGGTTGTGCCGGTAAATCTCCTGTTTCTGTGGGATGTCATGTTCATACTTTCCTGCATTGTTAAATGGTCTCTGCTTCTTGCAGTATGTTGATGCTTCATTGCTAACCTTTTTTCAAGTGTGTGCTCACAACAGAAGATATAATACTTCTAAAGGGCTTCCTTGTTCATCTCCATCGATATCGTCTCCACCCCCAGCCCAAGCAATTCTGCCACTCCCAAACAAATTTCATCCTGCTCTGCTCTAGGTGATCCTGAAATATTTTGTAATTCCCAGAACCTGAAACTTAAGACAAATTGCTGGGCTCAAAGGTCTCTTTGCCTTGCCAAGTTGGGAACGATCCAGATTAGTTCGCTCCCTCTCTGCCCCCCCCCAAATCACTTATCATACTGAAGTTCCTGCTTAAACAAACTCAGCAACAACAAATATAATGAAATTGCAGTTCTGTCAAGATGCACATGGCCCAGCCTTGCAAGTTGACACATGCATACATGACTGCCAAGCATTCCGAGGTATCCAGTTCCTAGTCTAAAACTTCACTTTGACTCCAATCAAATTCACAAGACGTCCACCGGCAGTTCATTTATTCTGTATTCCAAATCTACTTGCAGTTCTCTAATCCTGTTCCATAGCCACTACCGTTTTCCCAAGGGCTTGGGACACGTGTACGACAACCTCTGTGTAACCAATAAAACGAAGGATTCCTTAGATTAAATATATATGCATAGACGAGCCAGTTGCCAGAATTCCATCTTTACACCAAAGAGCAGAGGCTAGGTTATGCAAATGAAGGGGTGGAGCTATGCAGAGAGAGGCTGGCATGGCTTCCATTGAGTTCCATGTGACAAAAAAATAAAAAAGAGGCTGTGCTATCTACAAAGGAAACTACATAATACTAGGTCAGAATATTCATCCATCTAGCCCAGTATTGTCACTGGCAGCAGTGACTCTCTGGAGTCCCAGGCAAATCCTAGAGAGGAGGGTCTGGGCCAGCAACTTCCTGTTCAGAATCTTGCTGCTTTCTTCCATCACTGCTTCTGAGTTCCCTGCCCAGTAGTCTGCCAGTTTTGAACTGCTGTTGGAATCCCAATACAGGGTTGGGATTCCCCACTACTACTACTACTAATAATAATAATAAATTTTATTTATACCCCGCCCTCCCCAGCCAGAGCTGGACTCAGGGCGGCTAACACCAATAAAATCACAGTAAAAAACATAATGGGGGGGGGTTTAAAATACAGGTTAAAATGCAATTTAAAATGCAGCCTCATTTTAAAAGTAGCCGATAAATCAAGACCATAAGGGGAGGGAAACATAAGGGTCAGACTGAGTCCAAACCAAAGGCCAGGTGGAACAGCTCTGTCTTGCAGGCCCTGCGGAAAGATGTCAAGTCCCGCAGGGCCCTGGTCTCTTGTGACAGAGCGTTCCACCAAGTCGGGGTCAGTACTGAAAAGGCCCTGGCCCTACTTGAGACCAATCTAACCACCTTGCGACCTGGGACCTCCAAAATGTTGTCATTTGTGGAGATTAAGGTCCTCCGCGGGGCATACCAGGAGAGGCGGTCCCGTAGGTACACGGGTCCTAGGCCGCATAGGGCTTTAATGGTCAAAACCAGCACCTTAAACCTGACCCTGTACTCCACCGGGAGCCAGTGCAGTTGGTAAAGCACTGGATGAATGTGATCCCGTGGCAAGGAACCCGTAAGGAGCCTCGACGTGGCATTCTGCACCCACTGGAGTTTCTGGGTCAGCTTTAAGGGCAGTCCTGCTTAGAGCGAATTACAATAATTAAGCCTGGAGGTGACCACCGCATGGATCACTGTTGCCAGATAAGGGCGAGAAAGGTAAGGGACTAACATAACAATCTCCAGACTTGGGCTGATGGAGGCGGACACAAAGGTGGTGTCAGAGATCATGAACTTGGTGTTGGGGAAACCACTCTGAAGTCACCTTGTCTAGAGTGGCTTAGGATTTGATGGCCACCACAACAACCAATAATGCTGGGCCCAACACAAGTGTCAGGACCTGATTTTCTGTACTGGACTGGGGAGGAATGGTATTTACTTAAGAGAGCTCATACTGGCTCCAGAGGCGGATTTTGGGGGGCACAACTGGTTCAGTCGCACTGGGTGCAGAACTTGGGGGTGCCACTAGGAAGCACCACAACTATTACAGTCATACCTTGGATCCTGAACGCCCAGGAACTCGGACGTTTTGGCTCCTGAACGCCGCAAACCTGGAAGTGATTGTTCCGGTTTGCAAATGTTCTTTGGGAACCTGAACGTCCAGCACGGCTTCCACAACTTCTGATTGGCTGCAGGAGCTTCCTGCAGCCAATCAGAAGCTGCGATTTGGTTTTGGAAGCCAAACGGACTTCTGGAACGGATTCCGTTCGACTTCCAAGGTACAACTGTATTTAGAATGGCTCTGGGATTCAGGGGGTGCCAAATTTTGGTACTGCGCTGAAATTTGAGGCCTCAAGGTCCACCACTGCTGGCTCCCTACCTGAATAAAAATAACAACCCTTAAATGTTCCGTTTCCTGGAACTTCACATTTCTGGTTCTTCTGGATTCCTGGACCCACCCAGCCTATGGATCACATCTTCCGACTTTTAATAATTTGCAATCCCTTTTTTAAAAAAAAAACATATTTATTATTTTTCCAAAAACACTAAAAAAAGAAGAAAAGAAAAGAAAAAGAAAAACAATACAATACAACTCATCAAATTAACAAAACAAGACTTAAGACAATAAAATAAATCAACCAATTTCATTATCCCATCTTTCATTCACTTATTTCCACGACCTCCTCACACCTCCCTTTTTGTATTCCACTTCTATTAATTATTTCAGCAATTCCTTTCCATCCTCCTCTGTTTTCTATCCTATAATTATCTGAACTCATTCTAACCTTATTTTTTTCCTTTAATACTCTATTAACCTATCTGTACTTAATTCCTTATAATATTTCTACTAAAGCCATATAACTTCATTTCAACATTTTTCTAACATTCATTAATTTTACAATATTTCTGTAGATAATCTTTAAACTTTTTCCAGTCTTCTTCCACCAACTCCTCTCCCTGGTCTCGGATTCTGCAATCCCATGAGGCACTGGGCCCCCATGACATCATAAAGTCCTACCCATGACATCGTAAAGTCCTGCCTGTGACATCTCTGCATCCCTACGTGGATCTTAAGGTTTGGGGTGACAGAGAACAGGAAACCTACCTCCAAATGGAGCCGCTGAAAGCAGCCATTGATACTGGTATCTGCTGGGCAGTGTCCAGAAGGAAGAGGAACAGCAGAGGTGCCATAGCAGATATCGCTGTCCACTTCCAAGGAGGGTGGGAGGAGTTAAGCCCAGTCAGCTGGCCAGCTCTGCAGGTGTGAGGGGGAGAAGCAGATTGGGAGATGCTAAGCATCCCAGCAAGTGGGACGCGGGTCGTGCTGTGGTCTAAACCACAGAGCCTAGGGCTTGCCAATCAGAAGGTCGGCGGTTCGAATCCCTGCAACGGAGTGAGCTCCCGTTGCTCGGTCCCTGCTCCTGCCAACCTAGCAGTTCAAAAGCACATCAAAGTGCAAGTAGATAAATAGGTACCACTCTGGCGGGAAGGTAAAAGGCGTTTCCATGTGCTGCTCTGGTTTCGCCAGAAGCGGCTTAGTCATGCTGGTCACATGACCTGGAAAAACTGTCTGCAGACAAACATCAGCTTCCTTGGTCAGTAAAGCGAGATGAGCGCCACAACCCCAGACTCATTCGTGACTGGACTTAACAGTCAGGGGTCCCTTTACCTTTAAGCATCCCAGCAGCACTTCCTAGGGGTGGTATTTATGCGCCAGGCCAGTAGAGATCCGAACAATGAGGTTTATTTTATTTTTTATTTTAAAGAAAGTTGCTAAACCTCTTGGAAGAGATGGTACAAAGTAAGATGTGCAGGCAAACTTCTAAGTGAGAGGTGCAATGAGCAAGCCTTACTGCTCTCAACTTTCAGTGTTTTCTAGCCAATGAATGAAGTCAGAGTTGTGATTGACAAGTGAGTTGTCTGCGCATCAGGCAACAAGAGTCCAGCCCCAAAGACCTGCTGTTTCCCGTTCCCTGTTTTTTCTTCCCCGCTTCGCTGTTGTTTTCTACTCCTTGCAATCTCCAAAGTTTAAAAGAGCTACAATTTCCCCTCATCTCCCTTTGCCTTTCCTCGCAGACAGGACTCATCTTTCCTGTGTCAGGTTCATCTGAGGACAGGTACTCCCTACATGATGTGGTGGGTTTTTTTGGCAAATACTGCTACACAAGAAGTGTGGGTGGAAGATGTTAGAGGATTCCACCCCGATATAGCAAATGCGAAATCTTTGCAATGAGGACTTGCTTCCGAGTAAATCACGTGTGGGATTGTTAGCATGTTCTGAGCTGCCTTGGAGGTCATCCGATCAAAAACCGAGGTCTTTTAGAAGATAGGCTCTGGCTGACATTGTTTATATCACTCCTTGATAGCATGCACGTTCCCACTCTCACCCACCTGTCAATCTTATGAAACCCCATGAGGTTGGTTTGAATTGCAAGCTTGGCTTCTGAGGAAATGGCAGATGAGTTCACAGGGTCAGTATGAACTCTCACTTTGGGAATAAGCACACCTGAGTGCAAGTGAGGTTTATGAATCAAAGTAAACGTACAGTAATGTGGTTGGATTAAGATGGGCTGAAGCTTTGGAGCTGTACCAATTTGCAAGGTGGAGTGAGGGACCCAGAAAAACATAGTGGTTTTTTTTAATTTTTATTGATTTCAACATATAAATTATAAAATGTACCACAAAACTTATCACTTATACAATCTTTTTAGACTTCCATCAGCACCTCTGATGATCCACCATTTTAACCACTTCTTATGCATTTCTTAACTTTATATTGCCTTTACATCTCTTAACAAATCATCCTTCCCCGTCTCCAATTTTGCAATACTTCCAATAATACTCCTCACAAAACTTCTTGCAAACCTACAAACATCGTCTGATCTTCACAAATACTTTTCGAGTAGTCCATAAATTTACTCCAGTCTTCCATGAATTTCTGATTCCGCCGGTTTCGAATCCTTCCTGTTAGTTTATCTAATTCTGCATAGTCCATTAACTTCATTCTCCATTCTTCAATCGTCGGTAATTCTTCTTGCTTCCATTTTTGGGCCAGTAATATTCTTGCTCCTGTTATTGCATATAAAAAGGAAAAACATAGTTAAAGGGAGCAAAATGTGATGCCCGTAATACAAGCACTAAGTCTTTCCCCACTGCTTACTGATTTACCCAATCTATGAGCCTTGTTCAAAGATTTAAATTTCCCAGCTGAGAGATTGATTGAGTATCTGATTAACTTTTTATTAGGAGAAAGGTCCTCCTTATACTTCTGAAAAAGTAACCTGTTTTGCCTTTAGACTACCAGTTTTAAGGAGAAATGTTTGCCGGGATGATAAGTTAAATTCTTCAGCGGAGCAAACTCTTATCCGACAGAATGCCTGGTTTTCATAATTACTTTGCATAATGTGTTTTATTCTGTCGTATGTGTCTCGTTTTGTTTTGTAATGGCTTCGGCTACACAAAAATAAATAATATTGGAATCCCCATTTGCAGTATTTGTCATAGAATCATAGAATTGAAGAGTTGGAGAGGGACCCAACAGCCTGCAATCCAGGAACCTCAACCACCTCTCAAAGCACTGATTATAAAATCCAGGATGAGTGAGATTGCCAAGGTGGGCTGGGGAATCGCTGAAAAGGGATCCTAAAAGAAGGGATTTCAAAACTGTCAGCAGAACCATACGTAATATCTCTGTTTCTCCACAAGAGGGCAAAAATAACAGGTAGGCGATTTCCTGTTGCCCTTGATCAATCACATGCAGAATCTCTGCAGTGAGTCCTTAAGGCAGTGGTTTTCTTCCCCACCCCCCACCCCCACCAGTCCACACTTTTGGAATAAAAATTTGCTTGTGCCACATCATAGTTTTTATTGACAAAGAATGCACAGTGCAGCTACGTAAGAATGTGAATCATTCCCAAAGTATAAACGAGCCTCTTACATATGTACCTTAAAAGTATGCATACAAACTCAATGAAAAGTGTGAGCTTGCTTTTGCTGGGTAATCTCATTTATGTTAGGTCAATCCGAGGCAGACCAAGTCTCATCAATGCAAAGAAGCTTTTCTCTTTACCTGAACTCTCCTGTTCGTCAGAGTTGAAAATCCAAGTTTGCAACAATATGTTGAGGAGAAATATAGAAGAATAGCCAGTGCTCGTGAAGAGAGGCATGGATATTGTTTCTGGTTTTGTGTCCATTGTGCAATGGAATGTTTAAATGTTCCTTTGAATTGTCCTTGAATCTTCCTTGCCATCCTCTCCTGCCACACTGCTGCCTTAAGCTGTGTGGCTTCTCAGTACCGAGAAAGCTTCACAGCAGAACATGCCTGGATAGCTCAGTTGGTTAGAGCATGGTGCTGATAATGGCAAGGTTGAAAGTTCAATTCTCAGGGACCCTTCCAACTCCACAGTTCTATTATTCTGTGATCCTATGACCACAAAAAACAAAATGTCTGGCATTAAAAAGAGTATTGTACAGCGGTACCTCGGGTTACAGACGCTTCAGGTTACAGACGCTTCAGGTTACAGACTCTGCTAACCCAGAAATAGTACCTCGGGTTAAGAACTTTGCTTCAGGATGAGAACAGAAATCGCACGGCGGCAGCGGGAGGCCCCATTAGCTAAAGTGGTACCTCAGGTTAAGAACAGTTTCAGGTTAAGAATGGACCTCCAGAACGAATTAAGTTCTTAACCTGAGGTACCACTGTAATTAATCCACGATGCCCACGTATTATGGCTAGTAGCCACAGGTAGCCTTATTCTCTTCCCCCTCCCCCTCCCATACATTTTATTGAAACATTTCACCATTGTTGTTGTTTAGTCGTTTAGTCGTGTCCAACTCTTCGGACCAGAGCACGCCAGGCACTCCTGTCTTCCACTGCCTCCCGCAGTTTGGTCAAACTCATGCTGGTAGCTTTGAGAACACTGTCCAACCATCTCGCCCTCTGTCGTCCCCTTCTCCTTGTGCCCTCCATCTCTCCCAACATCAGGGTCTTTTCCAGGGAGTCTTCTCTTCTCATGGGGTGGCCAAAGTCTTGGAGCCTCAGCTTCAGGATCTGTCCTTCCAGTGAGCACTCGGGGCTGATTTCCTTCAGACTGGATAGGTTTGATCTTCTTGCAGTCCACGGGACTCTCAAGAGTCTCCTCCAGCACCATAATTCAAAAGCATCAATTCTTCAGCAATCAGCCTTCTTTCATTTCACCATACAGTTCAAAAAAAAAAGCTGATCTTAAATAAACAAAAGAAAAGAAAGAGAAAAGGAGCACGGAGAATACAGAGCCCTCTCTCAAAGGTAGAACTTAATCCTTGTCTCGCACAGAAAGAGGTGGGCCCTTCCGGTTAAAGGTTGGCATGGGGGCAACGTGGAAGTTCTGCCTATGGGATGTTCTCTTTATGGTCCTATCCATACACAACTCCTCATTCATTGGCTGTCATTAATTATTATTTATTATTATTATTATTAATTTATTTATATCCCGCCCTCCCCAGCCAAAGCCAGGCTCAGAGCAGCTAACAACAATAAAAATAACACAGTTTACATAAAATCACAGTCAATTAATTGAAATACATTCTAAAATCAATTTATTCTAAAATCAATTCAGAGTCAAATTAATGGCAACCATTGGGCTAGAATGCTATGAGGATTACAGAAGGACTGAGCCTTAGCCAAAGGCCTGGTGGAACAGCTCTGTCTTGCAGGCCCTGCAGGGCCCTGGTCGCTTGTGACAGAGCATTCCACCAGATCGGAGCCACAGCCAAAAAAAGCCCTGGCTTTGGTTGAGGCCAGCCTAACCTCCCTGTGGCCAGGGATATTCAAGATGTTTTTGTTTGAAGACCGTAAGGTCCTCCGTGGGACATACCAGGAGAGGCGGTCCTATAGGTATGAGGGTCCTAGGTGGTATAGGGCTTTAAAGGTTAAAACCAGCACCTTGAACCTGATCCTGTACTCCACCGGGAGCCAGTGCAGCTGGTATAGCACCGGGTGAATGTGATCCCGCGGCGAGGACCCCATAAGGAGTCTCGCCGCAGCATTCTGCAGCCACTAGAGTTTCTGAGTCAGTGTTAAAGGCAGCCCCACATAGAGTGAGTTACAATAATGAAGTGTGGCTAGGATGGCTTTGGGATGCAGGTGGCGCTGTGGGTTAAACCACAGAACCTAGGACTTGCCGATCAGAAGGTCGGCAGTTCGAATCCCTGCGACAGGGTGAGCTCCCATTGCTCAGTCCCTGCTCCTACCAACCTAGCAGTTTGAAAGCACATCAATAGTGCAAGTAGATAAATAGGTACCGCTCTGGCGGGAAGGTAAACGGCGTTTCCGTGCGCTGCTCTGGTTCATCAGAAGTGGCTTAGTCATGCTGGCCACATGACCTAAAAGCTGTACGCCGGCTCCCTCGACCAATAAAGTGAGATGAGCACTGCAACCCCAGAGTCAGTCACGACTGGACCTAATGGTCAGGGGTACCTTTACCTAGGATGGCTTTGGGTCCTCCAGACTGGAGGGGGGGAGGTTCGGATGTGTGGTCTGCAACACGTCTCAGCTGCAATAATGGTGCTTTCGAACTGGGTTTCTACTGAGCAGTCCAGCCATCATTCTGCTCCGTTAGCTATTTTGCAATGCTTCCAGCCCAAAAAGTTTGCAGGCATAGACAGTATTGAAAGCGGAGCTGCGGAAGATGGAGGCCAAGAGTATCGGCTTTGCTATGCTTTGCATGTGCATGGATCCCCCAGCTGAAAAACGTTGCTTTGGTTCTGATCCGTTATAGCTGTTCCTACATTCTTGCACTTTACTCTTCAACCGAGGCCAGATCTCCAAAATGCCATCTGTGGCAAACATCTGTCGGGAGGAATAACTTAGGCCTCAGTGCATCTTGTTGCAACGCACAAGGATCAGAGGCTACAGAGTCCTTCCATGTTACGATGACAAATTTTCCAAAGAAACAGCCCCCATCTTGGGCTTTTAAAGGTCAACATTCCAAAGCAGTTCCCTTCACAAACCACAAATCTATTTTAGCCGATATCCTCCTGGAAAGGAACCTCCTGCTTACGATCGCTGCATGGATTTTCCTATCCCCTCATAGTCTATCTTAAGACCCCTGCTGGTTTTGAGCAGTGATTCCTGCAGTATTGGACCAAGGCAACATTGTTTGCTTGCTTGTTTCCTTTCTTCTTCAGCCCTTCTCCAGCTGGGCAAATGATGTGACGGGTGTCTGTCGGCTTGAAAAAGTTCCCCACCACCACATGTGGCGTTTGAGCCCAATGACTTCATCCATGTTCCTTCTATAATAAATGGATGTGCAGATAGGAGGCTCTGCTTGGTTTTGTGGAGGCAAAATCACCACCTTCCAATGGTCTTCAGCCATGGGGCTTAGCGGGGCACGAAACCATCTTTCAGCTTTGTCAGGATGAGTAAATCTGGTCAAGATTTTGGCAGGCCAACAGAGAGTCAATCGCTTTATGCTGGTGGAGAGATAACAATCTTTGCAGACTTCTGGAAAGTCAAATATCACATCCACGTCATTTGAAGCACATCACTTGCTCCCAAAGATTCCTGCTAACGGTACAGTGGTACCTCGGGTTACATATGCTTCAGGTTACATACGCCTCAGGTTACAGACTCCGCTAACCCAGAAATAGTGCTTCAGGTTAAGAACTTTGCTTCAGGATGATAACAGAAATCGTGCAGCGGCAGCAGGAGGCCCCATTAGCTAAAGCAGTGCTTCAGGTTAAGAACAGTTTCACGTTAAGAACGGACCTCTGGAACGAATTAAGTACTTAACCTGAGGTACCACTGTAGTTTGTTAAGGGTGATACGAATTGTAGCTCTGTAAGGGGGCAAGCTACCGGGTGGCGCTGTGGTCTAAACCACTGAGCCTCTTGGGCTTGCCGATCAGAAGGTTGGCGATTCGAATCCCCGCGACGGGGTGAGCTCCCGTTGCTCGGTCCCTGCTCCTGCCAACCTAGCAGTTCAAAAGCACGTCAAAGTGCAAGTAGATTAATAGGTACCACTCCGGCAGGAAGGTAAACGGCGTTTCCGTGCGCTGCTCTGGTTCGCCAGAAGCGGCTTGGTCATGCTGGCCACATGACCCGGAAGCTGTACGCCGGCTCCCTCGACCAATAAAGCGAGATGAGCACTGCAACCCCAGAGTCATCCACGACTGGACCTAACGGTGAGGGGTCCCTTTACCTTTTAAGGGGGCAAGCTACAGTTCCCAGGTTTCTTTGAGGGGGAGAGCAGTGTGCTTTAAATGTGCGATCGTGTGAGTGTGACCAAAGTTGGCTTTGTCCCCTGGTTTTAATAACAATACCTTTATTGTCAATGTACAACCTGTGTACAATGAAATTAACCAAGCCTCCACCCCCACAAACACTCAATCTCATTGCACTCTGTGTGCTTGTCTCACAACACACCAACCCCGAAAGTCAGTTGCACTATATTATTTTCTGTTCAGCAGCCTAACAGCCCACAGATAGAAACTGTTTTTTAGCCTGTTGGTAGGACTGATTATACTTCTATATCTCCTGCCCGAGGGTAGAAGATTAAAGAGGTGCTGGCCGGGGTGTGAATCATCCCTGAGATTTTTTCTCGCTCTCCTAAGGCCACGATACCTTGTGACGTCATCTAGTGGGGTCAGGGGACAGCCCATGATATCATGTTTCACCACCCTCTGTAAAGACTTTCTGTCCGTGGCTGTCAAGCCAACGTACCACACTGTGATACAATATGAGAGAACACTTTCTGTTGTGGACCTGTAGAAGGAGGTCATCAATTGTTTTTTAACATTGTTCTTTCGCAAGACACTGAGGAAATGGAGTCTGTTGGGCCTTCCTAACCACCTGAGTTGTATTGTTTTTCCAAGTGAGGTCTTCACTAAGGTAAACTCCCAGGAATTTAAAGGAAGAGACTCTCTCCACACAACCCCTCCAATATACAACGGGGCTAGTTCCCCTCTCTTCCTCTGAAAGTCCAACACCAGTTCCCCAAACTGCAAACAGTTTGGGAGAATGGTACATGAAAGGGTGCAGAGAAAAACAGATTGCTACTAAGCAAAACCTTACAATCAGCCCCCCTTCAGAAGAAGAAACAGGACTGTGTGCACCCTTTGCTATTATCTGTCTGTCTATTCTGTGCCACTAAAAAGTTGATTTTGCGACCATTCGGGACAATGCAAACCAAGCAAAGGTGCACAATTTCTTTTGGATGCATATTTTGTGTGGGTGTTATATCTTTGCCAGTGTGGCGTAGTGGTTAGAGCAGGGGTAGTCAACCTTTTTATACCTACCGTCCATTAATGCATCTTTCTTGATGGTAAAATTTCCTTACCGCCCACCAGTGCTCAATGGAAGGAGGATTCAGCTTGCGCCGTAGAATCCCCTACCGCCCACCTAGAATCCTGAAACGCCCACTAGTGGGCAGTAGGGACCAGGTTGACAACCCCTGGGTTAGACCCTGGGTTGGACTCAAGACCTGGAAGACCAGGGTTCAAATCCACCCCGCAGCCACAAAACGTATGGGTGACATTAGTAGTAGTAGTAGTAGTAGTAGTAGTAGTAGTAGTATTACAGTGGATGCTCAGGTTGCAAACGTGATCCGTGCGGGATGCATGTTCGCAACCCGCAGCGTTCGCAACCCGCAGCGGCGTGTCTGCGCACGAGTGGGTTGCGATTTGGCGCTTCTGCGCATGCGCGACCCCCGAAACCCGGTACTTCCGGGTTTCAGCGGGTCCGTAACCCAAAAAAAATGCAACCTGAAGAGTCTGTAACCTGAGGTATGACTGTATTATTATTAATAATAATAATAATAATTCAATTTATACACTGCCGTATACCTGGAGGTCTCAGGGCGGTTCACAACAAGACCACAACATATAAAATCAAACCAAAAGCAGTAACCCAATAGCCCCCCCCAAAAAAAAGCTACATTCTAAAAGGGTTTTGGATGTCAATAAGATCAATCAAAGGCCTGGTTAAAAAGGAACGTTTTGGCCCAGCACCTAAAGGTGTATAATGAAGGCACCGGGTGAAATTCAATCTGCCCATTTCCAAGGATAGTTTTATGGTTAGCCCCTAACCATCCCTGCGTTGTGGGGGTGGGGTTGGACTGCATGCCCTTTGGGGTCCCTTCCAACCCTACAATTCTATGATTCTATAAAACCACCCCTAAATTAATAAAAACAGCCATTAATAAAAACAAATGGTTGCTAGCCTGTCCTTATATCCCTATATTGCTTCTTTATTCTCTCTCTGAGCCACAAATGATTGGTTTTCATGAAGTTTTTCCACCTGGACACCTGGTGGCAATGCCTGGGGGGGGTCACAGGAGAGCACGCAAGGAACTTTTTTGGGGGGAGGGGCAAGCTTGTTACATTCACATTCAAAGTATCCATCTCAAATAAAAAGAGCTTTTTGATTACAGTGGTACCTCGGGTTACAGACGCTTCAGGTTGCAGACTCCGCTAACCCAGAAATTGTACCTCGGGTTAAGAACTTTGCTTCAGGATGAGAACAGAAATCACATGACGACGGCACAGCAGCAGCAGGAGGCCCCATTAGCTAAAGTGGTACCTCAGGTTAAGAACAGTTTCAGGTTAAGAACGGACCTGGCATCCTTCTGAGCAAGCGAGCATCTTTCTCATACAATGTGTTTGCAGGACAGGGCTTGGACATAATTGCGGCGAGCGAAATGTGAGTGAAAGGAATTGGGGGTTGGGGACACAGGGAAGGAGCTGTTTCCCTTGCCAGCTCTGTGGTCAACACCACTGCCCTGACCTGATTACTTCAGCTGATGTTTTTCCTAAATCTGTCATGAATCAGCAATTATCAGCTTTCGCAACACTCTGTGACTGTCCTGCGAGAAGCTGCTGAGGGACTGTTTTATTGTGGGCTGGATGTTCCTGAAAGGACCTTTGAATATACAAAGACACACACACACACACTCCTTACACCCTCGGCTTTTCCTTGGCCAGAGAAAGTGCAGAAAGACAGAAGGGGGAAGAGGAGAGGGAGGTTAGAGAGCAAACTTCCACATCCCCCAAGTGTGAGGGAAATTCAGCTGAACGCAATTTGGATGTGAACCGAACGATGCCTTTTATAACAGGCTCGCATGTCAACAATATATTTTTCCATTAAGCCCTGGAAGAGGTCCAGATTGGGGAATTAAACGTTCCTTCTTCCATGGGAGTCCTTGCATAATAGGGAACGCGTGGAGTGGAATGGGATTAGCACCCATGCGCAGCTAATAGTTCCAAAAGGGCTCCGCTTCCTGTGCCTGGCTCACTGTGTATTGAAAAATTGTTGCTAAGTTCTTTGGTGTGTTTTTTTTAAATGAAGGCAAAAAATAAGGGAATTTTCCCACCGGTTGATCAGCAGAACACTGGACAAACATGCTGGGTGATCTGTGTCAGGAGGTCTGTTTTGCAGGTCAGCACAGTCCCTAGGAAGCTCAAAAAAAAAAAAAAAGCCAGAGAAGACAAAAATGCAAACACAATTCAGCACAGTTTGCTAAGAGTACTGATGGATAAATCTGTCTGTTTTGGTCCCCTCAGTTTTCAAATCAGCACTTTGCTTTTTTAAAAAAAAAAGTATCTTCATTAAAATGAACCAGTATTTTACTGCAAATTTCTCCGAAGAAACACATCTCTGTATGCAATTTCGCTTAACACAAACATTCTTTGCAAGCAATTTCCCCTATAGTTTTATGCACGTGTCGTAAAGCGCTCTGAGACCTTGAATAAATAGTGTTATATAAATATTATTTATAGATGAATAAATTCAATACAGTCATATATGCATTTTCATGTGCGCTTTCCCTTGTAATCTGCATTTTTGTACACATTGTTTGGGATTGCCTTGCAAAATTCAGAGAAATTCGAATTTTGAAGGATAAGTGTGTTTTGGTTCGCGTATTGGTGCGAGCAGAGTGTAGTTTCTCATTAAAATGCAAACAAGATTTAATTTCCTCTCTGTCCTTAGCTGGGAGTCATCAGGCTTCAAGGCATGAGATTGTGGACATGGAGCATAGGAGCCAACTTCTAGGGGCTGAGGGGTCTTCGGCCCCCCAATAAAATATTTAAGGTTGCTACCCGCCCCCTGTTGATGGACATTGCCATTCAGATGGTTTGTGAGCACCACATCATGTGATCGATTATGCAAGGTGGGGCTTACCTCCTCCCCATATTTTATTCAAATTGGCACCCCAGGTTAATAGACTACCCTGTCCCTTTCGTTAAAGTTTAAAACTTTCAGCTGCTCTTTGCCCTTCAGCTATGAGCCTGCTACTCTGAAATCCTTATAAAACACTCACTGAACACTTGATAACAAGCCCCACCCCAATGCCTGGGGTGCTTAGTTAAGCCCTGTGGCTAGAGTTCAATAAAGTAAATTAATTAATTAAAATGTACACGGCTTCTGTGAATAGGAAGGGACATAGGCAGCTGCCTTATGTTGAGCCAGACTCTTGGACTAGATAGCTCAGTATTGTCAACACTGACTGGCCATCTCTCCCAGCCCTACCTGGTGATGCCAGGGATTGAACCTGTGACCTTCTGCACATAAAACAGATGCTCTACCACTGAGGTACGGTGCTTCCTAAGCACTCGCTCTTAGAGGAGGCTGCCCGCTGTGTCTCTGCATAATGCATTAACCTGGCCTACTTCCAATCAGCCTTCACTGGTAGAGGACAGTTGCTGTGTGCCATTTCTGCCCTACTAGTTGAAGACCAACATCTGATTCACAACAGAAGAAGAAGAAGAAGAGTTTGGATTTGATATCCCGCTTTATCACTACAGTGGTACCTTGGGTTAAGTACTTAATTCGTTCCAGAGGTCCGTTCTTAACCTGAAACTGTTCTTAACCTGAAGCACCACTTTAGCTAATGGGGCCTCCTGCTGCCGCTGCGCCGCCGGAGCACAATTTCTGTTCTCATCCTGAAGCAAAGTTCTTAACCCAAGGTACTATTTCTGGGTTAGCAGAGTCTGTAACCTGAAGCATATGTAACCTGAAGCGTATGTAACCCAAGGTACCACTGTACCCTAAGGAGTCTCAAAGCAGCTCACAATCTCCTTTCCCTTCCTCCCCCACAACAAACACTCTGTGAGGTGAGTGGGGCTGAGAGACTTCAGAGAAGTTTGACTAGCCCAAGTTCACCCAGCAGCTGGAGCGGAGACGCGAACCCGGTTCACCAGATTACGAGTCCACCGCTCTTAACCACTACACCATACTGGCTATATGCAGGTAGGTGTCTTTAAAAAAAAAAGGCATCTCTAATCACATGGCGGTTTTGGATCAGGTTGGCCATATTGATTTGTATGCTGTTGGTGGATTTTTGTCATTGTCTTGTTGGGCTGTGTATGTGATAAAGGGGAGCCATACCGGGGTGAAGGCATCTTCTTCTATTTGTCCCGGTGTCAGTTTCAGTTTATTGGTTAATTTTTCTAGTAAGGCTGTTTTCCATACTATTTGGTACCATTGGTCCACGCTTACTCCTGACAGGTCTCTCCAGTGTCTGGTTACTCACACATGAAAACAAAGACCACCTAGCAAAACTGAGGGGAAGAGTTAGAGGAGTATTGAACCAGGAAATATTTGGAGAATGGAGAATATTTAAGGATTATATAAGATCATATTGTACCAATCACACCATATTAGCAGAACTTGAGTGATACTTGTAAACACAACAAATACCGTTTGTGGAGTAGACGGGAACAATATTAAAGAATATAAAACTGTGCGGAAAAAATGACAGTAGAAACAGTACAATGAGAATGATTGGAAGACTCATTTTGTCAGAAGTCTTTTTTATTTAAGTGTTTAATTAAGAATTAGGAAGATTAAGTTTTTTTATGTACGTAAATTTGCTTTTTCTTCTTTCTTCTTTCTGTATTTTCTTTTCTTTCTTCTTAATTGTTTTTTCTTTAATTTTCTTTTTGTAGTATGAGATTGTAAATTCTTTGTATAAGTGTGTAATTAAAATTAATAAAGATTTTTTTTTTAAAAAAGACCACCACAGCCAACCACAAATGAACAACCACACACTAGGCCTACCCCAACCTCTCTCACCACCAAAGGAACACAAGTGAACAGCAGAGAACCTGCACAAGCAACGCTGACACAAAAACCCACATATATTAAGTAAAATAGAAACATCGCCACCCGATAGAAACCCCCACTCATCTTTGTTCCCCCCTCCACCTCTTTCCCCCTTTTTTTCCTAATGTCTCGACAAATGAAACTGATTTGTAAAAAAATGTTAAATATGGGGGAATAAGAGAGAGAGACATTGCACATACTTTTGTAAATCAAGAAAATCTTAAATAAAAATATTTTTAAAAAAAAACGCATGGTGGTTTTAATTGCACCAATTCAATTGGCAAGCTTTAGGGTTACACAGAAGTCTTGGTGGGTTCTCCTTCCTTGGAGGTTTTTAAGCAGAGCTTGGATGCCCATCTGTCACAGATGCTTTAGTTGAGGTTGGACTAGATGGCCTTTGGGAGTCCCTTTCAACTCTACAATTCTCTGATTCTGGTATTCTTCTTGGGACGGGGAACTGACGCCTTCATCCTTCCAAAGCAGCAGTTCTCAACCTGTGGGTCCCCAGATGTTGTTGGACTACAACTCCCATCATCCCTAGCTAGCAAGGCCAGAGCTAAAGGATGATGGGAGTTGTAGTGCAACAACATCTGGGGACCCACAGGTTGAGAACCGCTGTTCTAAAGCCTGCTCTCCTGCCAAGGCAACTTGTTCAATGCCACCTGAACCCTTTTAGACCTCATGTCGTCCATTAGCGCCGCTTTTGTTTCAATCCCCTTCAAGATGATTAATTCCAGCCCGGATATGATAAATGGCTCCTTTGCGACTGCACATAACTTTGTTAACTCCTGTGCAGCACCCTCGTAAAGACCCGCGCATTAAATTCCTTCCCAGGAACATCAGAATTTCCTTTCGGGTCATTAATAACATTTGCTTGCGGGAGGTGAATTGACAGAGGGGGGGCAATTCCTCCCCACCGCCTTGCAGATATTCCCTCTGAGCAAAGATTGATAAGCGTGGCTGTGGCCCCACATTCTGAGAGGCTGGAAGAATCACTTCTACTGCTGGAGACTCCTGCCAGAAGATCACTCAGTGCTTTAAGGCCTTGCTAAGGATTGCAGATATCTGTTATGCATTTGGAGAAGCGGCAGCTGGGAGGCCAAAGATGAAAAGTTATTTGCACAAACTAGGCAGGTATGGAATCAGGGGAGGGGAAGAGCCGTAGCTCAGGGGTACAGCATCCGCTTTGCATGCAGAAGGTCCCGGGTTCAGTCCCTGGGATCTTCAGGTAGGACTGGGAATGCTCCCCTCTCTGAAACCCTGTAGGGTGTCCATCAATAAGCAGATGATACCCAGCTCTACCTCTCAAATCAGAACCAGTGAAGGCGGTGAAGGTCCTGTGTGAGTGTCTGGAGGCAGTTGGAGGGTGGATGGCAGCTAACAGATTGAGGTTGAATCCTGACAAGACAGAAGTACAGTGGTACCTCAGGTTACATACGCTTCAGGTTACAGACGCTTCAGGTTACAGACTCCGCTAACCCAGAAATAATACCTCGAGTTAAGAACTTTGCTTCAGGATGAGAGCAGAAATCGTGCTCTGGGGGTGCGGCGGCCACAGGAGGCCCCATTAGCTAAAGTGGTGCTTCAGGTTAAGAACAGTTTCAGGTTAAGAATGGATCTCCGGAATGAATTGAATACTTAACCTGAGGTACCACTGTACTGTTTTTGGGGGACAGGAGGGGGGGTTGTGGAGGACTCCCTGGTCCTGAATGGGGTAACTGTGCCCTGAAGGACCAGGTGCGCAGCCTGGGAGTCATTTTGGACTCACAGCTGTCCATGGAGGCGCAGGTCAATTCTGTGTCCAGGGCAGCTGTTTACCAGCTCCATCTGGTATGCAGGCTGAGGCACTATCTGCCCGCAGACTGTCTCACCAGAGTGGTGCATGCTCTGGTGATCTCCTGCTTGGACTACTGCAATGTGCTCTACGTGGGGCTACCTTTGAAGGTGACCTGGAAACTACAACTAATCCAGCATGCGGCAGCTAGACTGGTGACTGGGAGCGGCCGCCGGGACCACATAACACCGGTCTAGAAAGACCTACATTGGCTCCCAGTACGTTTCTGAGCACAATTCAAAGTATTGGTGCTGACCTTTAAAGCCCTATTTGCTGAAGCAATCAAACAGCAATACAGTGGTACCTCGGGTTAAGTACTTAATTCGTTCCAGATGTCCATTCTTAACCTGAAACGGTTCTTAACCTGAAGCACCACTTTAGCTAATGGGGCCTCCTGCTGCCACTGCGCCGCCGGAGCACGATTTCTGTTCTCATCCTGAAGCAAAGGTCTTAACCCGAGGTAATATTTCTGGGTTAGCGGAGTCTGTAACCTGAAGTGTATGTAACCTGAAGAGTATGTAACCCGAGGTACCACTGTACAGCTCCGTGACTGACTCACAACTTACGGAGACTGAACAAGACTGACGACAAAATGTAACACCTACACCCGGAGATCAGCACTGGTTGCTGATTTGCTACCCAGCCAAGTTCAAGATGAGCCTATAAAGCCCTTAACAACTTGGGTCAGTTTTGCTGCAAGATCACCTTACGCCCTTATATACCTACTTGATCTCTTCAAGGAGCGGAACTGCCATTGTTTCATGTGCCACATAATACCCATTCCGCATAATAATAATAATAATAATAATAATAATTATACAGTGGTGCCTCGCAAGACGAAATTAATTCGTTCCGCGAGTTTTGTCGTCTTGCAATTATTTTCGTCTTGCGAAGCACGGTGTCGGGAAAGTTTTGGAAAAGCTTCAAAAATCACCAAAGTCTTTAAAAACCTCAAAAAAGGCTACCCCACCGCGTTCTATGAGTTGCTCCTCGAAGTCAAGTCTCAACTGTATTAACGGTGTTAAGAAAAAGGAAACAAACTTGCAAGACGTTTCCGTCTTGCGAAGCAAGCCCATAGGGAAAATCGTCTTGCGAAGCAGCTCAAAAAATGAAAAACCCTTTCGTCTGGCGAGTTTTTTGTCTTGCGAGGCATTCGTCTTGCGAGGTACCACTGTAATAATAAATCCAGCACTGCCCTCTCAATGGAAACCAGGCAGGTGCCTTCACTGCATTCCTTCGGCACCTGCTAACATTTTGGTTTAGACAAGCTTACCTAGACACGTAGAACATCCATGTATATTTCAATCTGTTTTAACTTTATGGCGGATTTTATTTTTTCAGTGCATGCAGTAGTTGTTTTCATTGGTAATTTTTTTGCCCAATCTAAACCGCTTTGAGTTTCCTTGCAGTCGCTTTTACAATCAAGCGATGTATACATTTTGTGAAACAGAGAAAAGAAGCTTGTGCCTCGCTCATAAATGTGCCCGGTCTTTTAAGGTGCCACAAACTCTTCGCTGGTTTTCGGGGGTTGGACTAGATGACCCTCGGTGCCCCTTCCGACTCTACAGTTTTGTGATTCTATCAAACAGACCACGGCAGGGCTACCCTTCTGGAACGCGCCCTTTGAAAAGGAATCCCTTTACTGAGCAGCGCCTTCCATTGAAGAAGAAGAAGAGCAAAGCGCAAAACAAAACATGAAAATAATAAATTCTGGGTTTGCACCGCGCGACCTCTTCTCCGCCCTGTGTTTCGACATCAGGCTCTTCTCAGAAAGGGTCAAGTCAGCGGAAGATCGGTAGGGGGCGTGCAATGGATGCAAACAGTAGCCGGGAAGTTTGTCAAAGATCTTTGCTAAGGGAGGCGGTGCGGGGAACACGCTCCATCTGTGAACGGAGCGCAGCGAAGGCGCAGGCTTAACCTGCCGTTGGGGAGAGAGCTTCCATCAGCTCTCTCCAACTCCTCTCTCTGCAAACTTGGGCGTCTTGCAGCCTGGCTCGCTTCGGGAAGGGAGTCCACCCTCTTCCCTCCTCACCTAAGCTGCGGTCTTCAAGAGGGGCATCGCGTTCTTGCGGCTGTGCAGGTAAGGCGCGCCCGGATTCGGATTCAGATTCGGATTCCGATGGCACGCAGCGGCGGCGGGAGAGAGAGAGAGAGAGGTGATTCCTCGCTTGGTTAGGTGGGCAGATTCTTGCAAAGGAAAGTTTCTGGCGCACCGAGATTTGCGGGTGCAAATGGATCAATGCAAGGATTTTCCGTGCGCCGAAGTGGATGCAGTTTGCAAATCTTGCAAGCGGAATGTAGGGGATTTCCCCCTCGCCCTTGGGGTGGTTTGTGGGTCGTGTCTCCCACTCAGTCCGATTAGACTCACTGGAAAACTTGAGCGACTTCAGGGGATTGTTTTCAGCGCCTAGGACTTGGTGGGGTACCACCCTCAGCTGGGAAGGTTTTCTAGTCCAGGGGGGATAAGAATGTTAGGGTTGGTGTGGGGAGACAAGCAATCGTTGCTTGCTTTTACATATATTAAATTTATATCCTGCCTTTCCTCCCTAAGGAGCCCAGGAGGTAACATGAGATTATAGAAAGAGGGAGAAGCAACTGGGAAGGAGGGAGGTAGTGTTCTGAACTCCTTGTCTGGCTGTGCAAACCTAAGGAATATCAACTCAGAAGGAAGCTCCACTGCCTGTTCAATTAAAGACTTCCTCTCCTATGTTGGCTGCCCTGTTGGAGCGGAAACCTTTAACTGAACAGGCAGTGGGAACTCTGTGGTCCTTAAACACCATTTTTGGGAGTTAACTCTCCTTGAATTCCACAGGGCTTCAGTTTCTGAAACGCAAATATGTTTAGGGTCCAGTCTGCTTGGGGTAGGAGACAGAGGCGGTTTTAGGGTAGCGCGACCGGTTTGGCCACACTGCAGGGGGCGCCACAACAATGCTGTAGAACGGAGAGCGAGAGAGGCTTTGAATTTGAGAGCCCCAAGTCCACCACTTCAATCAATCAGAATAGTGAGAGGTGACTAGGCAATGCCATACCAAAATTAATAATATCCAAAAGGGAAGGGCAACCTGGAACTTTATTCTCCGGGGCGAGGGGAGGTTTCTGGACTTAACGAAGGATACCTTTCTTAAAATAAGGGGGCTGGCTGGTTGTTGAGAGCCAGAGTGGTGCAGGGGTCAGGGTGTTGGACTGGATATTGGGGAGACACCTGTTCAAAGCCCCACTCAGCCAGGAAACTCGCAGGGTAACCTTGGACCAGTCACGCGCTCCCAGCCCATCCTACCTCTCAAGGCTGTTGTGAGGATAAAATGGAGGGAAGGGAAGAACGGCGTATGCCACCTTCAGCTCCTTGGAGGGAAAGTGGCATATGGATGTGGTAATAAAATAAAGAAAATCAGTAAAGCCAGGGAGTTGGTTAGAGCATGGTGCTGTTATACGCTGAGGTTGCAGGTTCGATCCCTGTATAGGATGACTGCATATTCCTGCATTGCAGGGGTTGATTCTAAGATTTAATGCATTTCTTTCTGTGCCCATACATTCCACACACAGAGACACCAGTTCTTGATGAAGTAGGTAAAATACTAAGCTGCAAGGACTTGGTGGTTTTGCAGCCACATTACCCTGAGGCAGACCATTCCAGCTGGCAGCAGTTGAGGGTAGCGGGGCGTTCCCACAGCCTTCGTACCTGCTTTAAAATTTTAGAGATGGGGGAGGAAAGCGGGGGAGGAAATATGGGGGACCTAGATAGGTAGGGTGTTGTGTTATGTGAGAGAAAGGGGGGAAGGTGTAAGAGAAAGGGTGTGTGGAGAACGGATCCTGTATCAATGGGGTTCGTCCTCACATGTGTTTGAATGGAGGCACGGGATGTTTGAGTGAGAATGAATGGATGGTGTATGAATGGGGTGAATGGGTGGGGGTGAGAAAGAGAGTGGGGTGTGTCCTGCAAAAATAGCTGCTAGTTGCTACATCAGAGATGGTGAACCTGTAGCCCTCCAGATCTCGTTGGACTACAACTCCCATGATCCCTCACCACAGGCTTTGCTGGCTGGGGCTGATGGGAGCTGGGATCCAGCAACATCTGGAGGGCCACAGATTCCACACACACCCCACCGCATCCCTGTCTGAGATGGGCCAACAAAACGGATGCCACTTTGCCTGACATTCTCACAAACTTTTGGACCAATCTGATATTCATCCTCAAGCATAGGACGTTAAGCACTGGCATTATTCCGCATGCTGAATTTAGGCCGCTGTAAGCCTGGGGGTGGCGCTGTGGGTTAAACCACAGAGCCTAGGACTTGCCAATCAGAAGGTCGGCGGTTTGTATCCCCGTGACGGGGTGAGCTCCCGTTGCTCGGTCCCTGCTCCTGCCAACTTAGCAGTTTGAAAGCACGTCCAAGTGCAAGTAGATAAATAGGTACCCCTCCGGCGGGAAGGTAAACATCATTTCCGTGCACTGCTCTGGTTCGCCAGAAGTGGCTTAGTCATGCTGGCCACATGGCCCGGAAGCTGTACGCTGGCTCCCTCGGCCAATAAAGTGAGATGAGTGCTGCAACTCCAGAGTCGGCCACGACTGGACCTAATGGTCAGGGGTCCCTTTACCTTTTTAAGCCTGCCGATCCTAGCTGATTGCACTTTGCATCCAGGTCACCGACTGACCTAGAAATTAACCACTTGCCATTTTGCTTGTGGCAAGTAAGAAATTTTTCCAGGTGACCAAGCAGGAATATTTCTGTAAAATGGAAGAGAAAATGTCCCTCTCTGCATTCCTTTTTAAGGCTGCTGATATGCTGCAAATGGTGTATGTGTGTAGCGAACAGGCAGGTAAAATGTTTCTAACTTTGGTGGATTTATTGGCAAGACTGCCCTAAATATATTCCACTACTAAAGGGGGGGGGGATAAATGCTGGTTGCTTCCTGCAAGACCATAAGCCCTGAACCTGTGGAGCCTTTTCTGTAGATGGCACTGAAGGGGCCTGAATGAGATATATTGTGCTGGAACCAGAAGATGTATTGCCTAAGAGAAGACACTTGATAACGAGTCTGAATACTCTAGTTGTAGAATACTCTAGAACTGGAATGGGGCTGAAATAAGAAACATGTCCACTGGATTTTGTACACCTTGATCTGATCCAGTAAAAGAATTCTCAACCTCTTGTGTTTTGTGGAAACAGGAAGCGTAGCAGAAGGCACCTCTGGCAACCTTCACAGAATTATACTTACAATATATATAGCAGAATTTGAAGGGGTGCATCCAAAGCATCCAAAGAATCGTTCTGGCAGTGCAAGGGTGTTCTGACCCACCGTTCTGGGGTTCCCCCAACCTTCTGGAGCAGATTTGGAGAGGGCCTGGACCACACACAGGAGGAGGAGGAGGAGGAGGGCTGGAAAAAGGTCTGTTGCACAAGTGCAAATCCTTGTGCAGACAGGATGAGTGCACTGGATACTGCCCAAAGCTTTTCATATACCTCATTGTGATAGTCCTTACAACACCCCTGTAATGTAGGCCAGTATTATTGTTGTTGTTTCTTCCTTTGAACACTTAAAGAGCCAGTGTGGTTAAGAGTGGTAGTCTCGTAACCTGGTGAACCGGGTTCGCTTCCCCGCTCCTCCACATGCAGCTGCTGGGTGACCTTGGGCCAGTCACACTTCTCTGAAGTCTCTCAGCCTCACTCACCTCACAGAGTGTTTGTTGTGGGGGAGGCAGGGAAAGGAGAATGTTAGCTGCTTTGAGACTCTTTAGGTTAGTGATATAGCAGGATATCAAATCCAAACTCTTCTTCTTCTTCTTAAAGTATATAGAAAATAAAATATTGGGGAGCAACTCCCCTACATATTCTCACAAGAAAGGGGAAAGCGTTCTTTCCCAAGATAATTGCTCCCTTTGCTTCTGTCCAAGGTCGAAGATGGAAGAAAGCAAAAATTACCACATGCTAGTGTGGCAGTTCAGGGTTTTAGAGATGCATTTCAGGACAATGTGGGTGTGAACCAGCTGCAGATGCTGGAGTACAGAGATGTATTATGCATTATGTTTTCAATGTGTGATCATAGAATTGTAGAGTTGGAAGGGACCACGAGGGTCATCTTTTCCACCCCCTGTGATGCAGGAATATTTTGTCCAATGCGGGGCTCAGACCCATAATCCTGAGATTAAGAGTCTCATGCTCTACTGACTGAGCTATCCCAGCCTACAAGTTGTGTCTATTGCAGGTGAGATTTGAACAGGGGACTTCTTGTTCCTCGCAGGTCACTCTTCTCCACAATACAAAACCAGTGCTTTATTTCTTATTTCTTTTTTTTAAATAAAATTTTATTCACTTCCTTCTGTCATTACATACATCTCATATCAATAACATACATATTACAACTCTTCACCCCTTCCCTCCTGGGCTTCCCTCAGCTTCCATTTCTGATTTGTTACCCGGAAGCTGTACACCGGCTCCCTCTGCCAATAAAGCGAGATGAGTGCCGCAACCCCAGAGTCGGTCACGACTGGACATAATGGTCAGGGGTCCCTTGACCTTACTACATACTGCTGCTTCTTAAAATCCACTATATCATTTCTTCATTATTTTAAATGTTCTCTGTTAATAAAGATGTGAGTGTTTATTTAAATCCTGCCGTCAAGTCGATGTTCTTTCTTTGTTTCTGCAAATATATTATAAAAGGTCCCCACTCTTTTTCAAAGTCACTGTTGTCCTTTTCTCGTAGTCCATCCATCAGTTTTGCCAGTTCTGTGTAATTCATCAATTTCTCTTGCCGTTGTTCTTTTGTTGGAATTTCTCCAGTCTTCCAGTTTTGTGCTATCAGACCAGAGCTTTATTTCTAAGCACAAAACTCTCCCACCTTCTTATGCTTTCTATTTGAGTTACTTTTCATTTATTAAACTTACAAGTTGATTGTCACATCTTCAAGCAACTTACATACAGTTGATAGACTGATAGATACACACACACATACATAATACCGTATGCTTTTCACATGTGCACCATCATCATTTAGTGCAAACAGCACCAGGAGTTGATATGGCATATGTGTTGGGCATTGATGCTCAAAGGTTTTGTGTCAAGACTCCCACCATTGCAGGCTCAAGACTTTTTAAATGGGACGTCCTCTGCACATGAGGTCAAGAGATAAGGGTGGAATTCATGTTTGTGTGGATAACCTTGTTCAATGGTCACAGCTGAAGCGAGTCATGAGGTTCGGTTGAATGCAAAGTGGGTTCAGTGGTTCATATCATTACGTTGGTAAAGAAGGGCAGGTGCTGTCCTGTGTATTTCAGGAAGTTGGAGAGTTCAGGTGATGCCTAGGTTCTGTGGTACGGAGGCTGGATTTCTTGTGTCGCTTTTTAGAGCACTTTCACACATTACGCAGAGGCTGACCTGGGTTTGCCACCTCGTGTACACTCAAAATACCTCAGGGGTGTTATCATATGGCATCCTTAGGCAACTGCTGAGGCTGCAAAGCCCGTTTTGAAAGCGACTGGGAGTCACCATGTTCATCTCCCACAATGCCCCAGAAAGATGCAACATCAGGGGTGAAATATACTCTGAGTCAAGAGTAGATTTCATGCTCTTTATTCAGCTCATAGTGGTGAGGAGGAATGGAAGTTCGTCCAGAATGTCTGCTTTATATACATTATTTACACAATGGGCCCCACGTGATTGGCTAATTCTGGGATTCACCTGTAGGCCAATCAGGTTGCGGATTCACTTCCACCTGGATCTGGATTGGGTGGCTCCTGCGGACCAATCCGACTGCTGCATTCTGAATCCTATTGTTCTAGGACCAATTCGACTGCTGCCTTTTGGATCCTATTCAACTCAGGACATAACAAGGGGCATTATGGGAAATTAGCATGGCAGCTCCCAGCTGCTCAGCACAGCACTGCTGCCACTGCCTCAAGTCCCAAAGTTGGTGCCCCCCCCCAAATGAGATATTTTGCCTAGCTTCCCCATAAACCTGGAGCGAGCTTAGTTGCTATAAATGTAATATCTGGCCCATAATGAGGGTCTGTTCCTGATCCTTGCAGGTGGTTACATAGCAAAAGGCCAATTCTGCCATCGGCCTCTTTCTCGCCAAAACCAGGCAGCTTCTCATTCCTTTTCTGATGGGAAAATCCTATGTGGTCGCTGATGGCTGTTTAGAGAAGATTATAGGGTAGCTTCCTACACTTCCTATATATTGCATCTGTGGTTGGCCACTCTGGAAAGAGGATGCAAGAGGCCCCGGTACCTCTACTCCTCTCTCTCCCTCTGTTCCCACCACCATTGGGCTCAGGAGCAACTTAGGTTGGGAAATGTGGACCAGCACATTGCTGGAGGGGAGGGAGTGCAAATTCAATAGTGACATATAAGAACATGGAGGTCTGCCTTGTATTGAGTGAGAACACAGTTCCCTCTTGATCAGAATAGCCTACTGGCAATTGTGGCAATCTCACAGGGTCCCCAGACGTTTCACCGCCTTTTGATCCCTGTGCCACCACTTTATTTCTTGCTGCCACCACCCAGGCCCTACCTGGTACAATACTGAGTCCAGCCAGGGTTAAAACCACAGAGCCTAGGACTTGCTGATCAGAAGGTCGGCAGTTCGAATCCCCGTGACGGGGTGAGCTCCCGTTGCTCGGTCCCTGCTCCTGCCCACCTAGCAGTTCAAAAGCACGTCAAAGTGCAAGTAGATAAATAGGTACCGCTCCGGCGGGAAGGTAAACGGCGTTTCCGTGCACAGCTCTGGTTCGCCAGAAGCGGCTTAGTCATGCTGGCCACATGACCCGGAAGCTGTACGCCGGCTCCCTCAGCCAATAAAACGAGATGAGCGCTGCAACCCCAGAGTCGGTCACGACTGAACCTAATGGTCAGGGGTCCCTTTACCTTTAACAAGTGTGTGGTTTCATAAACGGTATTGGTCAATTACAATCATGGGGTGCCTATCCAGACCTATAAATTCCGCTACCTGCTCTCACTCACTAAACCACCTCTCAGATATTTACTCGTCTTCCTAGCCCCTAACTGTTCCTGACCCAGCTCATTTCGCTACACTGACTCAACCTACCCACAGACTCTATCCCAATTCACTCCCACTCCAACCAACTTCCCAACGAACGAACTCCTTCGCCCCTCCCAGAGCTGGCTTTATAGTCCCTCTGACTCCACCCCCTGGGTTCTGATTGGGTAACCTGTTTAACTATTTCACCTCCAGCACTCTCATATGTTAATGTCACAGCAATATTGGCAGTGGCTCTCCATGGTTTCAGAGAGAGGGGACATTTCTGTCCTAACTGGAGAAATGCAGACCCTCCAAGTGTCCCTATTTCCCAGGGGCATCCGTAATTTAGAGAAGCCGTTTGGAATGTCCCACTTCTCCTTAGGATGTCCCTATTTTCATTGGAGAAATGATGGAGGGTATGGAGTTATCCAACCCACCCGAACCGTCTGAAGGCAATCCTGTGTACGGACGTTTTTTTAAATGTTTAATTATATTTTTTTATATATGTCAGAAGCTGCCCAGAGTGGCTGCAGCAACCCCTTAAGGTGTGTGGGGTATAAATAGTAAAATTATCATTATGGAATGGGATGTCCCTATTTGCACTGGAGAAATGTTGGAGGGTATGGAAGTGGGGAATAGAATCTGGGATCTTGAGCATTTTTGTGGGGCCGGGGGGCGTGTAGCAGCTTTTGAGAATACCACATGGTAACGTGGGATCTGGCCTTAAGTGTACATTGAGCAGGAAGAGAATTTGCTTACAGTCTTACAGATACGAAGGTTCTTTAAGGTTTTCCTTTCAGGTGGATTCAGATGGCAATGCTGAAGACTGCCATTCTTATGTGGTGGCCAGGTTCCTGGATGTTCTTATTCTATGTTTCCTTGCTGCCGTTTTATTTCTGTAAAATGCCCCTTCCCCGCAAACAAAAATGCAAAAACGGAACCAACCTCTGAAATAATATGATACGATAATCTTTATTGTCATTGTCCCATACAGAACAACAAAATTGGGGGGGGGGGGATATCTACATAAGACATTCAAAACCAACAAGCCTGCTATCCCAGCTATCCCAACCTGGTTAGCCCCCTAAAAACTCTGATACCCCATTTTTAAAATACAATATACTCCCATAGAGACTCTGTGAATAGTCTCCCATAGAGACTAATGTGAAACCAACAGCAAGTCACTTTAAGGCCAGCAATAAAAATAAGTATTAAGCACCAGCACGGATTAAAATGAAGCCCCTCTAATCAACCTGGAATGGCTTTTAAGAATTAAAAAGTTGCTTCGCCCTTCGGCAAAGCATAGAGAGCAGTGGAAGTCTTGCATAGCTGTTCCGTAAAGTGGGGCTGTCTGGTTGTATATAGGCCCTTGTGCCACACATACCCCACCCCACCCCAGCAGTGGGGCAGGAGCTGATTTCTCCATCATGCTGTCATTTGCAGTGGCCAGTTGACGCAGGTCCAGGTGGAAGGGCAGTTATCCAGGAGAGGCGAAGCCCACACACTTAATCTTGCCAACGTGGTTGCTTTGTTTACAAGACATGAGCTTGCATCGTAGGGAAGCAGTTCCCTTGCTTCTGTGTTGAGTTGGGTGGGACAAAAACAGGGGAACGTTTTGAACTGACCTGAGCAATTTGGACAATGAAGTTTAAACAGAAAAGAATCTGTCACTAGAGAACAGTGGCTGTCACTAGAGAACAGTGGCTTTTACATTAGGCACAATTCACAGTTATTATAATAATGTCTGTTTTGTTGCCTTCCCCTCCTCAGTTCCAGAAAGGTACAAGCTTGGAGCATCACTAAACTACAAGCAACACTCTCCTATTTGTCTCAGGGCTCAGTTCTGCCCTCTCTCATCAGGTAATTTCCCCATTTTCTCTCCTAGGGTACAGTTACAGATCTTTGTCGCTCTGTGAAGCATTTCTGGGGTTTTTTTAGTTTTAAATTCCAAAAATACAAAGTTAAGGTAAATCATTCCCATCACAGGTACATTTGTTTGGCCACTGAAGAGGACTTTATGCTGAAACGTGTCCGACCAGTTGCTCTAAGAGGCTCTCACCTTTAACTCACATTTGGCCTATAAGCAGAACACAGGAGTGCATTCTTAATATTTCTCTGTAGTGTGCATCTCGCCTTACAGAATATTTAAAAAAAAATATGTTTATGTGGGCATAACCAAGTGTTTTACCTTACCTTTTTGAAATTTTATTCTGCTGAAGAGAGCAGTTTTTCCATATTTGTGTGTGGTTTTATTTAAATGCCTGGTTTAAAAGAACACATCTAAGAAAATGATGTTGAATTATAAATTGTTCAAAGTTCTGTTCTCAAAATTTTTATTCACATTTAGGTCACCCAGCAATTATGGGGGACTACTTTTAGATGTTGTTCAGTGAACTAATTCACTGTTTAACTGAACTAGTCCAAGCACTGCTCTGAAGTGGTACATCCCAGAGACAGGTTTGATCCTGCACTGAAACCCAGGCATCTGCTAGGTCTCCTTTCTCAGTTCCCTGCTATCAGGAGTGCCTGACTGTCATCTACCTATGTGGTTGTTTTTAAACTGGGCTTCCTTTCTTTTAAGATCCATGATGGCGCTGTTCGCTGTCCTTGCTGCATTGATGCTCGCTACAGTTCATGGACAGGAAGGAGACGAAACCATCACATACACGGTAAAGTCGAGAGGGGGGGGCAAATGTTGTCTACTACAGAACTTTCAAAGCAATCCTACAGAAGTTAATAGCACCAGAATCTGTCTGGGGGCCAAACTACACACGAGGTTAAAAGTTATTGGACCCTCATATTGCAGGGATGGGGAACATAGCTGTCAAGTGTCCCTTATTTGGCGGGACAGCCCCTTATCCCAGCGCCATGTCCCGCTGCTGCCCCTTATTGATGAGGCTTCGTTTGGCTGCTGGCTGGGCTTTCTGCCTTTGGCTTGGAGGAGCTCAGAAGCTAAACATACCTGTGCCCGGAAAATCCCTTATTTTGGCTGCTGATCCATTATTTTCAAATCTGTAAGTTGACAGCTATGATGGGGAACCTGTGGCCTTGCAGGTGTTGATGGACCACAACTCCCATTATCCCTTGCTATTGGCCATGCTGGGTGGTGCTGATGGGAGTCGGAGTGCAATATTTATTTATCTATTTATTTGTTCAATTTATATACCGCCCTATACTCGGAGGTCTCAGGGCGGTTCACAGTAGAATCTGGAGGGTGCCTTCTTGGGTGTTCCTGGTTTAGATGTTCTTCAGCTGTCAAAGCACACCTGCTTTCTCCCTTTTCTTGGAACTCCAGCACAGAACATTATTCATAGTACCATTCCCAGCTCCTCTTCCTTCAAATCCTTCCTCACAACCCACCTCACACCGCAGCAGATGTCAACTGGTCTGTATAACCTAGTAAGGCCTAGTTTTTTATTGGCAATGGCTCCACGGGGTCTTCCCCATCAACAGTTACCCAATCCCAGTGCGTTTTTGTGTGAAAAAGGTGTTGAAGTTAGTTAGTTAGTTAGTTAGTTGGAGTCACGGTGCCACCTCCACCCCAGGCAGGGGCTAAATTTAAGATGTGATTAATAAATTCAAGCAGACAGTGATCTAGATTAGAAATGGCCACAAGTTTATTGACTGCAGATATAGGTGGATTTTTGGCTCAGGCGTTGGGTGTATACCCGTTCGAAGACCCAAAAAAAGAGCAATTATTTAATTTTTAAAAGGGAAGGGAACTCGGTTCCCCTGAGTTCCTGCTGAAAAAGACCTCTGCCCAATCCTTTTTTAAATTTGAGGTGACCCTTCCATAAACATGCAGGAAGCCTTTTGCTGAACACCTTAGCCTCTTCCCCCAGCCTACTGCACGAATATTCAGTCTCATATCGTTTGTTGCTTTTGCCTCTTTCCTCCTGAGATATCTTGAGACTGGGATGGGGAAGCTGTGGGTCTCTGGATACTGCCGGACTCCAACTCCCATCAGTCCCGGCTGGCATTGCCCATGGCCGGGTGGGATGGGAAATGAAGTCTTAACAACCTCAGGAGGGCCACCGGTCCCTCATCCCCATATTGAGAACGACCTCCTCCTCCATGGAACTGCCCGCACGTCAACATCGGTTGTCAATAGTACCGGGTTAAGACCGACATGTTCTGACTCGGTGCAAGGCAGCTTCCTGTGTTCCTGATTTTGCTGATCATCCACAGTGGAGCAATCACACTGAAGTTAATGGGATTTCTTGAGGATAAGTCATCTGCGAAGTGCTCCCCGTTGGGTTGTTAACTGGGCGTGATTTTTGGTTGTGCATTAAACGGGCATTGGGGAGATTCAGTAAGTTTTGCTGTTTTTTCCTCTGGGGCTCAGAGGCCTTTTTATAGCTACAGTAACTCCAGTTGCCTCAGCCCGAGGATGCTGTCATTCCTTTGGAGAGCTGGGGTTGTAATGCAATTAGCTGCCCTCTTGCCCCCTTGTTACACTCGAGACCCGTTCCCCTTCCAGCTCGCTGCTAGATTTGGCAGACTTCTAGCATCACCTGTGAATAAATGGAAGGGGGGGAGAGTTAGTTTCTGCCTCCGATTTAAGCTCCTTGAGTAACAAAGCTACTCAAAACAACCCACAGCAGCCCAGTGTGTTGAGCAACAAGGGCGTCAACATGCTGAGACAGATTCTTAGCTGGAGAAAACGCCGTGAGTGCCTACCAAGTTACGGCAGGGATGGATTTGGCTCGCCATGACAAGCTGATTTATTAACTCGAGGGTTTCTCTCGCTCGCTCACTCACTCCCTGCCATCGGTACTACTATGAAAACACTGTGCTTAGTATGGCAGACGTGATAGGGTTGCCGGATTTTGAAGAGCAAAAAAGAGGGCACATTTGCCGACTTCTACTTTTAACTATGGATCACTGTGACAATTCTACTCATGAAAAAGAGGACGAGTCCTGGAAAAAGAGGACATATGGCAACCCTGAGGTAGATTAGATAGATGATGATAGATAGATAGATAGATAGATAGATAGATAGATAGATAGATAGATAGATGATAGATAGATAGATAGATAGATAGATAGATGATAGATAGATAGATAGATAGATAGATGATAGATAGATAGATAGATAGATAGATAGATAGATAGATAGATGATAGATAGATAGATAGATAGATAGATGATTGATAGATAGATGATAGATAGACAGAGAGAAATGATAGATTGATAGATAGATAGATAGATAGATAGATAGATGATAGATAGATAGATAGATGATAGATATAGATAGATAGATAGATAGATAGATAGATAGATAGATAGATAGATGATAGATAGATAGATGATAGATAGATATAGGTAGATGATAGATATAGATAGATGATAGATGATAGATAGATGATAGATAGATGATAGATAGATAGATAGATAGATAGATAGATAGATGATAGATGATAGATAGATGATAGATAGATGATAGATAGATGATAGATAGATAGATAGATAGATAGATAGATGATTGATAGATAGATGATAGATAGACAGAGAGAAATGATAGATTGATATATAGATAGATGATAGATGATAGATGATAGATGATAGATAGATAGATAGATAGATAGATGATAAATAGATAGATATGGATAGATAGATGATAGATAGACAGACATAGATGATGATAGATATAGATAGATGATAGATAGATAGATAGATAGATAGATAGATAGATATAGATAGATAGATATAGATAGATGATAGACAGAAAGCATTGATACCCCAAAAGGTCTTTCTTCTCCCTTAACCACAGCATTGTATTCCAGTACAAAAACCAAGCCTGGCTCTGTCTCAGCATCTCAGCCTTCATCCTGCTCTCAGCTGAGCTCACATACAACTCCTCTGGCTATTTCACTTAGCTGCAGCCCAGGTCATTTTTTTTTAGGATGCTTTTCATGATGCTAAACTCTCTGTTTCCTAGTCAAAGGGACTGATTTAGGTGCTTAAGTGACAAGCTTTGGCCATTGTCTTACAATGGCCTAGTTAGCAAAGGATTGTTCCATCAGCTTTTAACTCTTCCAGGGACAGGACCCCAAGGATTAGGAAGGGAGGTATTGTGCAGACTGACAAACACACACCCAACCTGCAACAATATCTGTATGCATCTCTCTCTCTCTCTCTCTCTCTCTTTCATCGGTTAAACCTGATGATGAAGATTGTCAGTTATTTAGCTAAAATGCTACATTTTGAGAAACAGGAAGGGTGCTTCTTGGTTTTTCCCTTTCGATGTCAAGATGTCTTAAGCCAGCCATTGTTTTCAGCAACTTACCTGTTGATTGACAATATGGCTTCAGAGACTGCAAATCTTCCATTTGAATGTTCCAACGAGGTCCAATATCTCTCCTTGGACGTTTCTGACCCTTGCACATTCAGTAATAGTAAGTTGGGTGAAACGTTGGTTAGACTTGTGCTCCCCAATGTGCTAATTTTGTACTTGCAGTTAGAAGCTCCCTATTCAAGCTAGCGGGACGCAGGTGGCGCTGTGGCTTAAACCACAGAGCCTAGGACTTGCCAATCAGAAGGTCGGCAGTTCGAATCCCCGCGACGGGGTGCGCTCCCGTTGCTCGGTCCCTGCTCCTGCCAACCTAGCAGTTCGAAAGCACATCAAAGTGCAAGAAGATAAATAGGTACCACTCCGGCAGGAAGGTAAACGGCGTTTCTGTGTGCTGCTCTGGTTCGCCAGAAGCGGCTTAGTCATGCTGGCCACATGACCCAGAAGCTGTACGCCGGCCTCCTTGGCCAATAAAGCCAGATGAGCGCCGCAACCCCAGAGTCGGCCATGACTGGACCTAATGGTCAGGGGTACCGTTACCTTTACCTTTTTACTCAAGCTAGAGAATGTTTTTAATTGGACGGTGCAGGTATGGCCTCAGCAGTCCCTCCAGTGAGGTGTCATGGGGGGAAATGCAGCGCTTTATTTTTCTGTGGAAAATGTTTTTGTTTCATAAGTTCATTGCAACAATGAATGGATGGGGATTGCAAATAAAATGTTGCGCAAGCTTGGCAGTGGGAACTTTTTAAGTTTCGTTCACTGAACACAAATTAAAGAACATAGTAAATTAGATCACCCTCTAGGGCATTAGAACATTTTTCCAATTTGCAAACTGATTTCCCTCCCACCCATCCTAGTGTTATCCTGACTCAGAAGGCTCTCAGTGACGATGGATCAGCAATTGTAAAAAGTAATGTGAGCCCTGGGGAGAGAGGCAAGTCTCTTTCCTGAGAGCTCCATAAAACTGGGGCCTGATCTTAACAGCAGAAAATATATTAATCCATATTTTCATTTTGATTGTGCTAATTGGTTTTCTTTGTTTTACATGCAGCAATGCACAGACGGTTACGAATGGGATCCCGTCCTGCAGCGATGCAAAGGTACAGTAGACTGTAGCAAGCGGCACATTGATGTATTTATATCTGCTAAAAGGAATCCTGAGCTTGAACTATTGAGAATTCTGTCTGCATAGTGGGGGGTTATCTCCTTAGTCTTTTCCAGTGCAGAGACTATGGAGAAAGCATGGGAAGGAGCACAAACATTGTGGCCGTATCCGGGTTTTTGGAATCGCATCCACTCTATCAGTTTCTCTCCAGCACAGATTTGCATTCTTCATCATTGATATTTCCTTCCAGGGCAGTGAGAATGATCCATTTGCTACAGGGATAGCCAACATGGTGCTCTTCAGATCTTGTTGGGTTATAGTCACATTCATGCCATTCATTTAAAGCACCTGTTATCTTTAAAGAGTGCATCATGGAACATTCCCATTTGGCAGCATGGACAGCAGTCATTTAGGAGGGTAATGCAGAGCTCAATAATGGTTGAGTGTTGCACATGCAATTGGCTTAGCTGTGTACCTCTCGCACATCCAATTCCCCTCTCCCCATGAGGTGGACTGAGGATCCAAGGGTGTCAGGATGCTGTCAGCGGTTCCCGGCTGGTTGCCCAGGAAAGTATGAAGACACGGAAAAGTTTCTTACCATCCTTTTTTGTTTCAAAAAAAGCCAGTATGGTGTAGTGTTTAAGAGCGGTAGACTCGTAATCTGGGGAACCGGGTTCGCATCCCTGCTCCTCCACATGCAGCTGCTGGGTGACCTTGGGCTAGTCATACTTCTTTGAAGTCTCTCAGCCCCACTCACCTCACAGAGTGTTTGTTGTGGGGGAGGAAGGGAAAGAAGATTGTGAGCCGCTTTGAGACTCCTTCGGGTAGTGACAAAGCGGGATATCAAATCCAAACTCTTCTTCAATCTTTACAGAGAGAGGCTATAGAACCCAGCCTCTTGCATAATGACGTTGTCCTGAGCGAATCTTCAACCACCCACCATCTCTCCCACTTCCTCATTCATCTTTCTCATCACCTCCTCTACGGGTGCTGCTACATGCCCTCTGTCTGTGTCCTCTTTGCTCTCCTACTTTTAAGGCTCGCCGGGTTCTGGGAGATGGAGGGTCTGGGATGCTTTCTAGTGTCAGCCAGGTGTTGCTCTGGCTCTCCCATGATTTCCCAGCTTTTCCCCACATCTGCCTCTGAGCTGCGACCTGCCTCAAACCCCTGTTGTAAATCTATACTGTCTTCCTCCTCCTCCTCCCTGGAAGGGTCAGGATGGGGAGGCGGTCTTTACCCTTCCTCCTCTGCCCAGTCCCTGACACAGGGGAGTGGCCAGCGGTCCTGCAGAAACTCTGCCTGCCCCTGTTGCTGCCGCTGGAGAAGCAAAGCGAAGCAGCGGTAGCAACTTATGGCAATATCTCGTGAGATTTTGCGGAACTCTCGCGAGATCTTGCTGCTGCCGCCACTTCTTACATCTCCCGTGGGTGGGGGTGGGTGTCCTGCCTGCCCACTGCTGCTCCTGCAGCAGCAAGGAAAAAAATATTACAGCATATATCTTACTCACCTCTCCCATGTTCTTGCCAGACGCCATAGTCCATGGGTAGGCAAACTAAGCGCCAGGGGCCAGATCAGGCCCAATCGCCTTCTAAATCCAGCCTGCAGACGGTCCGGGAATCAGCATGTTTTTGCATGAGTAGAATGTGTGTTTTTGTTTGAAAGGCATCTCTGGATTATTTGTGGGGCATAGGAATTCGTTCAATTTTTATTTATTTTTTTCAAAATATAGTCCGGCCCCCCACAAGGTCTGAAGGACAGTGGACCGGCCCACTGCTGAAAAGGTTTGCTGACTCCTGCCGTAGTCACTGTAAAGGGGTAGCTGATCAAAAATATTACTGGCAAGTGGATTTGACATCCCACTTTATCACTACCCTAAGGAGTCTCAAAGGGACTAACAATCTCCTTTCCCTTCCTCCTCCACGACAAACACTTTGTGAGGTGAGTGAGGCTGAGAGACTTCAAAGAAGTGTGACTGGTCCAAGGTCACCCAGCAGCTGCATGTGGAGGAGCGGGGAAGCGAACCTGGTTCACCAGATTACGAGTCCACTGCTCTTAACCACTATACCACACTGGCTCAATTATGAAGTGATGTCAACTAGAGACTAAGTGAAAATTGATGCAGCAGTTGGAGTTACATCTTGGACATGTAACGAGAGTGGGAAACTGGTTTTGGAAATATTAGATTGAATTAATTTAGTTTCACATGTAATAATTTGGAAAATCAATGAAAAAATAATTGGCAGAAACTGTAGTCATGCAACCCCAGTAAGCAGTGAGTGGAGGAGCACCTTTCTGTTTCACCCAGGACCACATAACACCGGTCCTGAGAGATCTGCATTGGCTCCCAGTACGTTTCCGAGCACAATTCAAAGTGTTGGTGCTGACCTTTAAAGCCCTAAACGGCCTCGGCCCAGTATACCTGAAGGAGTGCCTCCACCTCCATCGTTCAGCCTGGACACTGAGATCCAGCGCCGAGGGCCTTCTGGCGGTTCCCTCATTGCGAGAAGTGAGGTTACAGGGAACCAGACAGAGGGCCTTCTCGGTAGTGGCGCCCGCCCTGTGGAACACCCTCCCTTCAGATGTCAAGGAAATAAGCAGCTATCTTCTCTTTAAAAGACATCTGAAGGCAGCCCTGTTTAGGGAAGTTTTTAATATTTAATGCTGTCTTGTTTTTAACACTTGATTGGAAACCACCTAGAGTGGCTGGGGAAACTTAGCCAGATGGGCGGGGTATAAATAATAAATTATTATTATTATTATTATTATTAAATAGGACAGGCCGTTGTTGCCTCTTCCCCTATCTCTGCCTCTTCCCCTACCTTTTCTTTCCACGTGGAAGTGCTGATAGGATTCTCAAACCTGCCGCCTGCCTGAGACCCTCACCTGCATCCGAGGCAGGAAGATGCTGCCATTTTGGTGCTCACCTTTGCCTTGTTTCCGACCGCAGATATCGATGAATGTGAAATCGTGCACGATGCCTGCAAAGGTGGGATGAAATGCGTGAACCACTTCGGAGGATACCTCTGTCTGCCCAGAACGGCTCAGATTATTGTCAACAACGGTCAAGAACAACCTGCGCCTGAACCCGTGCCTGTGCCTAATGGCCGAAACGGCAATGCCATAGCTCGAAGGACTGTCCCGGGGATACAGTGCGCGGCCGGGTTTGAAGCCAGCGATCACAACGTTTGCCAAGGTAAGGAAGTCATCTTATGCCAAACTTTACATCCCTGCATCAGGGAGGGGGGGTGGGATTCATTTGGCCCCCTTTCCACACCAGATTGGCCCAGTTCAACCATCCAGAACTCAGTTGTTGATTGGAACAAAACTGGTCAAATTGCAGCCTTATCCAGATTTTGCAATGCCATTTCGGTGCGCATAACATGCACACCCAAAAAAACCACAATTGAAATGCATATTCAAATATGTGTTTTAGGAGAAAGTGCATTGAATTAATTTATTATTATTATTATTATTATTATTATTTTGAGGGGAGTGGTGGGGAATACATACACAAATGCATGTAATAATGTACGCGGTTTAAATGTGGAGTTGTCATGCATTCTTTTAAAAAAAAAATCAGCACAAAACATGGACTTATGCCAGCAAAATTGAAGCAAGGGGGGGACTTGTGCTTATCTGTTTGCCCCTGCTATGTAGTAGAGAATAACAGGAAGGGCAAGTAATGTAGCCTTAGTGGCTTATATCAGAGAAAGCAATTCAGAAGAAAGGGATGAGGTTGTAGTGAGAACTGGGCCAGCTTATTTCTGCTCTCGGTCGGTTTTGGCACCTGCCCATTCTGAAGTCAGTTTGTCGTATTCCTGCCTTAATCTGCAAATTCCTCCTTTTTTCAATCTGCATGAAAATTTGTATCTAAATACACATTTTAAACATAATTCTTCTCGCAAAAGATGCATTGTTGAATTTATTTTATCTGAAAGTACATCATCCTCAGAGCACATATTTCGGATAGGTTTAGATTCTAGCTCAGTGATAGAGCATCTTGCCTGTCAAGCAGAAGGTCGCAGGTTCAACCCCCAATCTATGTTGGTATCAGGCAGCTTCCTACGTTCCTATGCAGGATAAAATTATGCATTTTTAAACGCCTTTTGAATCGACCCCGGAAATGGACCAGTTTGCCAGTACATGTTGGGAAAACCCTGGTCTAATATGCTCGCAGCCCCTAGTCCCAGTTACCAGCCTAGCAGCTGCATTCTGACCAAGCTGCACTTCCAACCTTGCTTCAGAGGCAGCCCCAGATATATTAGTAGTCTAAGCTGGAGGTTAGGGACACAGGTGGCTCTGTGGTCTAAACCACAGAACCTAGGGCTTGCCGATCAGAAGGTTGGCGGTTCGAATCCCCGCGACGGGGTGAGCTCCTGTTGCTCGGTCCCAGCTCCTGCCAACCTAGCAGTTCGAAAGCACGTCCAAGTGCAAGTAGATAAATAGGTACCGCTCCGGCGGGAAGGTAAACGGCGTTTCCGTGCGCTGCTCTGGTTCGCCAGAAGCGGCTTAGTCATGCTGGCCACATGACCCGGAAGCTGTACGCCTGCTCCCTCGGCCAATAAAGCGAGATGAGCGTCACTACCCCAGAGTCGGCCACGACTGGACCTAATGGTCTGGGGTCCCTTTACCTTTTAAGCTGGAGGTTATCAGAGTAGACTATCTCTACGTAGGGATGCAGCTGGCTAATCAGCCGAAGCTGGTTAAAGCTGTTCGCTATCCCAGAGAGTCACTGCTGGCTGGTTAGAACCTTGAGTAGGAGAATTCCTGTTAATGTGGTGAGGATCTACTGCAGAAGAAGGTAACCAAGATGATCATGGGTCTGGAAGCCAAATCTTAGGAGAAACAGTTGAGGGACTTGAGTATGTATATCCTGGATAACAGGAGAATGACAGAAGATATGATAAAAGTAAAGGTAAAAGGACCCCTGATCATCAGGTCCAGTCGTGATCGACTCTGGGGTTGCGGCGCTCATCTCGCTTTATTGGCCGAGGGAGCCGGCGTACAGCTTCCGGGTCATGTGGCCAGCATGACTAAGCCACTCTCTGGTGGACCCCAGAGCAGCGCACGGAAACGCCGTTTACCTTCCCGCCAGAGCAGTACCTATTGATCTACTTGCACTTTGACGTGCTTTCGAACTGCTAGGTTGGCAGGAGCAGGGACCGAGCAACGGGAGCTCACCCCATTGCGGGGGATTTGAACTGCCGACCTTCTGATCGGCAAGTCCTAGGCTCTGTGGTTTAACCCACAATCTTCAAATATCTAAAGGACTGTCACGCGGAGTGTGGAACAAGCTTGTTTTCTCCAGCTCCGGAGGATAGGATCCGAACCAATGGCTTCAGTTACAAGAAAGGAAGTTACGACTAAACATCAGGAAGAGCTTTCTGGTGGTGAGGGCTGTTCAACAGTGGATGAGACTCCCACGAGATGTTGTGGACTCTCCTTCCTTGGAGGTTTTAAAGCAGAGGTTTGACGGCCATCTGTCATGGATGCTTTAGTTGAGATTCCTGCATTGCAGGAGGTTGTACTAAATGATCCTTAGGGTCCCTTCCAACTTTTCAATTCTTTGATTCTCTGATTTTGTTGCAAGGCACACTTGTACTATATAATCTAGGAAGTAGCGTATATATTGGACATTCACAGCTTGTGCGGGACTGTCCTAGAACACATCGTTGCTTATTTATCAACTGTGACTTAAAGAGCATTGTATTTGAGCCTCTTACATCCTTTGGCCAGGGCAGAAAAAGCTTGAGGTCCGTGGAAATCAATGGTGGTTTGGGCAGTGGTTTTTCTAGGGTAAGGATTCCATCCAACATGTTTATATTCTGATTCATAAAATAAACCCCACGAGAGCATTCCATTAATGGTAACTTAATTTGAGAGTGACGTGTTTGTTGGTAAATGAGGTTGGCACTGCCTCTATGAATACCGAGAAAGGAACTACAGCTATTTCATACAGCTTGTCTCGATTATGACCATTTAAACCACTATTTAATATAATTACTGTAGATAGAAAGGACTCTCTCTCTCTCTCTCTCTCTCTCTCTCTCTCTCTCTTGAAGCCAGAGAATTAAAAAGAAAAGAAAAATCAATAGCCCAAATCTTGGAAGATTGCTTTGCTGACGTGCACTTGGATCCCCCACTGGTTAGCCTTAGAACAAGTGTTTATGAATCAAAAGCAGAATTTGGCTCCAGGTCTTTTCTTTCACAAAAATGATATGCGCTGGAGGAACAGATGTTAAAGTAAACTATTTATACAAACAAACACAATGAGAAACAGCCTCCAGAGTTTACAGGATTGTTGCAAGGCCCATTCCTGATTGTGCAAAAAAAAAATATTAAAAAGGGAATTACCATTGCTAACATCCTGGGAATTTTATCCTGGGGAGTGGTGGGTGTACACTCATGCAAATGTTGTTCATTAGCTAGCTTGTTTGAAATGCTGGCAAGCTTCAGACTGGATCTCTGACCAAAGGATCAGAGCTGGAGGGGGGGGAATAGCTCACTAGCAAAGTGCAATTGCTAATCTGCGGGGAGGGGGGGAATACAGGGAAATCAGTGGCAAAGCCGTGCGGAAGATCCCTAGTTCAGGCCTTGGCAACTTCAATTCAAAGGATCATCTTAGCAGACACTGAGAAAAATATATCTCCCTGCCTAAGATGCTTTAAATGGAGAGCCAATCTGATGTGCAGTGGAGCACAAGCCTATCCAGTACAAAGAAACTCTACTTAAACTTTTGAGGACTCCTGTGCCTTTAATTAAAAGTTTCCTATTTGCAGGCCCTACCCGTTTTATTGCCTCCTCTTGAGATTGAGTAGAGAATCTGTGGTGAATAGTCGGTTAGCTAGATTATTTCTCTTAATTTTCCCCACACCACTTCCTGTTCCTGTTCACAAATCCTCTGGTCAGGCTTAAGGGGAAGCAACAAAACAGGACCTGCAAATAGGTAACCTTTAATTAAAAGTGCAGGAGCCCTTGAAAGCTTTAGTTGCGCTTTCTTCACAACAGACAGTTGTACATCAGATGGATTCCTCATTTCACAAGTGGACAAATAGCGTGGCAACTTCAGACTAAACTGTTAGGTGTGGAAGTAACCCCATGACTTCACAGCAGCTCAGCCAATGGTTTGACAGGCTAGCTGATGACAGCCTGCAGAAACGTTGCAGTCCATCACGTAGAGAGAAGTTTTGCATGGCGCAAGTCTGAAAAGGGTTCAGTTGTCCCAGATTTGCTTTCTTTATAGCTGGCTTGTAACAGATGGATATTGTGCTGGTCCCGAGGGTTAACCGTGCGGTGAGGTCCGAGTCCAGTCCAAGGTCGAGGGTGCAGTATGGAGGCAGTCCGTCAAAGCTGAAGCTGGGTCCAAGGCAGGGAGTTGGGTGAGGTCAGGAGCTCAGGCAGGAACAGGCTACCAACAATGTTGCTCCCGCAACCTGGGACTGGGGCTGGCTGGCTTTTATCTGCCCAGAGGCATAGGGCGGCCCCGGTCCACAGGTGACTCACCTCTCCTGGCCTGGAGGCGAGCACTCCCCCTGTGGGAACTTAGTTCCCTCCATTTCTCTGCCCTGAGCCTCTGTAGCTCAGGAGAGGCTGGAGGGTTACCGGACCCAGAGGCAACCTCAGCTTCCTCTGACGGGGCTGAGAGTGGAGCACCTGCAGGCAATAGGTCCTCCATCACTTCAGGAGCCAGAGCAGACTCAGCTGGTGCCTGCACCTGAGGACCCAGCACAGGTGAGGACCCTTCAGGCTCAAGCCCCAGCCCTGGCTCAGCTGGTTCTGGAGGTGGGGACTCCTGTGCAGGCTGGGATTCCTCAGGTTCAGCGTCCGAGTCCGAATCCCAGGCCATCACAGATATTCTCGTAATTTTAAGTGGATGAGCAGAGAAAAAATGTGAAGATATTCTGGAAAGGTATGTTAAGGAAGTATGCTTATATCCCGAAGAGTTCCACTTTACCTCGTGCAATGTTATGTTTTGACTGAACTAAAAATACAAAAGGGATTTGCAAATTATAGAGTGATTGAGCAGCTTGGCCTCCATGTGGTGATTATAAAATGGCTTCTATACCAATTAACATTTTTGTGTTTTATTTGCTGCCATGCCGTTGAGCTCGAACCATGATAGAAGTGGCTTCCCCCATTGTTAAGTATAGTGTGGAAATATCCGCTTTTCGTCACGTGTAATTTGGCAGCACAAAGGACATAGGCTTGAAGGCCAGCAAAGGACACAGGGGAAGCAACATGCATTAAGAGACTCGGTTTTTTATAAGTTAAAGTGTTAATTGGCAATAATTAACATGAAATTGACAAGGATTTCATTCTATAATGCAGTCAAAAAATCTCGTTAACAAAATGGGAAAGGTGCGTGTGTTTGGCCCTAATAGAAAACAATCACCAAGTAGTATCTGTTAAAGAATGAGGGGAAGGCAGGCCAGGGGCAGCTATGGCAGTTACAATGATATAAAACATCTACAACAGCCTTTCTCAACCTTGGGTCCCCGGATGTTGTTGGACTACAACTCCCATCATCCCTAGCTAGCAAGACCACTGGTCAGGGATGATGGGAGTTGTAGTCCAACAACATCCAAGGTTGAGAAAAGACTGGTCTATGAGTTTGTAGTGTCGGTATTCCATTAAGAGTCATGTTTGGTAAGTCGGGATTGCTTTGCTGTTGACTTTAGTCCCCTGCCTAGAAAGTTTCGGATTCTAGCGGCTTCAGCAGTCAGTCCGTGTTCTGTTGCCACTGAGCATGCTCAGTCCGTATCGGAATGATATGGGGAAAGGAAGGGATTTCATCATCAGAGAATTTATTTTATTTTTGCTGAAGATTTTTTTTTAACTTCTGCAAACCTTGTGGTTCTCCCAAGCGCACTAGTACCTTCTTCTCAGGTGTGGGCCATGCCATTTTGCTTACATAAGCAACAGCGCTCCGAGACTGAAGAAAGATGGAATTATACTGGAGGGCTAGAGAGAAAGATTGCTGGTATGATATGTCGGCTGCGCAAATGCGTGAGACTTTTCCCAGATGGTGAGGATTGAGCATGAGGCATTCTGCGTGCAAGGCAAATGCTCTCCCAATGAGCTTTGGCCCTTCCCTATCTATAGCTGCAGTCCTATACACACTTCCCTGGGAGTTAGTCCCACTAAATTCAGTGGGTCTTAACTCTGAGTGGACGTGTGTAGGATTGTACCACAAGATAGGCCCAGAAACTGCTTTACTAGTGATGCATCTACAGTGGTACCTCGGGTTAAGTACTTAATTCGTTCCGGAGGTCCGTTCTTAACCTGAAACTGTTCTTAACCTGAAGCACCACTTTAGCTAATGGGGCCTCCTGCTGCCGCTGTGCCACCGGAACACGATTTCTGTTCTCATCCTGAAGCAAAGTTCTTAACCTGAAGCACTATTTCTGGGTTAGCAGAGTCTGTAACCTGAAGCGTATGTAACCCGAGGTACCACTGTACAGTTCTTTGATTGGGCCTTCAAGCTCTCTTCAGATATTAGCATGGAGTGAATCCGTTCCCATATAATTATATATAGCTGGAGAGGAAAAACGTTGCCCGGCAGAAATAATAATAATAATAAATTAAGTACCTGGCATTCCTTATCTGTCAAAACAAATTAGCTCCCGTGGTGATGAAATTTAAATTTCAAGCTCATTAGTGTATTTCTTGTGCAAACCTGCAGCCATTTGACGGGAGCGGGAGAAGGATTTTCCTTGGAATCAGTAAGTGAACCAAGGCTGGTAACAAAACATTTCAAGCCTTGTTGCTGTTAGGTCAGCTGCTCAAACGCAAAATTGTATTTGTTTCCGTTTGACCATTTCAAAAGCTTCCAAGAATGTAATAAAAGAAAGCTGCATTCCTGCAGAATGCAGTGGGACTTACTTCTGAGTAGGCAGGTACAAAACCCTTATCAATATTGAAATACAGTGGTACCTCAGGTTAAGTACTTAATTCGTTCCGGAGGTCCGTACTTAACCTGAAACTGTTCTTAACCTGAAGCACCACTTTAGCTAATGGGGCCTCCTGTTGCCGCCACACCGCTCAAGCACGATTTCTGTTCTTAACCTGAAGCACTATTTCTGGGTTAGCGGAGTCTGTAACCTGAAGCGTATGTAACCCGAGGTACCACTGTATGCCTCTTCTGACACCCTAATCTTGAGAGGTGGATTCAATTGCAGACCAACCTCGGTTCTCAAACGCCTCAGTTATTGTACGTTTCAGCTCCCGAACGGCGAAAACCCAGTTTTCGAACGTTTTTTGGAACCGGAACATCCGGCGCTGCTTCTGCTTGAGTGCAAAAAGCTCTTGCAACCGATCGGAAACCGCGCCTTGGATGTTGAACGTTTTGGAAGTCGAACAGTCTTCTGGAACGGATTACGCATGGAATGCTCCTTCGCAACGCAGGTCTGAGTGCTCCCCCACTTCAACTAACGTATCAGGGTTCTGGGCTCCTCAAGATATTGCTAGTCTACATCTCCCATCATCCTTGACTCACCGGCCAAGCTGTCTATAGCTCATGGGACCTGGAGTCCACCATCATCAGGGAAGCTAGCATCTCAGGGCAAAGGCTATTCAAAAGCCACCCTTCAAAACATCCTAGTTTTTCATGCGCAGAGAATTATTGACATCAGTGAGCTTTCTCAACAAGACTTGCGCCACCACCTGCAGTCCAAAGTGGTACGACTTGGCTAGTCACTTAGTTGTTGTTCTTTTTGTTGTTGTTTTTTAAAAAGAGGTCTTCCTTTTGTAAATTTTAATAAGTTTCCATCAGCATACATTTTCGTCTGGATGCTTTGTTTTCATATCACGTCTGCACAGCATGCAGCAAGCACCAATTTTGAAGAGGTATCTTGTCTGGTACAAGAGAGAATGCAGACTGCCTCGTCTATGACATTAAATACTTCAGTTAAAAGGAGCTTAAGAGTTATTTTTTAAAGGTCCATCAAAGGGATCCTAGTAAATTAATCCGCATGGTTGTGCAGAAGGCAAAACAAGGTTTACAGGTTGGCCACTGCGTGGTTTCTAAGCAACAGTTGTTTAACAAAAGCAGCAACAAAGCAACTCTCTCCATGAAAAATAGGCTGCTGAAATGAAGAATCTGGGACCTTCTGCTTGCAACGCACGAGTCCTACCCCTGAGCTGCAGCCCAGGTGCTTCCTTGGGCCTACCTTTGACAGGTGACATTGAGAAATTCTTCCTGGACTGCCTCATTGGCCAACAGCACTCTTTTCCGCAGATCTTACCTGCCCTGTCATAGCTCTGAGGAATCCTATTGTGCCGCGGTATGCATTTCTGCTTGTTTTCCTTGGCAACGCCGTTGTTCTACCGTTGCACCCGGGTCAACAGAATTTCATAGCCCTGGGGCAAAGTGTGTGCGTTGTTTCAGCCAAACTCCGTCTGCGAGTTTCACTTGGCAGAAGCGATACCGGGCAGAAATCCTCCTTCCCTTTCTCTCCTAAGCTCTTTGGTATGTGTGGGCCTGTCTGTTGCCCTGCGCCAGAAAGAGAAGAAAAGGTGTTGCCCCTTTGGAGACTATCAAGATACACAAATAGCTTTGTCAGATCAGACCACAATCCCGTCTCATGTAGCTCTCTCTTCCCACTGCAGCGCAGTTAGGTAGTTTTAGGTTCTGGAATTTAGCCTCACCTAGCTGGGCTCGGAGCGAAGGAGATATGTTAGCATATCTCCAGCTGAGCCAAGGATCAGGAATTATGCCGGTTGTGCAGACACACACACAAACACACACACACTGGCTCAGCCAGAAAACTGCTGTATCCTAACCCTACTTATCCCAGCAGATCTTGCTGTAGGATTGCTCCCTAAGAGGATCGTTCTTATAGACGTGACACTGTCTGTCTGACCCCAAGTGATTTGCAATTAGGGATGAACGAGAAAGTCTATTCAGTGTAACTGGAGCATAACCACTCGGGCAAGGGAGGCCAAGCTGCCTCCAGATTATTTTAATCCAACCTGTGCTGATGCACGCTGTGAATCAGACCGTTCATGTCCTGACAGAGTCCCTCAATGGCTTCTTATCTTTCGAAAACGGCCCTAGTTGCCTCCTTTCGAAAACGAACAAGCCTCGGTCCCCTTTCTTATCTAACTGAGAGCTTAGAGTCTCACATGGACATGTTCGGCGGTGGGGAAATCATTGCGGCTTGCTGCTGGCTGAGCCCTTCAAAGGCATATTTTGGAAGTTGGAACCGTGTCAGGAATCTACTTATTTACTCAGGGAGTTGTAGAGATTTCAGAAAAGGGGGCTGCTGCCAGCAGATAGCATGACTGCAGCTGGAAAACAATATCCTCATTGAGATAAGGCTCCTGCTTTTGATAGCTGTCAACCGAGCTCGGCTTGAACTTAAATTGCACTCGCAGCCGCCCGAAAAGAACTTGCGGAACATTTTCAGAGAGGGGCTCCGGATGCTCTTGGCATGATTCATTTGGGGAGGGGGCTGGAACCCCTGCTTTGCCTGCAAAACCAGGGTGGGTCCCTGGCATTTCCGGGGGGAAGGATCTGGAGAGGTGCTGCCAGCCAAAGTTGTCAAACTGGGCAAGAAGGATTTTGCCTGCTTTTTTCTGGGCGTCAGACTGTGGTTAGAGATGCAGTATCAGGGCCAGTAGGGACACGGGTGGCGCTGTAAGTTAAACCACAGAGCCTAGGACTTGCTGATCAGAAGGTCGGCGGTTCGAATCCCTGCGATGGGGTGAGCTCCCGTTGCTCGGTCCCTGCTCCTGCCAACCTAGCAGTTCAAAAGCACACCAGTGCAAGTAGATAAATAGGTACCGCTCTGGCAGGAAGGTAAACAGTGTTTCCGTGCGCTGCTCTGCTTCGCCAGAAGCGGCTTAGTCATGCTGGCCACATGACCCGGAAGCTGTACGCCGGCTCCCTCGGCCAATAAAGCGAGATGAGTGCCGCAACCCCAGAGTCGGTCACGACTGGACCTAATGGTCAGGGGTCCCTTTACCTTTACTATCAGGGCCAGTAAAAAGGGGGAGCAGCCCTAATGTTGTTAAAGGTGGGGACCACAATGTTTGGTCTGCTCCAACCGGCGTTTATTCAAGAGCTCGGAATACTGTGTGGCTCTGGAACAAGGGTGTGGAATATTTATCAGCCTGAGGGCCACATGAATAAGCATGTGGGGGCCACATGGGCAAGGTGTCACAGACTGGCTGGACACAGAGAAATGGTGGAACCAGCTGGGGAAGAAGGCTCATAGCCCAGGGATTGGTGGTGGGACAACAATGAGTGATTAGAGGGAGAAGTCTGGGGAAAAGAGGTGTCGGAAGCTGAAGAGGTAACAGGGCTTTGTGGGTGGGTGGAGTCCGTGGCAGAAAGCAGTCCAGACTCAGAGGAAGAAGCTGAAGAGGGAGAGGAGGGAGGCAAAGAGGCAGAGATGAGTCCAGCTGGTGAAGAGGCATGTGTCTCCCCCTCCTGCTGCGACCAGCTCCCCTCCTTCTGGTCTCCCAGAACCAGGAGACACATGAAGAGAGCAGAGAACTTAGCGTCATGCAGGCATAGTCCCAGATTACTTCAGAAAAGCACTGAAAAGGAGGAGACTTAGGCAGCTGTGGGGATGTAGGGATCTCAAGTCTCTGCAACTGCTTCTTGGGCACAAAATCTGCTGGAGATGAGCTTCTGCGCTCATTAGCCCTGACACTTCGGTCCAGGTCCTGTTTTTTTGCTAATACAGTGGTACCTTGGTTCTCAAACTTAATCCGTTCCGGAAGTCCATTCCAAAACCAAAGCGTTCCAAAACCAAGGTGCACTTTCCCATAGAAAGTAATTCAAAATGAATTACTCCATTCCAAACTTTTAAAAACAACCCCTAAAACAGTAATTTAACATGAATTTTACTATCTAATGAGACCATTGATCCATAAAATGAAAGCAGTAAACAATGTCCTGCAGTCACACAATGAACCAATCAATCAATCAGTTGCTGAACTGGGTTCTACACAATCACAAAAACAAAAAAAAAGCCACAAAAACGCAAATTAAATAGCAAAAACAGACTGACCTCAGCGTAACACTCAAATCGGAAGCTTAACACTCAAAACGGAAGTGTGGCGCTCAAATCGGAAGCGTAACACTCAAAATGGAGCACATTCAGCTTCCGAAAAAAGTTCGCAAACTGGAACACTTACTTCCGTGTTTGCAGTGTTTGAGTACCAAGGCGTTTGAAAACCAAGGTACCACTGTAAAGAGTTAAAATTGACTTGTTTGGTGTGGTTTTCTGCTGGCTTGTTCCTGTCACAAGGATAAGCAGCAGAAGTAGGCAGGGCAATGGGTTTGGCTCTTAAATCTTGTGTAGTTGGCCCCATTCCAGCCACACAAAAGTTGTCTCCCCACCCCACCCCCCTACCCCACTTCTCCACCCCCTATCTAAGCAAGCAAGGGACACACGTTACAGCGAGGCAGAAGTACTTGGGGACACTGAGCAGGGCTTGAGAGATAAGGATTGCCTGGGAGAAATCCTGAGGCGCTCCTCTGCGCAAGAGTTAGTTGGATGCAACCCATTCCAGCCAGGCAAAAATATTAGGGTTATGGGGTGTGGCTGTGAGATAGGTTGTGTGGCCCCGGGGAAACTTCGGAGGGCCAGAAAGAGAGGCCTAGAGGACTTGAGATTCCCCACCCATGTTCTACTGCATGTCTTGTGTTACAGTGGTACCTCAGGTTAAGAACTTAATTTGTTCCGGAGGTCCGTTCTTAACCTGAAACTGTTCTTAACCTGAGGTACCACTTTAGCTAATGGGGCCTCCCGCTGCCGCCGCACCACCACCACGCGATTTCTGTTCTCATCCTGAAGCAAAGTTCTTAATCCAAAGTACTATTTCTGGGTTAGCGGAGTCTGTAACCTGAAGTGTCTGTAACCCAAGGTACCACTGTACTCGGTTCCAGAATCATTTCCTGGTTTTATATGCGTACAGTCGTACCTCATGTTACATTTGCCTCAGGTTGCACGTTTTCAGGTTGCGTCCTGCGGTGACCCAGAAGTATCAGAAAGGGTTACTTCCGGGTTTTGCCACTTGCACATGCGCAGATGCACAAAATGACATCACGCGCATGCACAGAAGCAGCGAATCGCGACCCGCGCGTGTGCAGACGTGGGTTGCGTTCTTTTCAGGTTGTGAACGAGCGTCTGGAACGGATCCCATTCGCAACCAGGGGTACCACTGTAAATAAAAAAACATGCAGTAGAATTGACAAGCTGTAAGGTGTACAGAGGAGGGCAACCAAGATGAGCAGGGTTCTAGAAACCAAACCTTATGAGGAACGGTTGAGGGAGCTGCGTATCTTTAGCCTGGAAAAAGAGGAGACTGAGAGGAGATACGATAGCCATCTTCAAATATCTCAAGGGCTGTCACATGGAAGATGGAGCAAGCTTGTTTTCTCCTGCCCCAGAGGATAGGACTCGAACCATTCACTTCAAGTTACAAGAAAGGAGTTTCTGAATAAATATCAGGAAGAACTTTCTGATGGTAAGGCTGTTCGACCGTGGAACGGACTCCCTCAGAAAGTGATAGGCCCTCTTTCCTTGGAGGTTTTTAAGCAGAGGTTGGAATGGCTTTAGTTGAGATTCCTGCATTGCAGGGGGTTGGACTAGATGACCCTCGGGTACCTTCCAACTCTACATTTCTATGATTCCATGAACTCTAGCCATGTTCATTAGCATACCAGAAGTGCAATAAACCTCCCATTTTTGCTCCCTGTTTTGGATGAGTAAAACAGAGGAACTGGCAAGCGCTTAATAGGTGGCTATTGGGCTAAGTTCAGCCTAGTAGGGATAGGGAAATTTGTGGTCCTCCAGATGTTAGGGAATGGGGAAATTTGTGGTCCTCCAGATGTTGTCTGGCTCTCACTCCCAACAGCCCTCAGCCAGGATTGGTGAATGTTCAGGGATGATGGAAGATGTAGTTTGGCAACATCTGTAGGGCCACAGGTCCCCTATGTCTGGCCTGCTGGTTCCTTCCTAGGTTTCCAAGGAGAGAAGTAAACAAAAACAGAAGCGATTACCAAACTGGAAACGACAAACCCAACAAAAGAAAATCACATAATTCTGGACACCGTTAGAGCATAATCAGATTGCTGGCTGTCTTTCAACGAAGAGTGGCAGTTTCGTATCAAATGGCAAATAGCTTTTCTATTAACTTACATAAGCAAAGAAATCGCACACGATGACTTGATTTGGGTGCGTGTGTGTTGTGTTTCTCTCCCCCTCCCTTGCTTAATTTTGCAGTGATGAACCGGGAATTTAATTTGGTGACGTTAATTTAATTTAGCTGCCGTGCTCTCTTTTCCTGTTCAAGAACTTGCTTTTGGGAAGTATATGGTGCTGAACGAAATCCATGGAAATGTTCCATATTAGTTCTGAAGACGATATGCCATGAGGGAAAGCAGGGGGAACTCTTTTATCTCTGATCATTATTATTTTTCCTTTGACGATCCTCCAACATTTATTGGTCATCGTGGGTGGGTTAAGAGCTGTGCTCACACTGCACTGGTTTCGTGCTTGCTTCATCTGTGAAAGGAACAGATTTAAAGAGGCAACTCCTGCAAGAGAAAGTTGGCCCAGTTTTGCTAACTGGGAAACCCAGCCAGATGGGTGAGGTATAAATAATAAATTATTATTATTATTATCATTATTATCCACCCATTCACAATCTTGACTGCTAGCATTAACATAACTGGCAAGAGGCTCTTCCGGCATCTTGATGATAAACTGCACCATAGCATTCAGATCATGATGCCAAAGTTAAACATAACCAACGCTTATAGGCTCATTTGCAACGTGGGAATCAAAATGCATTTATTATTTGCAGTTATATCCTGCTCTGCGTCAAATTTCATTATGCCCGAGTGGATTACCAGAAAAAGAAGATACAAGCGCATTTTAAACTCTCCCCTTTCGGGCTCCAGGAGGAGCACGGGGAGCGTTCGCATGACACAACTACACACTGCAACCCACACACTAGCGTGTCGCGACACACAGTTTGGAAAGCTCAGTTATAAATCATAATACTTGTGTCTTGTGAAATAATGATGGTGGCAGTCATTAATTTCCCTAGGGCAGAACCCACCCCAAGTAAACTAGCCTTGGGTCCCGTTGGCTTCCTAGAGAGAGAGATTTCAGCACCTGTTTCACCGTCCTTTTGACATCAGCCACATCCACGCCACAGGGATGTGGGTGGCGCTGTGGTCTAAACCACTGAGCCTCTTGGGCTTGCCGATCAGAAGGTTGGCAGTTCGAATCCCCACAACGGAGTGAGCTCCCGTTGCTCTGTCCCAGCCCCTGCCAACCTAGCAGTTCGAAAGCATACCAGCGCAAGTAGATAAATAGGTACAGCTGTGTCGGGAAGGTAAATGGCGTTTCTATGCACTATGGTTTCTGTCACAGTGTTCCGTTGCGCCAGAAGCGGTTTAGTCATGCTGGCCACATGACCAGGAAGTTGACTGTGGACAAACGCCGGCTCCCTCGGCCTGAAAGCGAGATGAGTGCCACAACCCTATTGTCACCTTTGACTGGACTTAACTGTCCAGGGGTCCTTTACTTTACATCCATGCCATATATTTAAAGCACTTTCAACACACATTTAAAAGCACATGCTACCCCCCCCAAAGACTCATGGGAACTGTAGTTTGTTAAGCGTTCGGGCAATTGTAGTTCTGTGGTGGGATAAACCATAGTTCTTAGGATTCTTGCGGGGGGGAGAGGGGAGCCGTGTGTTTTAAAGGTACGATGTGGATGCGAACCTAGAGCTGCTTCCTGATTCGAAGATAGTAGGTGACATTTTCGTATTGTATTAAATAAATAAATAAAACCAGAGCGTCCAAAACCAAGGAGTTAAAAGTGGTCTGGGCATTAAGCCCAGATGTGCAACATTCCAAACATGGAAGGAAGTAGCAAGGGAAATGAAGAAAAGAAAAGCCTTTGACAGAGATTGCAGATAGCTTTGCTAATGCAGAAGAGGAAAGCGGAGGATTAGCAAGGTTCCTGGTGTTGCTGCGAAGTGCAAGGAAGGGATGAAGGGAGGGTCCAGGGAAGCCTATAGCCGCTGAGCCTGGCTTTAGCCATAAGAAATATAAGGGAGGAATGTTAAGAGAGGGCATGTCAGGGCACCACCATCCTAAAGTGCAGTCGTCACAAGAAGCAGAAGAAGTTGAATGGATTTCCTTCAGCTCTTGGGAAACGCTTCCCTCAAACAGTAGACATACGGTAATTCGCCAGGACTCTTCAAAGGCCTGTCCTGCAAAGAAAAAAAAACTGCACAGTTATGGGAGGATATTTACTGGGGTGCAGTGGAGGTTGAAGCTTGCAGAAAGTCAGATGCAGTTTTTCTTTTCTTTCCAAAGGTGGAGCAATCCTATACAATTCTGTGCATTGGGAACTGTCGATTTCCTAGAGGCTTGCTCTCAGGTAGCTTGGGAATAAGATTGCGGCTTAAAAGGCAGAAATGAACACTGCCAAAATCTGCCGGCCTCTTGTTTCAGGTCAAGTAACCAGTGCAGGTGCCAAAGGTTAGGTTCCTATAGATGCCACCAGTGCTTTTTTTTCTATTAAAATAAAATGTTTAGGGGTACTCTCATCAGTGACAGAGCTCCATGCTCTGGCACTGGGGGGGCAGAGAGCAGGTGGGGGCAGGGCTGGTGCGCGTCCTGGGGACGTGGCATGTTGCCTGCGGGAGCGTGGCACCCACAGCGGGTGGGGGGGCAGCCGTGATGGCACCCGAACCGGGATCGCATTGCCAGGGGCGGTGCGCTCCCCCCGCACTCCTCTTTCTCCACCAGTGACTCTCATTTTGACTGAAGAAGATCACCATTTTATAGTTCAAATCAGGAAAAATAAATACAGTGGACGCTCGGGTTGCTCGCATGCGCGGGTTGTGATTCGGCACTTCTGCGCATGCACAAAGCGTGATTTAGTGCTTCTGCGCATGCGCAACCCCCGAAACCTGGCAGTAACCCGTTCCGGTACTTTCAGGTTTTGGAGGGTCTGTAACCCGAAAAAACGCAACCTGAAGTGTCTGTAACCCGAGGTATGACTGTACAGTAAATGGACAAAGCCACAAAGATTCACAAAATGTTTAGGGGTATTTGTCCCCCTGCAGACTGCATTTTGCAGCACAGGAGACTGGAGGCCCATTTGTTCTGCATCCACAGAAGAGTTTGTTCCCCATACTGTATTGGTATCTCCCAGGCTTCCTCAACCTGGTGCCCTCCAAACCCCCGGCAGCCCTACCCAGCACTCATGGAAGTTGTAGTCCAAAAAAAAAACAAAAAAACACATCTGCAGGGTGCCAGGTTGAGAAAGGCTGGGACATGCCAGAATCGTATCTGCTTTCTGCTTCAGAGATCTTTGAGACTGCAGTCCTAAAGACTTACCAGAGCCATGGATGGGGAACCTGTGGCCAGCTAGATGGTGTTGGGCTACAGCTCTCATCATCTGTGCCCATTGACAATACTGGGTGTGGATTATGGGAGTTGTAGTCCAACAGATATCATGTGGAGGACCCCAACTTACTCCTTGTACTGTAAGCCCCAGTGAAAACAGTAGAACATGCAGAAGATCGCTCTGCTAGGACACAATCGTTTTTTTTAAAAAAAAACACACACAGAGAATTGTCAAAGGAGCCCTGCAGCACATATTGTTGTTTAGTTGTTTAGTCATGTCCAACTCTTTGTGACCCCATGGACCAGAGCACGCCAGGCCCTCCTGTCTTCCACTGCCTCCCGCAGTTTGGTCAAACTCATGCTGGTAGCTTCGAGAACACTGTCCAACCATCTCGCCCTCTGTCGTCCCCTTCTCCTTGTGCCCTCAATCTTTCCCAACATCAGGGTCTTTTCCAGGGAGTCTTCTCTTCTCATGAGGTGGCCAAAGTATTGGAGCCTCAGCTTCAGGATCTGTCCTTCCAGTGAGCATTCAGGTCTGATTTCCTTCAGAATGGAGAGGTTTGATCTTCTTGCAGTCCGTGGGACTCTCAAGAGTCTCCTCCAGCAGCACATTTACCTGCATACAAATGGAGCAGGGTCTCTACTGTGATGGCCCTAAAGCTAAGAGAGTTGGGCCACCCCAAAGAGTTTGCTTTCTCCCAGTCACAATTTACTTGGGGATTACATTCCAAGGCACTATGCATCGGAGTGAAATCGTGTAGATTTGAAACGCCATTGGAAAAGCCTGCAAACAACCCATTTCACCGCTGCTCTGTTCCGCCCATTTTTGGTGACGTTTTTCTGACGTTTGGGGGGTCGCTTCTGGGTTCGGCATGGTAGCGTGTGCCTTGAACGTGCGTAAATGGGGAGTTGCCTGTATTGAATTTGGACCTATTTAGCTTCCAGTTGTTGTTGGACTATCAAATCCCATAGCATGGCCGGTGGTCAAGGATTATGGGAGTTGTGACCCAGCCACACCCGAATGGCCACAGCGTCCCCATCCATAATAATAATAATAATAATAATAATAATAATAATAATAATAATTTTATTTATACCCTGCCCTCCCCAGCCAAGACCGGGCTCAGGGCGGCTAACACCAAATATAAAAAGAATTGACTGAAATACAGCTTAAAAAACAAGATTAAAATACAACATTAAAACATTAAAATGCAGCCTCATTTCAGTGGAAACTCAATCAAAAACTTTTTGGGGGATAAAAACGTCAAGTCTTCACCAAGGGTAACTATCCAGACAGGTCCTGCATGGGCCAGAAGAAAGCCAGGGAAGTCCCCAAATAGGAGTTCCAACACAGAAGGAGAAAGGAAAAAAGAAAGAGAGGGAGGGAATCAAATTGATTCCAAGCCAAAGGCCAGGCGGAACAACTCTGTCTTACAGGCCCTGTGGAAAGAAATCAGATCTTGCAGGGCCCTGGTCTCATGAGACAGAGCGTTCCACCAAGCCGGAGCCAGTGTTGAAAAGGCCCTGGCTCTGGTTGAGGCTAATCTGAATTCCTTAGGGCCCGGGACCTCTAGGATGTTGCTATTTATGGACCTTTAGGTCCTCCGCGGGGCATATTGGGAGAGGCGGTCCAGTAGGCCTTGGCCTACAAGTATCTGGGGTGTTGTTGTTCTTTATATGCCCTGGGCTCTCTCCCAGCTGGGAGTTGGGTGCTTGCCTCTACAGCATGTCCTCTTTAGGTGCCAGCCTTAGATAGCGAGGTGCCCGGGCAAGGAGGACTCGGGGGTTTTCCAGCCCGGCAGCTAGCGACCAAGAATAATGAGAGTCAGTGCATGCTTGGATTGGCTCGGGTGTGTTGCTCCGTAACCATGGGCTCCAGATTGACACAGGTTTAAAAGGGCATCGAAGCAACCCCGTGGCTTGGTTACATAAAAGAGCTGAGCTGGGGGAATAATTGCACTGAAGTGTAAATGGCCAGTGGGAAACGCCAGGCGCTGTTGTGATTATCTGGTTGTAGGAAGCAACCGGCGGAGATTAAAATGTTACATAAGGGAGTGAGCAGCGTGAGTCAGGGGTTTTGGGAAGAGTGAGTCACAGCCAGAGGGAACGGAGCCAAGCATGTAAAGAGAGGGAGAGAGAAAGAAAGAGATCCTAAAGCGTGCTTTCTTCTTGGAAGCAAGTTCCAACAGAATCCGTGGACTTTCTCTCAAGTCGGTGTGTTCTTAGGATGGAGGTTCCAGCAAAGGGATCCGAGGAGGTGGCAGAGAGCGAGCTTGGAAGGACGGGGGAGAGTTGGGGGGCACTGACAAGACTTTTTAAAAGCAGCTTGCTTCAAAGGAAGGGTCTTCCGAGAGCTCAAAGCCAGCTCACCCAGAATTTCAGCACAGAATGACGAGCGCCCTGCCAAAGTCAGCAACGGAAGGGGACAAAACAGTATAAATCACTTCGTGAGAGAGCGCTGGGTACATTTTTGGCAAATGAGAGGAAGTCGCTGGAGCGCAGCTATTAGTGAAGCTGGTGGGAACAAGCGCGAGGCGGTGCAAGCCAACCTGTATTCTGCCACAGTGCGCGGGGCGGGGGGCTGGAGTCGTTTCACACACACACCCCCAACTTGCAAAAGAAACACTTCTCGCAGTATTTCTATATTATCTCATAAACCTCAGCAGGTTGCAAGGCAGTTTGGAGAAGGATTTCTTAATACAGTGGTACCTCGGGTTACATACGCCTCAGGTTACATACACTTCAGGTTACAGACTCTGCTAACCCAGAAATAGTGCTTCAGGTTAAGAACTTTGCTTCAGGATAAGAACAGAAATCGGGCTCCGGCAGCGCGGCGGCAGCAGGAGGCCCCATTAGCTAAAGTGGTGCTTCAGGTTAAGAACAGTTTCAGGTTAAGAACGGACCTCCGGAACGAATTAAGTACTTAACCTGAGGTACCACTGTAGTATTCATAACCACACTGAATTTATAAGAACTGTTTCTAAAGGGGGGGTGTTTAAAGTCTTGGGGACCGCTGCAAAAAAAACCCCACTCAAATTGCAATGGAATTTTATGGCAAAGGGTTTGGAGGGGCGACGAGGCCTCTGGCTGTGATTGGCTGAGTAGCCCTCATATTGCAGGGAAGCAGGACAAGCCACATGGTCTCTGGATGCCCCTGGCTGCGCTGCTCAGATTTTACAGGGAAGGACTGTGGCTTACTGGCAGAGTACCCATCTTGCATTCAGAAGGTCCCGGGTTCAATCCTTCCCAGTTGAGGCTGGGAAAAATCCCTTGTCTGAAACCTTGGCGGGCTGCTGGCTTTATTGAGCTAGATGGAACAATGGTGTGACTCAGCTAAAGGCAATTTCCTGTGTTCCTACAGAAGGACCAGTTGTCTCCCTTCCTACCATAGGATCTTAAAGCAGAGGCCCCGAGGGCCACGTTTAATAATAATAATAATAATAATAATAATAATAATATTTCTCATAGACAGCCTTCTGGGGCCGCATTGCCAGAGGCAAAAGTTGATAAAGTGACAGTTGTGATTCTGACCTTTGTGTGGTCAAAGTCTTCTTCTACAGAGACCCACAAGCTCTGCTTACAACACATGCAGACGAACACTGCCAGTACACAATGCAGTACAGTGGTACCTCGGGTTACATACGCTTCAGGTTACAGACTCCGCTAACCCAGAAATAGTACCTCGGGTTATGAACTTTACCTCAGGATGAGAACAGAAATCGGGCTCCGGCAGCGCAGCGGCAGCAGGAGGCCCCATTAGCTAAAGTGGTGCTTCAGGTTAAGAACAGTTTCAGGTTAAGAACGGACCTCCGGAACGAATTAAGTACTTAACCCGAGGTACCACTGTACACAAGCATTCATTTGCCAGACAGATCTTTGCAACTCAACTCTCTTTCGACACAGACATCATACAGGTCTTTGCAAGATGCTAGCTGTCCATATAATAAACATGCACGCACACAAGCACACTGGTCGCAATGACAGGCATTTTGTGAGTTAATGCAAAGTTTGCATTCCACCTGCCTGTCTTCTTCTGTGTACTTTTCCAGCAGCGAGCCAGCTTTTAGGAACTGATAACAGCCATCAATTCAAGGACTGAGTCAGGGCGGAGGAAAGTTTCTTTTGAGCTGTCATATAGAAAGGAAGCATGTAGGAAAATATTTGGGCATTCGAAGAGTGTGCGTGTGTGTGTCGGGGGAGCAAGCCTGAAGAATAGAGTCAAAACAGTCCATTCTATTTGTGATCTGGCTTTTTGTGTGTGTGGTGGTGGTGGGGGGGTCAAGTTTGTTTTCATTTTGCATGAGAAAGAATCCATCTTTTCTTTTCCATGTCCCCACCCGGAATATGCCACTGGTCCCCAGTTCCTGAACAAACACCGAGAGTTCAAGTGGGATTTGTAAACTAGTTTCAAGGAATTTGTTTATTCAGCTTAGAGACTTCCAGTTGGTGCCGAGTGCCAGAAGAAACTGCTGTCAAACTGCGCTGCATCGGATTATAAAAGGCATAAATCTGGGAAGCCACACACAAACCCAGTACAGTGATGCAGTGTGCTGAATCTTCTACTGGGGTTGAGGGGGGGAGAGAGAGAGAGAGAATTGCAAGCCATTAAGAATGTAAGAATATCAGAAGAGTCCTGCTTGATGAAGTCAACAGCCAGATGGGTGGGGTACAAATAAATTATGATGATGATGATGATGATGATGATGATGTCCAGCATCCTCATGGCCAGCCAGATGCCTCTGGGAAGCTCACAAGCTGGATTTGATCCCAAGAGCATTCACTCCTGCCTCCATCAGGCAGCCATTGTGACTAGTAACCACAGAGAGCCTTAAAGGTAAAAGGTAAAGGGACCCCTGGACCAGTCGTGGCCGACTCTGGGGTTGCGGCGCTCATCTCACTTTATTGGCCGAGGGAGCCGCATACAGCTTCCAGGTCATGTGGCCAGCATGACTAAGCCGCTTCTGGCGAACCAGAGCAGCACACGGAAATGCCGTTTACCTTCCTGCCGGAGTGGTACCTATTTATCTACTTGCACTTTGACGTGCTTTCGAACTGCTAGGTTGGCAGGAGCAGGGACCGAGCAACAGGAGCTCACCCCGTCACGGGGGTTTGAACCGCCAACCTTCTGATCAGCAAGTCCTAGGCTCTGTGGTTTAACGCACAGCACCCCCCCCGTGTCCCTACTGAGAGCCTTATCCCTCCATGAATTAGTCCAATCCTCTCTGAAAGTCACCCAAGTTGGTGACCATCACTGCTTCTTCTGGGAACGTATTTCAAAGTTCCAACTATGCACAAAGAAGTGCTTTCTTTTATCTGTCCTGATAGGCCACTGTGGGAAGGAGAGTGCCACACCAGATGGGCCTGCGGTCAACTTTTCCCTTTTCTTGTGAGGAATCCTATTCGGAATAAGGGAATTTCCCTTTAAAAAAGGGAAACTTTGACAGCTATGGTCTGATCCCGCAGGGATCTCCTTGTGGCTTGATCACATCAGTTTGTAGAAAGGCAGGTGCTTATCCAAACATTACAGCCTGAGACTTCACAGATGGAATTGCAAGGCAATGAAGGTGAAGGAGAGGTTGAAGGACCCTGTGTGAGAGGCAGAGAAGGGGAGACCTCAAAGGGTGAGAGGAATTATCTGTATGGGATAAAAGTTAAGATGATGGTGATGATAATAATAATCATAATAAGTTATACTCCGCCCATCTGGCTGGGTTTCCCCAGCCACTCTGAACGGCTTCCAACTGAATATTAAAAACAATACAGCGTCAGACATTAAAAACTTCCCTAAACAGGGCCAGTTGTCTTTTAAAAGTAAAATAGTTGTTTATTGCCTTGACATCTGCTGGGAGGGCGTTCCACAGGGTGGGCACCACTACCAAGAAGGCCCTCTGTCTGGTTCCCTGTAACCTCACTTTTCGCAGCGAGGGAACCACCAGAAGGCCCTCGGCGCTGGACCTCAGTGTCCGGGCTGAACAATGGGGATGGAGAAGCTCTTTCAGGTATTCGAGACCGAGGCCGTTTAGGGCTTTAAAGGTCAGCACCAACACCTTGAATTGTGCTCGGAAACGTACTCGGCGCCAATGAAGATATTTCAGGACCGGTGTGATACGGTCTCGGCAGCCATTCCCAGTCACCAGTCTAGCTGCCGCATTCTGGATTAATTGCAGTTTCCGGGTCACCTTCAAAGGTAGCCCCATGTAGAGTGCATTGCAGTAGTCCAAGCGGGAGATAACTAGAGCATGCAGCACTCTGGCGAGACAGTCTGCGGGCAGATAGGGTCTCAGCCTGCGTACCAGATAGAGCTGGTAGACAGTCGCCCTGGACACAGAATTAACCTGCAACTCCATGGACAGCTGTGAGTCCAAAATGACTCCCAGGCTGCGCACCTGGTCCTTCAGGGGCACAGTTACCCCATTCAGGACCAGGGAGTACTCCACACCAGCCCGCCCTCTGTCCCCCAAGAACAGTACTTTTGTCTTGTCAGGATTCAACCTCAATCTGTTAGCTGCCATCCATCTTCCAACCGCCTCCCTACACTCACACAGATATAGCAGTGAGAGAGAATGGTGTTGTTCTCTTTTCTTTTTAGTTTCCTTTTTTATTATTTCTTGTAGATTAGCCTGTTTGTTTTCCTTTTATTGTATCGCGAGAATCTCAATAAAACTTTGCAGCAAACAGTACAGCCTGGGATCCAGGAACAGGGAAGCAATAGTCAGAGAATCATAGAGCTAGAAAGGGCCTTGGAAGTCATCTAATCTGACTTCCTTCTCCATGTAGGATCTGTGCAGCAGGATGTAACCATGGCATCCTTGGCACTGGCTGCGTATCCTTCAGCAGCGGAGAGGCCAAATATGTGTCCAAGGTGGTCTGTTTGATTGTTTCACTTCTCTTACCCTTAGGAATTTCCTAATGTTTAGCCAAAATCTACTTTCCTCTCTTTGGCTCTAATCCTGCCTTCTGGAGCAGTGGAGAACAAGTCCTTCGGGTATTTGAAGGCCCCTCGGACGCGGGTGGCGCTGTGAGTTAAACTACAGAGCCTAGGACTTGCCGATCAGAAGGTTGGCGGTTCGAATCCCCGTGACAGGGTGAGCTCCCGTTGCTCGGTCCCTGCTCCTGCCAACCTAGCAGTTCGAAAGCACGTCAAAGTGCAAGTAGATAAATAGGTACCACTCCAGCGGGAAGGTAAACGGCATTTCTGTGCGCTGCTCTGGTTCACCAGAAGCGGCTTAATCATGCTGGCCACATGAACCAGAAGCTGTACGCCGGCTCCCTCGGCCAATAAAGCGAGATGAGCGCCACAACCCCAGAGTCGGTCACGACTGGATCTAATGGTCAGGGGTCCCTTTACCTTTACCTTAGCATGTCCCCTCTTAATATTCGCTTCTCCAAGCTGATTGTACGGTTCCATCAACACGAGAATCCATCCTTGAATATGGGATTCAGCTGCCTTTTACTTTCTCCCAAGGTTCTGGAGACGAACAGAAAAGTTAGGACTGCACCTCCAAAGTCCCTAAAGTCCATGCTGTCGTTTTTGTTTCTTTGCTTTCAAAAGATATTGACGAATGTGCGACAGGCGCCCACAACTGTAGGGTAGATCAGATATGCGTCAACTTAAGAGGATCGTTCAGCTGCCAGTGCACAGCCGGGTATCAGAGGCGAGGGGACCAATGTGTCGGTAAGTACTGTGGAGAAGCAAGATGTTCTTTGGCAGTAAAGTTTAAGGGCCTTTCTCCCTAACTAGTTGTGGGGGTTTTTTTACAGGTGTATTCTGCAACAGGCCACTGATGCAGATAGTACAGTGGTGGTAGATTTATACTGGACTGCCCACACATCATTCCTCTTTATAAGTTCTTCTGCAATGTTTCCCCATTGTTAAATACATGAATCTTGTATTTGTGGGTTTCCTTATTAACCTCCATGTGATTGGAGCTAGGTTTTAGGGTTAACTCCATCCCTCCTGGCTCTTTCTCTCTCTCTGATTCAACATCTATTGGCAGTCATTCCAGTTGGTTACAACTGAAGGATGGGAGAGACACTCCATTGACTCGACTGTCATTTGGCTCCTCTCTGAGCTGTCTAGTCCAGCTGGCCATTTTAAGAAGTGTTAAGTAGCTCTAGGAATTGGTGCCTGGGCTCATGTTTTCCTCTTCCCTTGCCATCCCATTTTCCTTTTGTGTTATACCTACTAAACTGCAAGCCTGTAAGCAGAGTTGCTTCTGCTTCAAATCTTCATGCAGTGGCTAGAAAATTATAGGAGCTGTATAAATGATGACAAATCATCATCTTAGCATAGGGTTACCAGATGTCCCTGGTTCCCGGGGACAGTCCCTGGATTTACAAATCTGTCCCCGGACAAATTCTGTCCCCGGAATGTCCCCAGATTTGCAAATCTGTCCCCGGGAAACATGGCAGCGGCAGCTTCAGCAGCCCGGAGCCAGCCTGGTAGTGCAGTTGACTCTGGCTGGCTTCAGGAGCTGCTCGCTGCTCGGGTGCAGGACAAATGGCAGGTGCCATGGCAGCTGCCCGCCTGTGACTCCAGAGCCTCCCCTAATCTGTCAAAACAAAGGGGGAAAGGGGAAGGAGATCAGGGAAGGCTCAGGAGTCACAGGTGGATGGCGCGCCATTGCCCAGTTTTTTAAAAAACTGCGCATTTATGTTTCACAGGGTGTGAAAGAAGGGCTTTGCACCTTTATACAATATGCATGTGTGCTTGGGCCCAGGGTCTTTTGCCTCACCATCCCCACTACTGACTCCCTGTTGCTACTCAGCTTCAAAAAAAAAAAAAAAGGGTCCCCGGATTCATTGAAAAAAAAATCTGATAACCATATCTTAGCGCCTTTATTCTTGTCAGAGTAAAGCCATGGTGGCAATGTGAGTTTTTTTAACTCCATTTTTTTGTTTTTGTTTATTTTTTTAAATGCTGCGCTTTTATGGCAACCCAGACATAGATGAATGCGCACGCCTTTCGTTTTGCCATCATCGGTGCGTGAATACTCCCAGTAGCTACTACTGCCAATGCAACGCTGGTTTTCAGTTAGCAGCCGACAACCACACGTGCGCAGGTAAGACTCGAGGGGGAAATTGGCAGATCTGGACTTAGAAGAAGAGGCTTCCCCACTGTCAGAACAGACAGTCCCATCCTGTAGAGCAGAGACATCCAACATGGGAGCCTTCAGATGGTGCCGAACTATAACTCCCATCATCCCTGACAGGAGTTGTAGTCCAACAGCATCGAAAGGGCACCACGTTGTCTACCTCCGATTGGGTTTCTGTTAATAACTTTGTGAGAGCTTGTGGTCAGAATTGCCAATCAAATCCAGGAACTCGGTCACCAAAATAGAGAGTTTTCTCAGTACATGGTTTCTGTTTCTTCTCTTTTCTAGAATCTTCCCTGGAAAGCTGTGCCCAGAGCAGTTTAAAATGCTTGACCCTGTCATGACAGTGTTGAACTAAGATGGTTTTTAGCCTGTTTTGTGTTGGTTGATTAATTTGTTTTTCTGTTGTGGTATTCTTCTCAAGCCAGCGGAGTTTGCTTAATCATTGTTGGTTTCATGCAAGGAAGGGGAAGAACCTGTGGCCCTCCAAAGGCTGATGGGTGGGTTCCCGCTCCCCTCACCTCTGGTCATTGGCCATTGCTAGTCCAGCAACATCTAGAGGGCCGCAGGTTCCCCAACCGCTGCATTTGCTATTTCTGAAACCTAGGAGTGTAACCTTTTTAAAGGCATTTTGATCAATAAACCTTGATGTTTTGTTGAAGTAAGGGTAGCGAAACCGCAGCTAAGAAACTCAAAACGGATATATGACTGACACCCTTCTATGGAGATTAAACCAATGTCCAGACTTTAACATTCAAAAGCTTGCAGAAACTTGTAGCTAGAGATGAATTAAAACATAATATTTATAGTCACATGCTTCTTCAAGCATTATAGTCTCTTCTTCTAACTTCCAAACAACTGTGTTTTCCTCTCTTTTCGGAGCACAGCACTTTCAGCCTTCTGTATCTCAGTTAGGCCATGTCTTGCAGCTCCTATAAGGGATTTCCACTTTTTCCTTCTCCTGCAGCTTTGCTCTCTGTCTTTCAAGCAGAGAAGAAGCACTCCAACGCTCTATTCAACTTAGCAGTGTTCACAGTGGATTCTAAAGCATCTTGCATCATATAAAATGGAGTATCTCCTTCAATAGATATCTCCCATGTGAACATTGTTAGCCAATCACATGAGAACTACTAGAGAACACTCTAGAATTCAGTTACCAACCAATCAAATTTAAACACATAGTAATGCATACAAGCATTTATAATTTCAGTGAATTAAATTACTATACCTAGCAGTTTTCTGGTGAATTAGTCTATCGATTACATTTGCACGTGGCTTAACACAGTATTTCTAAAGTAAGAAGTACATCTTCTCTCTTCCTACACGATCTGCAGAACAGTTACAGCAGACAAAGTCTTATAAAATGCATTCCTTTTTGTGTTTCTTTTAAGATGCTGTTTGCCATCTGCGTTTATAAGCGCTTGTATTAAAAGTTTATAGGGACACTTTTTCAGCTGATTAAGAAAGTTTTATCAATTAATCTCAGGGGCAAGGAACCTTCTTCAGCCTTTGGGCCACATTTTCTCATAGGCAATCCTCCAGCCATCCTTTTAAATTTGCAGTTTTCTGAATTTTGCAATGCAGTTCTTCAGCCAAATACTGTGTACATTAAAATGTATATGTTAGTGAAATGAATATGCAAAAATACATTGTGTTGGAGGAAATTGGTTTGCAGGATGTGTATATTGGGGAGGAATGCAGAGAAATAAATTTATTTGGGGAGGGGATTCACAGTAAAAAGCTACTTAAAAATGCAAAATGATGTGGCAGACTGAACTTAAGAATCGAAAAACGAGACACAAATGTTGGAGAGTTAGTGATCTGGGGAAGAAGCTTTACACTCAGGAGGAAATCTGTACCTACTAGAAGTTACACTCTGTAGTAGGTGGTAGGCAGTAGGTAGTAAAAAGTTAATAATGCAAAACAGGGTTCGCTACGGGGTCACATACCTAAACTTTACATTTGAAATTCCGGCAAGTTTTTTACATTTCTGTGCCCTCTGATAATTCTCTTAAGATGGATATAAAACGGACCCCCCAACATTGCACTGAGGAGAAATAAATCTCACCATTTTGCAATGCGGTTGCTGCCCCTGAGCACTGCAAAATGATCTACTGGTCTCAAAGGCTCATGTCATAAACGAAGTGGAATTTTAAAAGAACAGGTCTCCAGGGTAATAAACAGCTCCAGATAAATCTTAAACTGCCTGCATGCTGAGAAGCTTTATCAGTATATGTTTCTTATAGCAATTATTTATAGACCTACCCCTCACCAAAAATTGTATAGGGGGTGAGGGGGGCAAGTGGGGAAGATGCTGGAATCCAGCATTTAAAAACCACAATAGGATTTCCGGAAAAGTTTGCTACATGCTAAAATGCCACCAACATTTCCTAAGAGAAATGAAGAATAATTCTCACAGGCCTAACAAGTGTGATTGATAGAGGGCGACACATATCCCGACCCAATTTTGAGAGGAGAGAGGAATTCTCCATTCAGCTTTGGCCTCCATGCCAACTTGTCTCTGCTTTCCCCTTCCCTGGGAATTATGTTATCCATGAAGCAGTCAAGAAGACAGTACTGTAAGACAGTGTTTTTCAACTTTGGGGGCCCCGATGTTATTGGACTACAACTCCCATCATCCTCGACCATTGGCTAAGCTAGCCAATGGGACAACATACTGATTGTTGGCATCCCTGTCTCAAGAGACAATTGGGTGTGCATCAGGGCACAAGCCTAGGCAGTGTGTATGGAGGTCCTGGGCTGCCAAGACAACGTGAAACCCCTCTCAGCCTCCCTGATCTGGGCCAAAAAAACACAGAGCAATATGTTTGGCACCAGCTTGGCTGCAGGAGTTGCCAGAAGGAGGCGTGCAAGGCACCATCCAGCCAACTTAGGGACTCCGGTTTTGTATAGGTTTTGCTCCTTAGCCTTTTCTTCTCCTGAAGATGTCCCACAAGGCAGCAGAGGTTTAGGATCAGAGTTTTCCTTCTCCTAGATGGGCTATCTTCTTAGGTTGACAAGTCCCATCTGTGCCTCACTTCCCTCTACAACATGTGCAGAAACCGCCTTCTTGACTGTTGAACCCACTCTTGGTCTCATCCGGTCAATCTGCCCTAGCCTGTCTTCACATACAGAGGATGTCGCTAACTCTCACCTGGTTTAGCCAGCCAGTCAAAGCCGTTTCCTGGGGTGTGGCCACTGTCACATGCTGACAACTTCTAGGAGCTGCAGAACTGCCCCAGAAGGAGCATGACAGATTCCCCACCAGAGGAACTGAAATAGAAATACTTTATTGTCACTGTACCACTTGTTTACAGTGAGATTAAATGAGCCCCCCACAATCTCTCAGTCCTTGTTACACACTGTGTGTTGTCGTACGACCACCAACCCCGAACGTCAGCTGCAATGTTGCTGTCTTCCATTCAGCAGCCTCACAGCCCACGGGTAGAAACTGTTCTTTAACCTGTTGGTGAGGCTTATCATGCTTCTCGGGCAGGAGATTAAAAAGGTGCTGGCCAGGGTGTGAGTCATCCCTGAGAATGTTCCTCGCTCTTCTGAGGCAACAGTCTCCTGAGATAACATCTAGCGGACTCAGGGGACAGCCCATGATATTGTGTGCTATCTTCACCACCCTCTGTAGGGACTTTCTGTCCATGGCTGTCAAACCAGCATACCAGACAGTATGAAAGAACACTTTCTGGTGCCCTCCTCTAGGACAAGGCACACCAAAGGTGATATCCCGTTCTGCCCATCTGGACTTGCACCATGGAACTTCCCCTTCTTCCCCTTCCCCTTGCAGTCCTCTGCGTGTCCCTCAAATCTACAGCATGGGAGCTCTAGAAGGGAAGAGAGCAAAGGGAACTCTGTTCATGTAACACAGGACATCGCCCTGAGTTAAGCCAAGTGCAGGTTGTGACTCTCCCAGAAGTCTCAGGTTCTGTCCTGGTGAGATACAGTAAGGAGCAGTTGACTCGTATAGCACCTTCAAAGGATGGTGTGAGTACAAAGTTCTACTGGACTATGAGCCTATAGTTTTTACTTCCAGCATCTTGAGGTGGGGCTGGGAAAGACCCCTGAGCTAAATGGACCAATGGTCTGACTCAGTATCAGGCAGCTTCCTCATCTCCCAAACTGTTTCTTCATCAACAACAATTAAGCATACACAGGTCAAGAACCTGTCTCCTGACTTGGATAGGGTTTGATGGGGATATTACTGGAGCCATTTCCTCATGATAGGAGTCCTTACCTGCTTACATTCCTGGTCTCAGACAGTTAGGGACAGCTTCTGCTTTGCTACTCCATCTCTCCATCTACCCATGTTCCCTTTTGTCTAAAACATGGGTAGGCAAACTAAGGCCCAGGGGCCGAATCCAGCCCAATCGCCTTCTCAATCCGACCGGCGGACGTTCCGGGAATCAGTGTGTTTTTACATGAGTAGAATGTGTCCTTTTATTTAAAATGCATCCCTGGGTTATTTGTGAGGCCTGCCTGATGTTTTTACATTAGAATATGTGCTTTTATTTAAAATGCATCTTTGGGTTATTTGTGGGGCATAGGAATTCGTTCATTTTATTTTGTTCAAAATATAGTCCAGCCCCCCACAAGGTCGGAGGGACAGTGGACCGGCAACCTGCTGAAAAAGTTTGCAGACCCCTGGTCTAAAAGTTGTGGGGAACTGAATTTTGCAGCAGTGTCCATGCCTAGTTATCTGCGGGTAATTCTTACTCACAGGGGTGAGGGCGAAATTGAGAAGAGGATGCTAAAGTAGCTGAGTCATTGACCTGACTCAACAAGGCTCTTTTTGTGGGTCTTATGTGACTGACTGAATTGAGTTATCTTCTGGCTCACAGGAGTTGTGTTGATGTTGTGGTCTGCCATTCTTTCAAACTTGTGGAACCTGGCAGACAAATCTAACAACAGGTGTTTCGTTCTTATTAAATTCATCCTCCACTAATCAAGAAAATGTTCTGGACAACCAGGCCTGGTGCTAGGACCATAAAAACAAACCTATTAAAAGTAGAAACAGCAACTTCGACAAAACAAATACAGCCATGTTAGTCATCGCTATTAAAATATACAGAGCAATTGTTGGTTACAAGAAATGAGCCATCTGTGAAGCAAAGAGGGATGGGACCACAGCAAAATCGATCACTTAAAAAAAACAAAAAACCCTGAATAAAAATGGTCTGAAACACATTCCTTCAAAAAGTCAGCCAGTTTGGATGCAAGATTCTACTCAAATCATAGGTTGTAGGTAATAGGTGTGTCGTGCTGTGTTTTAATTAGGGATGGGGGAGAGTCCATTCAGTTCACATTAGAAGGTGAACCTACCTAACTGGCACATTCCAAAACAATACGTAAACTGAAACACAGCCAGGTTTTGAAATTTGCACTTCTCCGAATTTTGCAATGCTGTTCTCCAGCCAAGTAAAAGGCATGTAAAAATGTACATACTAAGGTAAGGTGTACATATAAATGCATATATTCGAACAACATATAGAAATCAATTATGTTAGGGTACATAACTGCGAGAACGTGTATAGAAGACAAAATTGCATGCAAATATGTGTATATTATGATAAATTTGTACTGAAATGCTGATGAATTTTCATGAAGGCTTTATATTAAAAAAAACTGATATAGAGAACAGAACTTAAAATTGGAGAAAAATTAGAAACTAAGACAAACCCAAATTGTCAGATTCACCCATCCCTCTTTTTTTTATTTAGTATTTTTTAGAAAGACGGTATCCTAGCTGTTAAGGTGGTGGGTCTTATTTATATAAAAATAGTGGTGTCTCATCACATGGGACAACAACGCATAGTTCAAAGGGTTCCCAATTTTAGCCAAAGCTGTGCCAAAGGTTATCAAAAGAGAAGTTTTGGCTGATTTAGAATGGGGTTGATTTTGAAAGAGAATGGAATGTTGTCTTTTCATCTTCTGGGGTGTGGTAGGCATTGGAGAGGCGTGGAACACTCATCAGCGCTCTCTTCACCTGAGGACTGCCATTTTAATGTCTAAGAATGCTACTCCCCATGCACCCCAACATAGTATTGTTCCAGGAATTCCTTGGAAAAGAAAAATGGTGGCTGCCAGCTCAGCTGGAGAAGTACCAATGAATTTTGTGCATAATAATAATAATAATACAATAATTTATTATTTGTACCCTGCCCATCTGGCTGGGTTTCCCCAGCCACTCTGGGCCGCTTCCAACAGAATATTAAAAACACAATAAAACATCAAACATTAAAAGCTTCCCTAAACAGGGCTGCCTTCAATTATCTTCTAAAAGTCAGATAGTTGTTTATTTCCTTGACATCTGGTGGGAGGGTGTTCCACAGGGCGGGCGCCACTACCGAGAAGGGCCTCTGTCTGGTTTCTTGTAACTTCACTTCTCGCAGGGAGGGAACCGCCAGAAGGCCATTGGAGCTGGACCTCAGGGTCCGGGCAGAATGATGGGGGCGGAGACGCTCCTTCAGGTATACTGGGCCGAGGCCTCCATTTTCAGATTTCAACTTTGAAGTCCCAACAATAAACAACAACAACAACAACAACAACAACAACACATTGTAATATCAGAGTTTAAGCACGTGCATAAGCCATTGCTATGGAAATCAATGAGAACCTAACTTGATCCTGCCTGTCACTTTAATGGTCCTCCTATCTAGGGACAATGTCGTATGTTATTATCGCTCCCTTACCCCTGCTGTGATTTCCATCAGGTAGGGGACCTTTTGCATTCTGGGGGCAGGTTTGCTTCATGGGCACCCTTTCAGAGACCATGTGCAAGGTGAATAGTATATAAGGCTACATTTCAGCCATACATAAGTTAGAGGATTCTATAGACAGCTCTTCCCATCCAGGCAACTAGTGGAAGGCACATTCCAGTGAGGCAAAAGCATTCAAAGAGGGCATGGAGGGGACAATGAGGGTGTGGCCTGGAAAGAAGGGGCGTGGCCTGGGAGATTCCTGAGTGTCTTAGAGGAGTACATGTGACAGATGAAAATGAGGTCCCCCACTCCTGTTGTAGGGACGCAAGTGGTGCTGTGGGTTAAACCACAGAGCCTAGGACTTGCCGATCAGAAGGTCGGCGGTTCGAATCCCCATGACGGGGTGAGCTCCCATTGCTCAGTCCCAGCTCCTGCCCACTTAGCAGTTTGAAAGCACGTCAAAGTGCAAGTAGATAAATAGGTACCGCTCCAGCAGGAAGGTAAACGGCGTTTCCGTGCACTGCTCTGGTTCGCCAGAAGCAGCTTAGTCATGCTGGCCACATGACCCGGAAGCTGTACGCCATCTCCCTCGGCCAATAAAGCGAGTTGAGCGCCGCAACCCCAGAGTCGGCCACGACTGGACCTAATGGTCAGGGGTCCCTTTACCTTTACTCCTGTTGTACATGTTCAATTAACTTTCACTGCTTAAAAAAAAACCTCAAAAGCCAGAATACTTACTTTAGCACAGCTGCATACTTTAGTATTAATTTGCATAACATGATTTATGACACTTGACTTCCATTTCTCATGGCGCAGGAATTTGGATATTGTTTTTCCTTCCCCTGAAGCATAATACCAGACGTTCTCGATAGAAAGCAAAAGACAATGTAAAATGGATTTTGCATTTAATTTTGTGTGATTTAAAGGCAGCCTCAAACCTTGTCATATCCTTGACAGTTCTAACTGCATTACAGCAACCGCAGAATCCACCGTACGTCTGAGCAAATCAGAGCAGCTGTAGCTCAGTGTTAGGGTTGGTGCTGAACAAGCCTAGTGAAGGCAAGTTGTCATATTTAAAACAAAAGAACTCACAGCATTTCTCTCAAGCATAGAAGGAAACTAGCATAGCAGCTGCATTGGATAAATTAGTCCACTATCCTTGAAACTCCCCATTTTTTCAGATAGGTTGTCCACATTATTTTTAATTTTTAAAGGTGCCCCCAAAATGTTCCTGATTTAGGTCTTTTTTTAAAAAAAAATCATCTTCATCTTTTAAAAGGGATCCTGTTTGTCAGGCCTTCTCAGTAGTGGCACCCACCCTGTGGAACTGCCTCCCGCAGTTTGGTCAAACTCATGCTGGTAGCTTCGAGAACACTGTCCAACCATCTCATCCTCTGTCGTCCCCTTCTCCTTGTGCCCTCAATCTTTCCCAACATCAGGGTCTTTTCCAGGGAGTCTTCTCTTCTCATGAGGTGGCCAGAGTATTGGAGCCTTAGCTTCAGGATCTGTCCTTCCAGTGAGCACTCAGGGCTGATTTCCTTCAGAATGGATAGGTTTGATCTTCTTGCAGTCCATGGGACTCTCCAGAGTCTCCTCCAGCACCAGAATTCAAAAGCATCAATTCTTCAGCGATCAGCCTTCTTTATGGTCCAGCTCTCACTTCCATACATCACTACTGGGAAAACCATAGCTTTAACTATACGGACCTTTGTTGGCAAGGTGATGTCTCTTCTTTTTAAGATGCTGTCTAGGTTTGTCATTGCTTTTCTCCCAAGAAGCAGGTGTCTTTTAATTTCGTGACTGCTGTCACCATCTGCAGTGATCATGGAGCCCAAGAAAGGAAAATCTCACTGCCTCCATTTCTTCCCCTTCTATTTGCCAGGAGGTGATGGGCCAGTCGCCATGATCTTCGTTTTTTTGATGTTGAGCTTCAGACCATATTTTGCGCTCTTCTCTTTCACCCTCATTAAAAGGTTCTTTAATTCCTCCTCACTTTCTGCCATCAAGATTGTGTCATCTGCATATATGAGGTTGTTGATATTTCTTCTAGCAATCTTGATTCCGACTTGGGATTCATCTAGCCCAGCCTTTCGCATGATGAATTCTGCATATAAGTTAAATATTTATTTACTTATACCCGCCCATTTGGCTGGGTTTCCCCAGCCACTCTGGGTAGCTCCCAACGAAATATTAAAAACACGATAAAACATCAAACATTAAAAACTTCCCTAAAATGTTTAATCATAGAAATGTTAATTTAAAGAAGCAACAGAAAAGTACATAGATTCGGATTTGTTTATATCTTATCATCACAGAAGTTTAACCGTAGTTACATAAGCTAACATCCATAGAAGTTGAGAGCCCTATTAAACCACAACATAAACTTAAAATGCCAAATTTACAGAAGAGTCAGGGTCGGTCCAAGATCCACCTGGACACCAGATGGTTTTTGATGCCTGCTGAAAATTTCTCTGTACTTTTGGTACATTATGTTAGTAAGTATCAGTGTTTTGAAATGTTTCTGGGTTTTAATCTACACTTTTCTCATGTGATTTGTTTTTAAGGGTTGTGTTTATTGGTGCCTTCAATCCATATTTTGGATTGCCTACTGCAAACTTTCTTCGAGGTCTTTAGAACTAGTAAGCGATATATACATTTTGTGAAATGAAATGTCCACTAATATGGACGTTCCCATTCATTTGAGTGAGTCACACAATTCTCTGTGTAGTCTCTTTCCTCTGGTGATAAAGTCCGCAGTTTCAATGCATACAATACTAGGAACCACCTCCACTGTTAATAAATGATAGCAGGGCTAGCGGAGGACCTCTGCCAGATAGGACCCAGGCACCTTGGCTGTCATTTCCTAGGTACATAAATCCTACATAAATTGTCTTGACTCTGCAAAGTTAAGCCTACCTGGACCGTCCAGTGAATTTGCCTAAATACAATGTGAGAGAAGACCCAGCTTTGTGTGAAGAGTAAGGCAGAAATTTGATTCAGTTCACATTTAAAGGCAAACTACTAAATTACACTCTCTGAAATAATACACAAACCAAAACACAGCTCTCCTTCAACATTCGCAGTTCTATGAATTTTGCAGTGTTCTTCTCAAGCCAGGTAATGTGTACAAAAATTCATATGCTAGGGTAAAGTGTATCTCTATTAGAAGAGATAATATACCAAAATGCATTCTATTAGAGAAATTTGCATTGCAAAAATATGTGTATTGGGAGAAAATGCATACAAAGATGTGTTTGGGATTTTTTAAAAAAATAATTGCATTAAAATGCAGGCAAATTTTCACGATGATTTTTAAAAAAAAATCACAAATTGCTCCAGAAATGTGAAAAACTGATTTTTAAGATTGGGAAAAAATGAAGTAACAAATTGACAGATCTATCCAGCCCTAGTAAAGGCCTATCATCTTTCCTTTTTAGACATAAATGAATGTGAGACCAGCAACCCATGTGCACAACTGTGCTACAACACGGTCGGATCTTTCATCTGCCAGTGCAATCAGGGCTTCGAATTAAGCCGGGACAGAATGAATTGTGATGGTGAGTGACTGTTGGCCACATTGGTGGTTCTCAAAGGACATGGTAGGAGGCTTGTAAGTTGACTTTGGGCGGTGCAAGTAATATGGGGGTAGAAACATTAGTGACTCAAGATTCTCCATCATCCTAGTCAGAGGTTTTTAACTGTCCCCATTTGTTTTATCAACAGTCTTCTAACATCACGGTCATCAGGTACAACCACGGTTAAGCACATGGAAATCCCACTGATTTCAGAGGGCGAGCTAAGCAGTCACTGAAATCAATCCTGATGGGGCTTCACTTTGCACTGAATTGTGTCCCGACTTCTGCAGAACATGGGCTTTGCATGCACTATGGTCTGGTTTGCATGTGAAGCACCTGTGGCCCCCCAGTTGTTGTTAAACTACAACTCCCTTCAGCCTCAACTGATCAACAGGGACAATGAGAGCTGTAGTCCAGCAACATCCGGAGGGCCACAGGTTTCCCAGCCCTACTTTAAACCATAGTTAAACTATAGTTTAATGAGAACGTGGTGCATGCTGCTGAAATCATGTGCCGTTGCTCCTCTCCTGCCATGGTGCTGCAGAACAAACCACACTCTGGTTTACTGTTGCATCTGAACCCTGTGTTTTGCTTCTTTTAAAACAAATCGTAAGCAGCAACCATGGTTTGTTCTTAGCTTACCGCTCATGGTTTGCTTGAGGAAACAAAGAGCCCTGGTTCAGATATGACTCCCAGTACGTTTCCGAGCACGATTCAAAGTGTTGGTGCTGACCTTTAAAACCCTAAATGGCCTCGGTCCTGTATACCTCAAGAAACATCTCCACCCCCATCGTTCAGCCCGGACACTGAGATCCAGCGCCGAGGGCCTTCTGGCGGTTCCCTCACTGCAAGAAGCCAAGTTACAGGGAACCAGGCAGAGGGCCTTCTCGGTAGTGGCGCCCGCCCTGTGGAACGCCCTCCCGTCAGATGTCAAAGAGATAAACAACTACCTGACATTCAGAAGACATCTGAAGGCAGCCCTGTTCAGGGAAGTTTTTAATATTTAATGCTGTACTGTTTTTAACACTTGACTGGGAGCCGCCCAGAGTGGCTGGGGAAACTCAGCCAGATGGGCGGGGTATAAATAATAATTTATTATTATTATTATTATTATTATTATTATTATGCCAGGCCATGGTTTGTTTCCTGGCAGTGCAGCAGCAGGACAGGGCCGAATGTGATTTCCACAGCACAGGCACATTAAACCATGGCTTATTTTAACTATGGTTTGAAGTGATGTGAAAACAAGGACAACGTCACAAGCTTATTCCCTGGCATCTCTGGTTAAATGTTCCCAAATACCAGAAATAATATTGAGTCCATCTCAAAGGCCTGTGCTCGGGTTGCGAAAACGGTGGGGTGGCAGCATTTTGCCTCTTAAAAAGTGGTGCATTGTGGGGGAAAGGTTCAAGAGGGCTTATCTGTGAGTCACCTGGCTTGGGGGTTCCCCCAACCCTCCAGAGCATATTTAGGGGATGCAGAGGGGCAGAGAAGGGGGGCAATCCTGTTGCACAAGCAGACCTCCTTCTGTGCAGTCAACAACTTAGTTGAATCCCGCTCTGTGAGATATAACGGAACAGGAAGAGCTTTTTGTCCTAACCCTATAACTCTTATAGGGTTGTATCCAGCAGAGTCGTTGCATGAATGAAGTGACTTCTACACATGCAGGAGAGCTTTCTGTCCCTCTCCTCACCTCACACACAAACACTCTAAATCCACTTCATGGTTTCCTTGAACCCTTCAGAATAGATGTTGTGGGTCAGGATATAGATGAAAGGGGGGAGAGGAAGTTCTGTTGTCTAAGCAGAAGCTCTTCCCCTCATGCAGTGACTTAACCGGATTCAACCCACAGTTAAAACTGAGCAAAACATTTACTAGCAATTTCCCCCCACTTCAAGTGGCAGGTGCTTTTCTGGGGTCAAAGGCCCTGGTCCCTTTCCCCTTTTCTTTTCCCCCTTTTTGATGCCTGCACATGTCTCAGATGGTGAAGACCCTGCTACTGGGTGTGGTTTTTTAAAAAAAGAAATTAAACACAAGATGCCAGAATAAGAGGCAGAAGCGTTGCCTTCACTCTGATTGGACTTCAGACCCCAGATTTCATTGGCCAGTGCTCCCTGCCCTCAATCTGTTGCTTTGTATTTTTATCTTATGAACCGCCCTGGCATCTTATGATGAAGTCGTATAGATATAGAAGTCAAATAAATTAATTGCAAGTTTTTTATTAAAAAACAAACAAACCGGAGGAAAATATGGCGTCTAGCAGATGTCTCTGTTTTACAGATGTCAACGAATGCGGAACTTCGAACTACATTTGCATGTATCAATGTGTCAATGAACCAGGGAGGTATTCTTGCCTGTGTCCAGATGGCTACCAGTTAATCAGAGGCAGAAACTGTCAAGGTAAGCATATTTCTCTTGTGGCACTCCTGCCGCCTTGATTCTAACATATAAACCAATATTGATCTGTGGGGTAGGAAGAACCACACCTTCTATATACTGCATAGTATCCCTTTACCGACTTTGTTAAGACAATCGTCCATGGTTTTCATCCTCCATCAACTCATAGAACCTTATGGAGAGACACACTCATTTGATTGCCTTTCTTGGAACGTCTAAAACCATCACCCACTACTTTTCTTTCTTTTCTGTGCAACCACTAAGCTCTGTTTTCCTTGTATGGGCATTTTTGTTACTTGAAATTAAAAACCAATAATAATAATAACAACCATTTTTAAAGAGTCTTTCATTGTCTCAGGATTCTTCCTGTAAATCTCTTCAACATGGGCAGTGCAAAATGTCCCCTGTGCAACTTGCCACCAGCACAGCAAAGCAGGGGGCAGATGAAACTTCTTCACTCCCTGTAGGGAACTGCAAAGATCCAGGAAGAGGTGGAGGAGATATTAAGCATCTTACAGACCACAGTACATGATTGGTGGGCTCTGTGTAGGCCTGGTTTAAGATGAATGGAAATCCTGCATGCATGAGGCTGGCAGCTATACGTGACAGGCGGGCAGGTTCCAGACTTTGGGGTCTACTTTATTTTTTCACTAGAACCCCAAGATTTGCTAACAGAAGCCAGGTGACTTGGTGGGCAACTGGATCTGACTCATGGGCTAGAACCTTCCCTTGTCCACACTTCCACTTGTCCCACTGATTTACTGCTGAATCAGAACAAATGGCAATCGGCTATTCTGTGGATTAGCGTTTGTTCTGATTCAGCAGTAAAGAGCGGGTTTTTCTGGGGAAAGTGGTGGGACAAATGAACAACCACTCATACCCAAGCCTGGAAAGCACGGAGCAAGCAGAAGTGTGGACAAGACCTTTGACAGGGGGAGCCACCACCCACCTTACGTCGTTATGACATCCAGTGATATCAGGTTAGTTTTGCCCCAGCCTGGTGATCATCGGCTTGTGGTAACACACAGGCAAGCTTTCTCAGCGCCGTCATCAGGGTTGTGGAATGCACGTCCTTCTAAAATAAGAGAAGTCATCAGTATTGGCATGCCACTGGCTCCTGTTTAGGCAAGCATTCCCCTGGATCTGAACTTATGATGACATTGTTTTAACAGGGGGTTTTTAACTGTTTTGTTGCATTTTTAAACTGTTCCGTTTAATTAAAGATGTTTTAATGTCATTTCATATTTTAATTATGGATTGATTAAAGTAAACATAAAGGGACCCCTGACCATTAGGTCCAGTCATGACCGACTCTGGGGTTGCGGTGCTCATCTCACTTTATTGGCCAAGGAAGCCGGTGTTCAGCTTCCGGGTCATGTGGCCAGCATGACTAAGCCACTTCTGGCCAACCAGAACAGCGCACGGAAACGCCGTTTAACTTCCCATTGGAGCAGGACCTATTTATCTACTTGCACTTTGATGTGCTTTCGAACTGCTAGGTTGGCAGGAGCAGGGATTAGATAGTTTTAAATCACCTGCGCTCAAAAAATTTGCACTGAACTGCGAATCTGCTACAGGGGGCATGTTCAAGGTGTTACTATTGGCATATCAAGCCCTTTACAACTTGGGACCGGTTTACATACGAGATCACCTTACCCTCGACCGCTTCGATCGGCAGAATTGGGACTACTACAAGTGCCACCTAAAACCTATTCCACATTTGTAAGAACCAAGTCGTTTAGTGCATCCTTTTCAGCACCTGCTGAAGACATTTATACTTAGACGAGCCTACCCAAACACTTACAAAGTTTGTACAAGTTTTGATTTTATTTATTTTTTTTGGCCTATTCTATTGCAGTTTTAACTTTTCGTCTGTTTTAAATTGCGGCTGTAAAATTTGTAGTGATAATTATATCTTGCGGGGCGGATAAACTGCTTTTATGTTTTATTTACAGTCATGCAGTATATCAATTTTATGAATAAATAAATAATCAGGCCACAGGGCTGGAAGTTTTCTACTGCCGGCTTAGTAGAGGCAGCTGTCTGCTGCAGATTCAAGTACAGTTGATGCTTGGGTTGCAAACGTGATCCATGCGGGAGGCACGTTTGCAACCTGCAGCGTTCACAACTTGCCACCCGCGCATACGCGGGTCGTGATTTGGCACTTCTGCACATGCGCAAAACGCGATTTAGCACTTTGACGCATGCACAAGCTCCAAAACCTGGAAGTAACCCGATCCGGTACTTCCGGGTTTGGTGCAGTGCGCAACTGGAAGTTGCACAACCCGAAGCATCAGTAACCCGAGGTATGACTGTACAAAGACCTATCTAAATTACAATAGTTCAGGGGTTCTGTCAGCAAAGCTCTAAAGGTTCACTTCTTTCGCATTCCTCTCTTAGATATCAATGAATGTGAAGTGGGCCATGAATGCCGGGAGGACGAAATGTGCTGGAACTATCACGGTGGATACCGCTGTTACCCGAGGAACCCTTGCCAAGAGCCCTACGTGCTGTCGTCTGAAAAGTAAGGGGAACCGCTAAGAGATCTTTTAGCAAAGCCTCATTTGCAACGTTCAGAGCTGCAAAGCCCGCAGGTGCGAGGAGTTTGTTTTTCAGTCGTTGTGGTTTGTCTTACAGTCGCTGCGTTTGCCCGGTGTCCAACCCCCTTTGCCGAGACCTTCCATACTCCATTGTGCACAAATACATGAGCATCCGCTCAGAAAGAACGACTCCATCCGATATCTTCCAAATTCAGGCGACCACCATTTACCCCAATACCATTAACACATTCCGGATCAAATCTGGAAATGAGAACGGAGACTTCGTCCTGAGAGTGAGTATTTCGCCAAGTTCCGCTAACAAAATTTGACTCGGCTCGCCTGGGTTTCCATAAAGCTCCCATAAGGGCAGCAGCATAGTGCGGTTTGCTGGCTCCTGGGCCGGCACATGAATGAAGCCCGCTGTGCCAGCCCAGCCCTCGCTGCCAACACTGCCAGAGCACCACCCCCACCAGAGACAAGAAGGGCCACGCTGCCCCACCTGTCCCCCCACAGGTGAGAGCCCAGCTGCCTGATGCAACCCTTGGCAGGCGAATCTCACCTGCACCCTGACGCCCATGGGTGGGATGAGGAGGACGCAACAGTCATGCGCCCTTCGATCCCAGCCTCGCAAAGCGAGTTGGAGGTTAGGCTTGAAGGCACATGGCTGTTGCATCCTTCTCACACCGCCCTGCCAGCCCGGAGCAGCTTTAGGGATACAGTGGTACCTCGCAAGACGAATGCCTCGCAAGACGAAAAACTCGCTAGACGAAAGGGTTTTTCGTTTTTTGAGCTGCTTCGCAAGACGGTTTTCCCTATGGGCTTGCTTCGCAAGACGGAAACGTCTTGCAAGTTTGTTTCCTTTTTCTTAACACCGTTAATACAGTTACGACTTGACTTCGAGGAGCAACTCATAGAACGCGGTGTGGTAGCCTTTTTTGAGGTTTTTAAAGACTTTGGTGATTTTTGAAGCTTTTCCAAAACTTTCCCGACACCGTGCTTCGCAAGACGAAAAAAATCGCAAGACGACAAAACTCGCGGAACGAATTAATTTCGTCTTGCGAGGCACCACTGTATTTGAAAAAAATAAAATGAATTCAGCTCTGCAGCTGGGAGGGTAAGAAGGTATTGATTTTCATTCCAACATGTGTTCTTCATAATAATAATAATAATAATAATAATAATAATAAATAATTTATAATTTATACCCCGCCCATCTGGCCGGGTTTCCCCAGCCACTCTGGGCTGCTTCCAACACAATATTAAAATACTATATTGCCTCAAACATTAAAAGCTTCCCTAAACAGTGCTGCCTTCAGATGTTGTCTAAAAGTCTGGTAGTTGTTGTTCTCTTTGACATCTGGTGGGAGGGTGTTCCACAGGGCGGGTGCCACTACCAAGAAGGCCCTCTGCCTGGTTAATAATAATAATAATAATAATAATAAATTTTATTTATATCCCGCTCTCCCCAGCCGAAGCTGGGCTCAGGGCGGCTAACAACAATTAAAATAATCCAACATTCTAAAAACATTCATTATAAAATTAATTAAAATCAAATTAAAATCAAATTGATGGCAACCATTAAGCAAAATTCTGTGCAGATTGCCAGAGGAGGGGGTCAGGCTGCGCCCTGACCAAAGGCCTGGTGGAACAGCTCTGTCTTGCAGGCCCTGTGGAAAGATGTCAGGTCCCGCAGGGCCCTAGTCTCTTGTGACAGAGCGTTCCACCAGATTGGAGCCGCAGCCGAGAAAGCCCTGGCTCTAGTTGAGGCCAGCCTAACCTCTCTGTGGCCTGGGATCTTCAGGATGTTTTTATTTGCAGACCGTAAATTTCTCTGTGGGACATACCAGGAGAGGCGGTCCCGTAGGTACGAGGGTCCTAGGCCGTATAGGGCTTTAAAGGTTAAAACCAGCACCTTAAACCTGATCCTGTACTCCACCGGGAGCCAGTGCAGCTGGTATAGTACCGGATGAATGTGATCTCGCAGCGAAGACCCCATAAGGAGTCTCGCTGCAGCATTCTGCACCCGCTGGAGTTTCTGGGTCAGTCTCAAGGGCAGCCCCACGTAGAGCGAGTTACAATAATCCAGTCTGGAGGTGACCGTCGCGTGGATCACAATGGCTAGGTCAGGGCGAGAGAGGTAAGGAGCCAACTGCTTAGCTTGGCTCCCCGTAATTTGTCTTCTCACAGCGAGGGAACCGCCAGAAGGCCCTCGGCGCTGGACCTCAGTGTCCAGGTAGAATGATGGGGGTGGAGATGCTCCTTCAGGTATACTGGACCGAGGCCGTTTGTCGCATGCAGCCTTGGGGCTTTTCTGCTGCAGTTCAGCTTCCGTCAAAGACGACATTATTTGTCTCACTCTCTGCTGCGGGAGAATTTTACATAATTATCATTACATTATCCTGCACCATTTCAGTGCAAAGGAAGTGCGATGCTTAGGGAGGGGAAAGTAATCTATTACCTATTGTTTGCAGACATCAGCAGCAAGAGTACCGATTATTTTGCTGGACAAATGTTCATTCCAGACACGGGGCAAATAAGTGAACATTGGCAATTTCCACTCTCTAACATCCCTATCCATAAGTCAGTGAAAACACTGCTCTTTGAAACTTACTTCCAGGTGGGTGGGGTGGAGCCAGACATTTCCAGGTGATAACTTCCAATTCCTTATTTTCTTTCAGCAAACAAGCTCTGTGAGCGCAATGCTTGTGTTGGTGAAACCGTTAACGGGACCTCGAGAACATATCATTGACCTGGAGTTGCTGACCGTCAACAGTATGAACTATCGGTCGAGTTCCGTGCTGAGATTAACGCTAATTGTAGGGCCATATCCCTTTTAGCCTCTGCAGCTAAGCCACTCGCAAGCACCCACAGCAGCCAAAGAAATATTCCCTTAAATGAAGCACTTACGACTTTATTTATAGAATTTACGGGGTGTGTTTGTTTTGTTTTTTAAAAGGGGAGGGGAAAGCCCCTTTATTAAGGAAATTAGTACTTGTAACCACGCTGTTATGCTTATAATTCAAGAGTAGGATATGTGTTTCAGCAATATAACCTGGGCATTGCAAACCTTCTGTATAAAGACGGCATTTCTCCCCACCTGATTCCTTGCGCATGTAAGTCACACACCGACTGCACAGCAGCACTATTCCCACTGAGAAGAGTGGGGTCGTACCCAGTGGCGTAGCATGGGGGTGCAGGGGGGCCGGCCGCACCGGGCGCAACACCGTGGGGTTAGGGTTAGGGGGCGCAAATCCACGGGTTAGGGGGCGCAAATCCATGGGTTAGGGGGCGCAAATTACTTGCCTTGCCCCGGGTGCTGACAACCCACGCTACGCCACTGGTCGTACCCACTGGCTTTGCCCCAGACCCTCATGTGTTTGATGGAAGTGGTGGAAGAGCGATGTGCACATGGAAACCACACGTGCATTGGCTCTGTGCGCACACCACGGAGGACCCCAATCACAGAGGCTTTCCAATCGCATGAAAGAGTTTTCATGCATAACTGGGGTCCAGCCACACTTTCCACTGAATACACAGAGGTTGGGGAGGCAGAAGGACAAGGCCAGAGGCCAAAATCTCACCACCACCCCTCCCCTCACGGTTTGGAAATGAGAATAGGGCTATAATTGTTGCCTTTCTCATTTTCTTTCTAGAATAGCAGGACATCAGCTTAAAATACAGACTGTTAAAATTAAAAATTAAAAGTAAAAATTAGTTTTGACTGAAAGCTAACACTTTTTTATTACAGTCATACCTCGGGTTAAAGATGCTTCGGGTTAAATCTTTTACCGGAAAGGGTTACTTTCGGGTTTCGCCGCTCGCGCATGCGCAGAAGCTCAAAATGGTGTCTCGTGCATGCGTAGAAGCGGCGAATCGCAACCCGTGCATGCGCAGGCACAGGTTACGTTCTGCTCTGGTTGCGAATGGGGCTCCAGAACGGATCCTGTTCGCAACCAGAGGTACCACTGTATGAGATCCTGGGTTGGATAGTGCTTCACCTATTCCCACTGATTTTTTATGGGGAAATGAGCCCAGCGGAGTTAATGTTCTTCTCTTTGCAAGGGCTGCCCTGCTTACTTCAATGGAAGAAGCCCAATTTCAAGTACAGTGTTACCTCGGGTTAAGTACTTAATTCGTTCCGGAGGTCTGTTCTTAAACTGAAACTGTTCTTAACCTGAAGTACCACTTTAGCTAATGGGGCCTCCTGCTGCTGCCGTGCTGCCGGAGCATGATTTCTGTTCTGATCCTGAAGCAAAGTTCTTAACCTGAAGCACTATTTCTGGGTTAGCAGAGTCTGTAACCTGAAGCGTATGTAACCTGAAGCGTATGTAACCCGAGGTACCACTGTACGTTCCTCTGTAGACGTGGGTGAAATAGTACTGGTAGAGTACCCAAGAGCTTCGTGTGCACACTGAAGCACATCTGCAGGGGGGACCCAGCCAGAGAGGGCCACTTTTAATGTCCCAATGGCGTTTAAAATCAGCGGGATTTGAATGCACTTTGTACTGGTTGGAAAGTGTCCCTGGGTTCAAAAGCCTGGTGGTCATAGAATCTATGCGGGAGGGAATCCTTTGCAAACCGAGGGCCACAGCCCCTCATCGGAAGCCTCCCAGGGGCCACATGGCAGTGGTGGGTGGGGCCAGCTGCAAAAGTGAGTGTGCCCAGAGGGGAAGGCGAGCAAAGCAACAGATGTGACTCCTGCCTTTGTACAGCAAGACAACTTTTCAGCCATGCAGAGGTCTGTGTTTTTGACGCAGAAACTCATTCATATGCCTTGCTGTCCTCCACCGAGGCATCATTGCAGTTCAAGCGTGCATTTCAGCAAGGCAAAAGCACTTGGGCAAGGGGCAGAGGTGTGGCCTGAGAAGGGGGTGTGGCCTAGGCAGATTCCCAAGAGCCTGATGTAGGGGAACGGAGGACGACATTTGGCATTCAGAGTGTAGGCACAGCTGTCAACCGTCCCTTATTTGGAGGGAAAGTCCCTTATCCCAGCGCTGTGTCCTGCTGCTGTCCCTTATTGATGATGTCCCTTAAATTTCCCAGGTTTCAAAGGAAGCAGCTCCTCTCCCTCCCGGCCTGCCGGCCAGGGAGGAGGGAGGCTCCAACTGTGTTGCTTGGCTGCGTTGCTCACCCAATAAGAAGTCTAACAACGACTGGGGGGTGGAGCTTGCATGCCTTGTGCCGATCAAATCAGCCGCGTTGCCTGGGGACTCGCCTTTGCTCAGCGCTTCCCAGCGGAGAGGTGACGGTGGTTTTCCTTGCTGCATCCCCTTTGCCGGGTTGCCGCACTGTGGGAACCACCGCTTGAGGCTTCGTTTGGCTGCTGGTTGACTAAAATCCCTTATTTTGGCTGCTGATCCCTTATTTTCGAGGCTGCTGGTCCCTTATTTTCAAATCTGTAAGTTGACAGCTATGAGTGTAGGTTTCCCAGTCCTTGTCGTAGGTGTTGCTGTGTATTAAGTGGTCTGTGTTTGCCTGAGCTTGAGTCTTGACTAAGGATTCTGAGCCCCTGTGTTCTGATTCGATACATGACATCCAATCACAGAACATTTCAGGATTTGGGCCTCTGCCATTGGCCCTTAAACTCTGAGTTATGATTCGCAGCTTGGAAGTTTAGACAGCCAATCACATTGGGAGTGGGAGTGGCCCAGGCCTTCAGAAATGTATATAAGCAGTTGCTTTGCCCCTGTTGTCCAGTTCTGTAGTTCAGTAGAGGTTCTTGCTGTTATCACTGTGTCTTGCCTCGTGGGAACCCACCCACTTCAGGTGGTTTATTTGTACATCCCATTGTCCACAAACCCACGTTGTGCTCAAAGCGCTTCAATCAGAACAGGCCGTTCAAATGATCGACTCCCGCCCGGAAACCTATGTCCCCACTGTGGAAGGATGTGTAGATCCAGAACTGGCCTCCACAGTCACCTACAGACACACCATTAAGACCATCTAACACCGTTAAGAGATCTAACAGTAAGATAGCTCGCCTACATTAAACAATGTGGATAGAGGTTATAAAAAAAGAAGAATTACCGTATTTTTCGCTCTATAAGACGCACCAGACCACAAGACGCACCTAGTTTTTGGAGGAGGAAAACAAGAAAAAAAATATTCTGAATCTCAGAAGCCAGAACAGCAAGAGGGATCGCTGCGCAGTGAAAGCAGCAATCCCTCTTGCTGTTCTGGCTTCTGGGATAGCTGCGCAGCCTGCATTCGCTCCATAAGACGCACACACATTTCCCGTTACTTTTTAGGAGTGAAAAAGTGAGTCTTATAGAGCAAAAAACACGGTAATTCCTCAGACACCTATTTTTTCTCTCCCATTCGATTTTTGTGTTCTTGTTGTTTAACTGATCTGGGATTAATGAGCATCATAAAGAGAAAATAGTTCACACTGGGTGTTTCCATACCACTTGTTACCATTTTATCTTTTCCAAGAAAAATGGGACATAAGGAAGAAGCTTTGCCAACAATGAGTGAAGCTCCCAATGGAAAGACAACATCATTTGGAGAAATGTTTCTGCATGAGTATTGTTCCTTGCTTCTTTCTAGTTCCTGAGCAAAGGAGGGGGTGGGGGAATATATGTTTGTATACTAAGATCCCCCAACTGAAAAAACAGCTGCTTCTACGTTGTTCTCTTTTTCTTTTTAAACCATTTTTGGCTTTGACTTGTGTTGTTTTTTTTCAGAATTTGGGATCCAAGAACTGGCTCCCCTTTGTTAAACTTTCTACAATACAGCAGTGCCTTACTCATCCTATATATCTGTTTTATAACTCAGATTTGCAATTCTAAATGTACAGTGTTCATTTAAAAAAAAACAACGGTAGTAAAACCTGGAACTGAATACATCCCTTTGTAATATGTAAAACCTTCTCCTGTTTCTTCATCGAAAAACCATAATGAAGTCTTTGATGTACAATTTTTTATAAAAAATAAAGAAATAAGTAAATAAACTTTTTTTAGTGGACTTGCTTTGTCTTGCGAGTTATTTTATCTTAAAAGGACAGCTCAAAGAAACCAGATCAGCAGCTGGTATATGTCAGTGGATTGTGTTGCTAATGTGAATGAAACACACAAGTTTACATCAGCTGCGCATCTGCCTGTGACTTCGTAGTGGGAGAGAGCATCTTCCCTGAATCATTCAGAAAAGGGGCAATTGAGAACAGGAAAAATGCTTCCTGTCAATGTATTGCATGTTTATTGATTGAATTTGTATCCCACCCTTCCCAGGGCACAGACAGATACACAATTTTAAAACAAAGGAAAAGCATTCTAAAACAGATTTAAAAATTCAAAAAGCAATTACAATTACAATTTTTAGTCTACCTATTGATCACAGGGTTGCCAGGAACAACCAGTCAGTCACCTGGGAATGTTTTCAAATGCCTCTTGAAAGTTAACAGTGAAGGAGACAGGCACACCTCACTAGGGAAGGCATTACATCACCAGGGAACCACCACCGAAGAGGTCCTGTCACAAGTCAGCACCAGCAAACATTAGCAAAAGGACTTATACCCAACTAAGGTGGCACTTACTGCCTCTGTGTTCCACTGCCCAAAATTCATATGGGACTTCTTAAAAATGATAATATTGCAAACTGCTGCGGAATTGTGGACAACAGAACTCATAGGCTGGACAAATGGACCGTTTCTGTTAAGATACCTGTGGCTCTGGTTGGCAGATCTTGCGGTTTTTTGTGAAAAACAAAGTAGATCCCATGAGCCCAGAGTTCGCCTGCCTTCCTATATGCGCTATAATAATAATACAGTGGTACTTTGGGTTACAGACGCTTCAGGTTACAGACTCCACTAACCCAGAAATAGTACCTCGGGTTAAGAACA